AAAAAGGTATAAAAACAACAATTTTCTTAAATAATCTGAGTTTTCTAAACATCATCTTTAAGCCAAATTAGCATTAATTTCGATTCGGAAAGCTTTTCTGTTCAAGTTTTTAAAGCACTAACAAATCTGCATACTGCGTTTGTTGATGCTGTTAAAGGTTTCTGACTAAAATTATAAAAACCCGCAAAAAGGTATAAAAACGGAGCATTTTTCCGAAAAATCATAGTTTAAAAAAACTCATAACTAAGCCAAACAATCATTAATTTTAATTAGGAAAGCTGTTCTGTGCTAGTTTTTAGTAGATTAACAAAGCTGCGTACTCAGTTTTCAAATTTAAAAAATTCAATTTTTTGTCAAATTTTGGCAATTTTAATGATGTAACCCCTTATAAAATTTTCAATTTTCGGAAAAATGTCAAAAATTTATTTTTCGACCGGACATGGCTAGAACGACTGGGCTGTTGATGTTGATCAATAATATATATGGTTTATAGGGTCGAAAATTACTCGTTCACTGTGTTTTAATCTTCTGACTGAAGCTATACTCTGCAAAAAGGTATAAAAACAGAGAGTTTTCTTAAATTATCTAAGTTTTCCAAACATCATAATTAAGCCAAATTAGCATTCATTTCGATTCGGAAAGCTTTTCTGTTCAAGTTTTTAAAGCACTAACAAATCTGCATACTGCGTTTGTTGATGCTGTTAAAGGTTTCTGACTAAAATTATAAAAACCCGCAAAAAGGTATAAAAACGGAGCATTTTTCCGAAAAATCATAGTTTAAAAAAACTCATAACTAAGCCAAACAATCATTAATTTTAATTCGGAAAGCTGTTCTGTGCTATTTTTTAGTAGATTAACAAAGCTGCATACTCAGTTTTCAAATTTAAAAAATTCAATTTTTTGTCAAATTTTGGCAATTTTAATGATGTAACCCCTTATAAAATTTTCAATTTTCGGAAAAATGTCAAAAATTTATTTTTCGACCGGACATGGCTAGAACGACTGGGCTGTTGATGTTGATCAATAATATATATGGTTTATAGGGTCGAAATTACTCGTTCACTGTGTTTTAATCTTCTGACTGAAGCTATACTCTGCAAAAAGGTATAAAAACAGACAATTTTCTTAAATAATCTGAGTTTTCCAAACATCACAATTAAGCCAAAGTAGCATTAATTTCGATTCGGAAAGCTTTTCTGTTCAAGTTATTAAAGTACCAACAAATCTGCATACTGCGTTTGTTGATGCTGTTAAAGGTTTCTGACTAAAATTATAAAAACCCGCAAAAAGGTATAAAAACGGAGCATTTTTCCGAAAAATCATAGTTTAAAAAAACTCATAACTAAGCCAAACAATCATTAATTTTAATTCGGAAAGCTGTTCTGTGCTATTTTTAGTAGATTAACAAAGCTGCATACTCAGTTTTCAAATTTAAAAAATTCAATTTTTTGTCAAATTTTGGCAATTTTAATGATGTAACCCCTTATAAAATTTTCAATTTTCGGAAAAATGTCAAAAATTTATTTTTCGACCGGACATGGCTAGAACGACTGGGCTGTTGATGTTGATCAAGAATATATATGGTTTATCGGGTCGGAAATGACTCTTTCACTGCGTTTTAATCTTCTGACTGAAGCTATACTCTGCAAAAAGGTATAAAAACAGACAATTTTCTTAAATAATCTGAGTTTTCCAAACATCATCTTTAAGCCAAATTAGCATTAATTTCGATTCGGAAAGCTTTTCTGTTCAAGTTTTTAAAGCACTAACAAATCTGCATACTGCGTTTGTTGATGCTGTTATAGGTTTCTGACTAAAATTATAAAAACCCGCAAAAAGGTATAAAAACTGAGCATTTTTCCGAAAAATCATAGTTTAAAAAAACTCATAACTAAGCCAAACAATCATTAATTTTAATTAGGAAAGCTGTTCTATGCTAGTTTTTAGTAGATTATCAAAGCTGCGTACTTAGTTTTCAAATTTAAAAAATTCAATTTTTTGTCAAATTTTGGCAATTTTAATGATGTAACCCCTTATAAAATTTTCAATTTTCGGAAAAATGTCAAAAATTTATTTTTCGACCGGACATGGCTAGAACGACTGGGCTGTTGATGTTGATCAATAATATATATGGTTTATAGGGTCGAAAATTACTCGTTCCCTGTGTTTTAATCTTCTGACTGAAGCTATACTCTGCAAAAAGGTATAAAAACAGAGAGTTTTCTTAAATTATCTAAGTTTTCCAAACATCATAATTAAGCCAAATTAGCATTCATTTCGATTCGGAAAGCTTTTCTGTTCAAGTTTTTAAAGCACTAACAAATCTGCATACTGCGTTTGTTGATGCTGTTAAAGGTTTCTGACTAAAATTATAAAAACCCGCAAAAAGGTATAAAAACAGAGCATTTTTCCGAAAAATCATAGTTTAAAAAAACTCATAACTAAGCCAAACAATCATTAATTTTAATTCGGAAAGCTGTTCTATGCTAGTTTTTAGTAGATTATCAAAGCTGCGTACTTAGTTTTCAAATTTAAAAAATTCAATTTTTTGTCAAATTTTGGCAATTTTAATGATGTAACCCCTTATAAAATTTTCAATTTTCGGAAAAATGTCAAAAATTTATTTTTCGACCGGACATGGCTAGAACGACTGGGCTGTTGATGTTGATCAAGAATATATATGGTTTATAGGGTCGAAAATTACTCCTTCACTGTGTTTTAATCTTCTGACTGAAGCAATACTCTGCAAAAAGGTATAAAAACAGACAATTTTCTTAAATTATCTAAGTTTTCCAAACATCATAATTAAGCCAAATTAGCATTAATTTTGATTCGGAAACCTTTTCTGTGCAAGTTTTTAAAGCACCAACAAATCTGCATACTGCGTTTGTTGATGCTGTTAAAGGTTTCTGACTAAAATTATAAAAACCCGCAAAAAGGTATAGAAACGGAGCATTTTTCCGAAAAATCATAGTTTAAAAAAACTCATAACTAAGCCAAACAATCATTAATTTTAATTCGGAAAGCTGTTCTATGCTAGTTTTTAGTAGATTATCAAAGCTGCGTACTTAGTTTTCAAATTTAAAAAATTCAATTTTTTGTCAAATTTTGGCAATTTTAATGATGTAACCCCTTATAAAATTTTCAATTTTCGGAAAAATGTCAAAAATTTATTTTTCGACCGGACATGGCTAGAACGACTGGGCTGTTGATGTTGATCAATAATATATATGGTTTATAGGGTCGAAAATTACTCGTTCACTGTGTTTTAATCTTCTGACTGAAGCTATACTCTGCAAAAAGGTATAAAAACAGAGAGTTTTCTTAAATTATCTAAGTTTTCCAAACATCATAATTAAGCCAAATTAGCATTCATTTCGATTCGGAAAGCTTTTCTGTTCAAGTTTTTAAAGCACCAACAAATCTGCATACTGCGTTTGTTGATGCTGTTAAAGGTTTCTGACTAAAATTATAAAAACCCGCAAAAAGGTATAAAAACGGAGCATTTTTCCGAAAAATCATAGTTTAAAAAAACTCATAACTAAGCCAAACAATCATTAATTTTAATTCGGAAAGCTGTTCTGTGCTAGTTTTTAGTAGATTAACAAAGCTGCATACTCAGTTTTCAAATTTAAAAAATTCAATTTTTTGTCAAATTTTGGCAATTTTAATGATGTAACCCCTTATAAAATTTTCAATTTTCGGAAAAATGTCAAAAATTTATTTTTCGACCGGACATGGCTAGAACGACTGGGCTGTTGATGTTGATCAAGAATATATATGGTTTATAGGGTCGAAAATTACTCCTTCACTGTGTTTTAATCTTCTGACTGAAGCAATACTCTGCAAAAAGGTATAAAAACAGACAATTTTCTTAAATTATCTAAGTTTTCCAAACATCATAATTAAGCCAAATTAGCATTAATTTTGATTCGGAAACCTTTTCTGTGCAAGTTTTTAAAGCACCAACAAATCTGCATACTGCGTTTGTTGATGCTGTTAAAGGTTTCTGACTAAAATTATAAAAACCCGCAAAAAGGTATAGAAACGGAGCATTTTTCCGAAAAATCATAGTTTAAAAAAACTCATAACTAAGCCAAACAATCATTAATTTTAATTCGGAAAGCTGTTCTGTGCTAGTTTTTAGTAGATTAACAAAGCTGCATACTCAGTTTTCAAATTTAAAAAATTCAATTTTTTGTCAAATTTTGGCAATTTTAATGATGTAAAATTTATAAAATTTTCAATTTTCGGAAAAATGTCAAAAATTTATTTTTTGACCAGACATGGCTAGAACGACTGGGCTGTTCACGCTGATCAAGAATATATATGGTTTATAGGGTCGGAAATGACTCCTTCACTGCGTTTTAATCTTCTGACTGAAGCTATACTCTGCAAAAAGGTATAAAAACAGACAATTTTCTTAAATAATCTGAGTTTTCCAAACATCACAATTAAGCCAAAGTAGCATTAATTTCGATTCGGAAAGCTTTTCTGTTCAAGTTTTTAAAGTACCAACAAATCTGCATACTGCGTTTGTTGATGCTGTTAAAGGTTTCTGACTAAAATTATAAAAACCCGCAAAAAGGTATAAAAACGGAGCATTTTTCCGAAAAATCATAGTTTAAAAAAACTCATAACTAAGCCAAACAATCATTAATTTTAATTCGGAAAGCTGTTCTGTGCTATTTTTTAGCAGATTAACAAAGCTGCATACTCAGTTTTCAAATTTAAAAAATTCAATTTTTTGTCAAATTTTGGCAATTTTAATGATGTAACCCCTTATAAAATTTTCAATTTTCGGAAAAATGTCAAAAATTTATTTTTTGACCAGACATGGCTAGAACGACTGGGCTGTTCACGCTGATCAAGAATATATATGGTTTATAGGGTCGGAAATGACTCCTTCACGGACTTTAAAGCTTCTGACTGAAATTGTAATACCCTTCGAAGGTATAATAAAACAAATGGTATACATAAAAAAACAAAACAAATTCTTATGGTAATTGTACTTTCCTTGCTATTTATTTCATTCAGTGTAATTTGCCAAGATCTAAATGGTTTTATAGCAATCTCACAGAGAAACAATTTATTGTAAATCAGATGCGGCGCCGGCCTGCAGTTCGCTCTTGAGTATCCAGGAGGCCGCTCTCAATGCGATGGCGACGACCACCGAGTTGGGATTCCCCGAGACGGGACGGGGTAGCACGCTGGCATCCACTATCCGCACATTGGACACGCCCTGTAATCTACAGAGAACGTTTCATCAACGATCTTTAGTGGCTATAGGGTGCATGTACCTCAATTTGGAGTCTACGACGCTGCCCAGAGCACAGGTGCCACCCGGATGATGCGACCCGAGGCCAATGTGGCGCAACAGGCACTCCAAGTAGTGATCCGATGGGCGATTCTCGGAAAAGTCCCGCTCGAAGGGACCGAAGTTAGAGCACTCCTGCAGCTTGGGCCAGTGAATGCGGGGATGCAATGAAGCGAAGGCTGCAGAGGTGACCAGCTGAAAGACGACAAATCGTTTTTTATTTACGAACAGTAACTTAATAAGCTTTTGTTTTACCTTCACAGCACTCCGAATGGCCGCTATGGTGCATACCACATCTACGTCTCGGCTGAGGTAGTTGGGATCGATCAGGGGATTCCGTCGCATGTGCCGGTTTAGGAGTCCGACAGAGCCCCGAGATCTAGGCTGCAGACAGCTGGAGATCACCACGAATCCCTCCTGGGAGGCATTGTAGTAGCGCGGAAAGAGCGCTCGGAATGCAGCGCCCTTAAAGTTTGATATGGACATGAGGGCAGCCTCATCAATGGCGCCGGCTCCAAAGAAGGTGATGCCGTAAGGTGAGGATTCACCATGGCTGGCCACATTTCCGAGTACTCCGAAATTGCCGAGAGGTCCGGTCCCCGAGCTGAGAAAATTGATCAAGGTCATGGGATTGAGCAGTGTCCTCTGGTTAATAGTGGGTCCAGTGGCTCCCATCGAAACGAAGAGGGGAAGGTTGAAGTGGTCATGCAGGTTCTGACCCACCGAAGGTAACTTGTGCTGCAGGGGAATCCCCAGCTTTTTCAAAATGCTTCTCTCACCGATACCAGAGGCCAAGAGGAGCTGTGGAGTTTGATAGGCACCTGCACAGAGGATCAATTCCCTCCTTACTTCCACGCTGAACTCCTGTTCCTTGTTGTCCTCATCCTTAGTCCCAACCAGAATGGAGGTGGCACGGGGCACCCGGTCGGTCGACAGCTGAATCCGCTTCACCAACGCATCGGGAAGCAGGCGAAGATTGGCGCGATGCAGCACAGGATTCAGGAACTGCTGCACCACCGAGTGGCGCAGGCCGTTCTTAATGTTATAGTTGGAGCGTCGAAAGATCCAATCCTTGTGCGCAAACTCAGCCTGCGCTTCGTCCAGAGCCTCACTTAGCTTAGAATAACCACGAGGAACTTCGAACATTTCCGAGGACTTGGGCTTACTGGCTGCCATAAAGGATCGCATGTGCGCCCAGCTCCAGTCACTCAGATTGTGAACATCACGCCAAGCATCAAAGTCCGCCCCGTGGCCATCAAAATGCAGCATGTAGTTGAGATTGGCGGAACCACCCAAACCTTTGCCCCTTGGAAGGCACTGGCGCCGCTCGATTAGACCTCTCGAGGAGTGCTGCTGCGGCACCGACAAGAAGGACCAGTCGTTGATACCCTTCTGCTGAAAGGTGGTCAGCAGCGGAATCCGGCTAAGCAGGCCGAACTGGCCACCGGCCTCGATGAGCAGCACACTGCCGTTGCTGTGCTTGGTCAGAAGCGAGGTGAGCGTGCTGCCCCCGGTGCCAGCTCCAACTGAAGATGAAATGAAACACGTTACCCTATCCATTTTCTATTCCCTATTCCCTACGCACTCACCAATCACGTAGTCGAAGGCGAACTGGCGCTCCTGCGGCGCCAATACATTTGGAATCGAGTCCTTGAGCAGGGTTCCCACCAAGAGGACAAGGGCTGACAGGAATCCAAACACAATCCCTCCCACGACTAGGATCTCTGTACGAAAAGATCCTTTAAATATTAATCTTTCCGCATTTACTTTTCGAGCTCACTTTGAAAGTGCATTCCCATGCTGTTCTGTGCGATGACGAAATCCAACTAGTTCGGACGCGAGAACTTGCTGGCTGCGGACCTGGTCTAATCCAATTAACGCCATCGCGGGGTGGGTCTTGGCGCTTAGTTTGAAAAAGATTCGCGGGTGTTTTAACTAGAGACGAATCTTTTGAAATCGATAGTTTTATAGCTACTAATAATAATAAAGTCATATACACATTTGTTTAAGAGGTAAAATAAATAATTTATTTTAAATTCAGCTAGTTAAGCATATATGTAACATTCTATAACTATCTTAGGACAAGGGTGTTGTAAGATTTCTTTTGAGTTCTCAACCAAAAATCCGAATCAGTCTTAAAAATGATAAATTAGGAATGAGATCCGCTAATACTTGTGAACACAAAGTCCTCTTAGTCGACTTCCTCCACAGTGGGGCCAGAGTATCCTCCAAAGCCACCGGCCTGCTGACCACAGTTGGCTCCAGGACCAGCGGCTCCTCCCGCTCCCTGCTGATGCATCTTTGTCATAATGGGGGAGCAGTGGCGGGTAAGCTCCTCCAGCTTGTGGTCGAACTCCTCCTTCTCAGCGGTGGTGTTGGTGTCCAGCCAGCGGATAATCTCATTGCATCTCTCCAGAACGGAGTTTTTATCGGCTTCGTCCAGCTTTCCAGAGCCACTCTGCTCCACAGCCTGCTTTACGTTGAAGACGTAGCTCTCAAGCGCGTTTCGAGAGGTGATGCGCTGCCGCTGCTTCTCGTCCTCGTCGGCATACTTCTCGGCCTCGTTCACCATGCGGTCGATTTCCGCCTGCGAGAGCCGTCCCTTGTCGTTCTTGATGGTGATGTTCTTGGCCTTGCCCGTGCTCATCTCCTTGGCAGAGACGTTCAGGATGCCGTTAGCGTCCATGTCGAAGGTGACCTCGATCTGGGGCACTCCTCGGGGGGCCGGCGGGATGCCGGACAGGTCGAAGGTTCCCAGAGCATTGTTGTCCTTGGTCATCGCACGTTCGCCCTCATATACCTGGATGGAAACTCCGGGCTGGTTGTCCGAGTACGTGGAGAAGGTCTTCGTCTGCTTGCAAGGGATGCGGCAGTTGCGCTCAATCAGTTTGGTCATCACCCCGCCGGCGGTCTCGATGCCGAGCGAGAGGGGTGCTACATCCACCAACAGCACGTCCTGGATCTTGCCAGTCTGGTCCCCGCTAAGGATTGCGGCCTGCACGGCGGCTCCGTAGGCCACCGCCTCGTCTGGGTTGATGGAGAGGTTCAGGCTCTTGCCGTGGAAGAACTGCTGCAGCAGGCTCTGCACCTTGGGGATACGGGTGGAGCCGCCCACGAGCACTATGTCGTGAATCTGGCCCTTGTCCATCTTGGCGTCGGTAAGCGCCTTCTCCACGGGCTGCAGGGTGTTGCGGAAGAGGTCTGCACACAGCTCCTCGAAGCGTGCACGGCTCACCTTGGTGTAGAAGTCGTTGCCTTCGAACAGCGCGTCAATCTCGATGGTGGCCTCCGTGCTGGAGGACAGTGTGCGCTTGGCCCGCTCGGCAGCCGTACGTAGACGACGCAAGGCGCGCGGGTTGGAACGTAGGTCCTTCTTGTACTTGCGCTTGAACTCATCCGCCAGGTGCGTGACCAGCCGGTTGTCGAAGTCCTCACCGCCCAGGTGTGTGTCTCCTGCGGTGGCCCGTACCTCGAACAGAGATCCCTCGTCGATGGTCAGGATGGAGACGTCAAAGGTGCCGCCACCCAGGTCAAAGATGAGCACGTTGCGCTCTCCCTGAAGATTTTTGTCCAGGCCGTAGGCCAGTGCTGCCGCCGTGGGCTCGTTGATGATTCGGAGCACGTTCAGTCCAGCGATGCGGCCGGCGTCCTTGGTGGCCTGGCGCTGGGAGTCGTTGAAGTAGGCTGGCACAGTGATGACCGCGTCCGTGACGCTCTCGCCCAGATAGGCCTCCGCCGTCTCCCGCATCTTGACCAGCACCATTGAGCTGATCTCCTCGGGGGCAAAACGCTTGGCCTCGCCCTTAAACTCCACGCCGATTTTGGGCTTTCCGCCGTCGCTGACCACCTTGAAGGGCCAGTGCTTCATGTCCTCCGCGATCTTTGGGTCGTCGTACTTGCGTCCGATGAGGCGCTTGGCGTCGAACACTGTGTTCCGGGGGTTCATCGCCACCTGGTTCTTGGCGGCGTCGCCGATCAGACGCTCGGAGTCCGTGAATGCCACGTAGGATGGTGTGGTGCGGTTGCCCTGGTCGTTGGCAATGATTTCCACCTTGCCGTGCTGGTAGACGCCCACGCAGGAGTACGTGGTGCCCAAGTCGATTCCAATGGCAGGCATTTTGTGTGTTTTGTGGATACCTCTTGTTTCTTACTTCTGAGATTTGTAACTTTCAGACTTGCTAAAAGTCGGGTGTTGTCGCTTTTCCAAGTTGCTTAACTTTTTGCTTGTCTTCAATACTTTTTAGCTTGAATAACTTTAATTCTGCAATTTAATGCACTTAGCTTGTTCAGCTCGGTTTGTTTTGGTTTGCTTTTTCGCTTTCGCGATGTTTTCAGTTTGCTTGCTTGTTTTGATTTGCTGCGAAGAGAACCGAGCGGCTCTATTTATACCCGGGCGCACTCTTCGCGAACATTCGAGAGCGGCCACTCTCGAAGCTCCGAGAACGGGGTGGCTGTGCCGTACGAGTGAGCGAGACGACAGTAGTAGCCTTTTAAGAGAGCGACACCTTGAATTTTCTAGATTTTTCTTCAAGAAAAAACAAACGGCTTATGACCTACCGCAACAAATATACTTTCTTTTGGGTTCGAGAAAATTCCATGTTTGGTTTTCTATATTTTCTGCCTTTAATAAATACACTTACATACATATATCGATGGCTTAAATATAATTGTAGAATTTTAAATCTGGCCCACATTATAACTTGATTGCATAAATCCCAACGACTTTCTATAAATAATAATACTTGTCTCAGATATGTAAATGTATGAACAGTCTTTATTTTTTAACACATTCTTAAATTTACAATTTTATAGTATGATTTATATGGAATGCATTATATTTATTTTTAGTAGGTTTCACTTTTAATCCGTATACAGCTATCTGAGTATTTCTTAGATACATCGTTTGCTTCTTTTATATTTTTAACTTTATCGTTACACATTCGATCCAAGTAAAAATCGTCATTACAGTTTTTCATATAAAACGCATAGTAATTTGCAAGTTATTTTACATTAACAACTTTGGTATTTTTTTACGTGTATGCCCTGTAGTCTATCACGTTTGCTTTTAGCATTTTCATTTGCTATTTTGGGTTTTGTACACTTAACAATTTCTTTATCAGAAAACTTTGAAAAGTTCCTAGTCTTGTGATATATCAGTCCGTTGGTTTGCTGTTGAAAAATGCTTCCTCGTTAATGTGGGGGTCCAAGGAATGTCCATACATTAAAACCTTTGCCCGAACGGACTTGCAGCCAGAGACCCTCGCGTCGCTGCCCTTAATGATCTCGTCAACTTGGGCAGTATTCAGCTGTATATTCTCAAGCTGTATATTCTCTTGCCAACGCCAGAGGAGCCGACTAAAGCGATATTCTGTTAGGGAATAAAGTGAAATTATTAATTTATATACTCAAGATTCTCTAAGAGGAAACCTACCTGGAAAATAGTGTTGTCAAGAGCCCGTTCCAACTCATCCAGCGCTTCCTCCTGATGCAGTACTTGGCGGCGGCAGTGCGTCACCATGTCGCCCAGTTGATGAGAGCGGTCGCAGTAGTTGGTCCGATTGTGAACGATAGAGTGGTACTGGTTATTGTACATCTCCCAAAAGCTGCTGTCCTCTGGGGAGAATCTCCACACAGTCAATCCCAGACCGAGACACAGCACCAGGAACAGACAGTACCAGGCTGTCTCGTTTGCCTTCCCGCGGCTCACTTCCAATCCCTGTTTGCGGCGCATTGGCTTTTTACTGCTACTGCCCTCGGTCACCAGGCGTCGGAGGCGGCGCTTCAACCACGTGCGTTGCAACGCCTTCGGCGAATTGTGGGAATGACGCCTGACCGAATGTTTTTTAGTCTTCTGGAGCTCTTCTCCATCCTGGCGGGACGTTGGCGTCATGTCCATGGTCATAGCTTCAGAGACCTCCATATTGGGAAAATCTAGCTATCTGAAGGATGTGAATGGCTGCCGTTCTGAATTTCAGTTGCACTGTGATGTACGGATGCACGGACACTGCTATAATTATGTTTAAATTTGTGAATTGTAAGCTAATCTTCTTTAATTTATTGTTTTTAGTTTCAGCCGCAAAATTGGTATGGGAAATTGTCGATAGTTCTATAATTTACATGCTGCGATGTTTTTTTTGGTAATATCGATTGCACAAATTCAAATGCTTATTAATTTTGAATTTTAAATAATTTTTACTAATCTGAGCTTAATAAACTCATCTAGATAAGATTTGTCTTCTCCCTACCATTCTTAAATAATCTTAAAGACATAAAAGAGTAGTTTCACTTTAATATCGACCGGTCTTGGTGGAATCTTATGAGCCTTATGAAAATTTGCCAGAGGCTTTGCGAAAAGTTTCCTGCTACTGTTTTGAGCAAGTGGCCTCTTTTAATTTTTATTTAATAAACCCTAGATCGGGTTTACAATATAAACATTAAGTCGCTGATGCTAATTGCCAAAATTCAACCTGAACAATGATAGCAATATTCCAGCTTCTAATTCAGTTTCGGTGTAGAAGCAGGCTCCTCAATCGGCGACATCGCCTATTCATATTTAAATAAAAGAAAGAAAAATAAAATAATCAATTAATGGAATTTTCTAGAACCCAAAAGAAAGTATATTTGTTGCGGTAGGTCATATGCCGTTTGTTTTTTCTTGAAGAAAAATCTAGAAAATTCAAGGTGTCGCTCTCTTAAAAGGCTACTACTGTCGTCTCGCTCACTCGCACGGCACAGCCACCCCGTTCTCGGAGCTTCGAGAGAGACCGCTCTCGAATGTTCGCGAAGAGTGCGCCCGGGTATAAATAGAGCCGCTCGGTTCTCTTCGCAGCAAATCAAAACAAGCAAGCAAACTGAAAACATCGCGAAAGCGAAAAAGCAAACCAAAACAAACCGAGCTGAACAAGCTAAGTGCATTAAATTGCAGAATTAAAGTTATTCAAGCTAAAAAGTATTGAAGACAAGCAAAAAGTTAAGCAACTTGGAAAAGCGACAACACCCGACTATTAGCAAGTCTGAAAGTTACAAATCTCAGAAGTAAGAAACAAGAGGTATCCACAAAACACACAAAATGCCTGCCATTGGAATCGACTTGGGCACCACGTACTCCTGCGTGGGCGTCTACCAGCACGGCAAGGTGGAAATCATTGCCAACGACCAGGGCAACCGCACCACACCATCCTACGTGGCATTCACGGACTCCGAGCGTCTGATCGGCGACGCCGCCAAGAATCAGGTGGCGATGAACCCCCGGAACTCAGTGTTCGACGCCAAGCGCCTCATCGGACGCAAGTACGACGACCCAAAGATCGCGGAGGACATGAAGCACTGGCCCTTCAAGGTGGTCAGCGACGGCGGAAAGCCCAAAATCGGCGTGGAGTTTAAGGGCGAGGCCAAGCGTTTTGCCCCCGAGGAGATCAGCTCAATGGTGCTGGTCAAGATGCGGGAGACGGCGGAGGCCTATCTGGGCGAGAGCGTCACGGACGCGGTCATCACTGTGCCAGCCTACTTCAACGACTCCCAGCGCCAGGCCACCAAGGACGCCGGCCGCATCGCTGGACTGAACGTGCTCCGAATCATCAACGAGCCCACGGCGGCAGCACTGGCCTACGGCCTGGACAAAAATCTTCAGGGAGAGCGCAACGTGCTCATCTTTGACCTGGGTGGCGGCACCTTTGACGTCTCCATCCTGACCATCGACGAGGGATCTCTGTTCGAGGTACGGGCCACCGCAGGAGACACACACCTGGGCGGTGAGGACTTCGACAACCGGCTGGTTACGCACCTGGCGGATGAGTTCAAGCGCAAGTACAAGAAGGACCTACGTTCCAACCCGCGCGCCTTGCGTCGTCTACGTACGGCTGCCGAGCGGGCCAAGCGCACACTGTCCTCCAGCACGGAGGCCACCATCGAGATTGACGCGCTGTTCGAAGGCAACGACTTCTACACCAAGGTGAGCCGTGCACGCTTCGAGGAGCTGTGTGCAGACCTCTTCCGCAACACCCTGCAGCCCGTGGAGAAGGCGCTTACCGACGCCAAGATGGACAAGGGCCAGATTCACGACATAGTGCTCGTGGGCGGCTCCACCCGTATCCCCAAGGTGCAGAGCCTGCTGCAGCAGTTCTTCCACGGCAAGAGCCTGAACCTCTCCATCAACCCAGACGAGGCGGTGGCCTACGGAGCCGCCGTGCAGGCCGCAATCCTTAGCGGGGACCAGACCGGCAAGATCCAGGACGTGCTGTTGGTAGATGTAGCACCCCTCTCGCTCGGCATCGAGACCGCCGGCGGGGTGATGACCAAACTGATTGAGCGCAACTGCCGCATCCCTTGCAAGCAGACGAAGACCTTCTCCACGTACTCGGACAACCAGCCCGGAGTTTCCATCCAGGTATATGAGGGCGAACGTGCGATGACCAAGGACAACAATGCTCTGGGAACCTTCGACCTGTCCGGCATCCCGCCGGCCCCCCGAGGAGTGCCCCAGATCGAGGTCACCTTCGACATGGACGCTAACGGCATCCTGAACGTCTCTGCCAAGGAGATGAGCACGGGCAAGGCCAAGAACATCACCATCAAGAACGACAAGGGACGGCTCTCGCAGGCGGAAATCGACCGCATGGTGAACGAGGCCGAGAAGTATGCCGACGAGGACGAGAAGCAGCGGCAGCGCATCACCTCTCGAAACGCGCTTGAGAGCTACGTCTTCAACGTAAAGCAGGCTGTGGAGCAGAGTGGCTCTGGAAAGCTGGACGAAGCCGATAAAAACTCAGTTCTGGAGAGATGCAATGAGATTATCCGCTGGCTGGACACCAACACCACCGCCGAGAAGGAGGAGTTCGACTACAAGCTGGAGGAGCTTACCCGCCACTGCTCCCCCATTATGACAAAGATGCATCAGCAGGGAGCGGGAGGAGCCGCTGGTCCTGGAGCCAACTGTGGTCAGCAGGCCGGTGGCTTTGGAGGATACTCTGGCCCCACTGTGGAGGAAGTCGACTAAGAGGACTTTGTGTTCACAAGTATTAGCGGATCTCATTCCTAATTTATCATTTTTAAGACTGATTCGGATTTTTGGTTGAGAACTCAAAAGAAATCTTACAACACCCTTGTCCTAAGATAATTATAGAATGTTGCATATATGCTTAATTAGCTGAATTTAAAATAAATTATTTATTTTACCTCTTAAACAAATGTGTATATGACTTTTTATTTGGGATAAATTTAAATTCAAAAAACGGGGTAAAGCAAGGCTGCTTCTGAGTAAATTAATTGATCAAAATAAGTGAATTAAACTAAATAGTAGGTGGAAAAAATGAATTAAATTGATATTGGCGTGTAACGGTAGCCCAACGGCTCACCGACGTTGCTCGCCAGAAACCGAGTTGGCAGCCCATCAGCTGTTCGCTGAGATGCAGAAAAAAGCAAAACGAAAACCCGCCTACAAATATTGTTATTTTGATTAGATTAAACGGATAGAAGAATATGGAACCGCCGTACGCACCTCTGAGCGAGTCCTGCGCCAAGGCGCTGGGCGACAAGGTCTACGAGAAGCGCAAGTTGGCCTCGCAGGAGATTGAAAAGTGAGTAGCGTTGCACCTGTCCGCGATTTATCATCCCAATTGGGAATTCTACTCACCGCCAGAATGGTCACTGAATTCAACAACAAAAACAACTCAGCCCAGATCCGAAAGCTAATCGAGGTGTTGGCCACGGACTATGCCACTTCGCGGGATGCCAACCGGCGGAAGGGGGCGCTTATCGGACTCGCGGCCACGGGCTTAGGGCTGGGAAAGGTAACGTCATTAGTCACCGGCATAGGTCGCGGTATCTAACTAGATAAACACGTGATTTCACCTTCTCCAGGACTCGGACAAGTATGTGAATGGCCTGGTGACGCCCATCCTGACCTGCCTCTCCGACCCAGAAAAGGGTGTGCGGTACTTTGCCTGCGAGTCACTGTACAATGTGGTTAAGGTGGCGCGTTCAGCCATCATTCCATTCTTTCCGGAACTGTTCGCGGCGATATCCCGCCTAGTCACCGACTCTGATCAGATGGTTAAGGATGGCAGCGAGCTACTGGATCGCTTGCTAAAGGTAAAGTTGATGTCTGGCTGAATTGTCTTGAATTTATGAGAAATATTCTGCAGGATATTGTCACAGAATCGTCACAGACCTTTAACTTGGAGGCCTTTGTTCCCCTGCTGCGGGAACACATCTACGTAAAGGATGCGTTCGCCCGACAATATGTGATCTCTTGGATATCCATCCTGAATGCCGTGCCCGACATTAACATGGTCAACTATCTGACCGAAATTTTGGATGGGCTGTTTGTCATGCTGGAGGACAATACGCTAGAGATTCAACGCATGTGCGAGACGACGATAAGTCAGTTCCTGAAGTCCATTCGGAACGACTCTTCGTCCGTCCGGATGGAGGATACAATAAACACTTTGATTACCCACGCCCAGTCGCCCAATGAACTGATCAAGTCGATTGCGATCACCTGGATCCGGGAATTTGTTCAAATATTTGGCACAAATGTGTTGCCTTATGCCAGCGGAATATTTACGGCGATACTGCCTTGCCTCGAGTATAACGTGGAGTCGAAGCGCAGTAAGAATCACTTTGTTTATTCAAGAATCCTTTCATTTGTGGCTTTTTTCAGGCATCAAAGAGTGCGCTGTATCCGTCAACAATTCGATGATGCTGCTCGTATCCAGTAAGGAACTGAAAACGCAGACTGTGGCAAAGATAGACCTGCGTTCAATTATGGACGTTCTATCGCAATATCTCACGCACAACTCCATGCATACAAAGATCGCTGTGCTTAAGTGGATCCATCATCTGTTCACCAACTTCCCGAACGAGATGTCTGTGCATGCCACCAATTTAAATAATAATTTAATGTCAACGCTGGCCGATAACTCCGACGAGGTTGTACTGCAAAGTCTGTCCGTTCTAGCGGAAATTGTAAACTCACAGGACACTAGAGGTAACTTATTCCTCCTACAAAATCTTTCCGTGACTAAGGCTTCTCCCTTACAGAATTGAACGACTTCAAGAAGACGCACTATCGCAAGTTTCTGTTAAGTTTGCTGAACTTGTTTAGTGAAGAGAAACTCATATTGGAGAACCGAGCCAGTCTTATCATAAGGTAACTTCCCATTTTAAACTCTGGAATAATTAAATTAAATATATACTTATTAGAAAACTCTGCGTGCTGCTGAATGCCGAATATATTTACCGCACATTTGCCGAGATCATAGCCGAGGAGGTACCCAACTTAAAGTTCGCATCCACAGTGGTGCGTCTGCTAAACATAATTCTTCTCACCTCCACGGAGCTCTTCGAATTACGAACCAGCCTGCGCAATATTTCCAATGAAAAGTCTGCAGATCTCTTTCAATGCCTGTACAAGAGTTGGGCCCATTGTCCTGTGTCGACGCTGTCACTGTGTCTGCTGGCCCAGAGCTACCAGCATGTCTCCCATTTGGTCACGTTATTGTAAGTTCTTTAAGGAAAACATTGACTAATTACTATATGGGACAAACAACTTTCAGCGCTGATGTCGAAATAACCATGGAATTGCTTACCGAGTTAGACAAACTGGTCCAGCTGATAGAGTCTCCGATCTTTGCTCCTCTGCGTCTCACTCTGGTCTCCAAAGCGAACAACTGCGCGGACGCTCAGTACTTGGCCCACGCCCTGTTTGGCATCCTCATGTTGCTGCCGCAGACCGAAGCTTTCGATACCCTTCGGAATCGACTGCAGTGTGTGCCCAACTACTGGGGCCACAACCCCATGTAAGGAATCAATCCCTCATTAATATCAGTTCGTCTCTATAACATTTTTACTTGTAACCCCTCAGAGATGAGCGAAATTCACTGGAGTACAAAAGTGGCATCGACTTCGATGCTCTGGAACAGCACTTTATAAAGTTACAAAAGGCGCATCGCGAACAGCGAATTGTACAACGGAAGCGCAGTGTAATTACTCCGGAAAGTAATTAGGAGACTAAAGCATACCTTATTTATATATAGCCTGTGATTAAGCGTAAAGTAATTTAATATCGCATTTGTGTGTTTTAATAAACGTGAATCTTATACACCTAGCAGCGTTAACTCTTCGTAAAAAATATTCATAGTAAAACAAGACAATTATAAAAATTACGTATACCTTTTATTTAAACCTTCGAATTCCCGTCGGCAGCGTAGTACAGTGATGTTGGTACATCTGCAGCAGGAAAATTGTGTCGTCCAGCGTGAGTTCAGCCTTCGACAACGTCTTTATCCTGTTTTTCACCTTATTTAGGATCTCACATTCGGGTGGCGTAAAAGTCTCGACAATCTGACATGAATAATGAAGATAGGAAAGGAATTTAGGGAATGGAAATAATACCCACCTCAGCGATATATTCTTCGGAATCGCCGCGCTCCTTCATTGTCTCCACTATGCTGTCCAGTCTCTGGGATTTTTCAATGAGACCCTTGTGCTCGTTCTTTTCAAAGTTGGATCGTTCGATGGTGTTGTAGAGGGACTTGTAGCTAGCATCCAGCAGCATTCTCACTGTCTATAGAGCAAGGAATATAAGGTAAGCCAACAAAGAATTATCAACGTTTTACTTACATCCTTCTCTTTGACCTGGAAGAGATAGAAGGCTTTGGCGGGACCATTGCTGCCACCGCCGGGCTTTTTAATGATCTTCACGTGAATGAACTGCTCCTGAAACAAGTTGTAGGCCAACGATTTAGCCTCTTTCGAGGGTATCATGGCCTCCTTTTGCAAGTCCTCTTGCTCGATGTATTTCTTGAAGCGGATTACACGAAAGATACGGGCAGCCTTCGAGCCAAAACGTTCCGTGATGACGGACTCTACGCAGGCGAAGGCAAGCGACTCGAAGGCATGTTCCATATCCACGACATACAGACCTCCGCCCATGTCGCCCACTCTTCTAAAGAATCCCAGTGAATCCTCAGCTGAAATGCATTAAATTCGATAATTAATAAATTCAAATAGTTAAAGCTTGGACTGTAATTACTTAACAAACTTATGTATTGATCCAAGTACTTCATTAAATCCAGATTATTCGACTTCCTCTCGATGGCCTGCTTAATTTCCACGAACGTTATTTGGTTGGAAAGTTTCTACAACGAATCACGTTCAAAAATATAGTTTCCAGGTTATAATTATACAGGTTACATACCCGCTGCCACGGATCTGTGGTGTTGTACATGATCTTCAGTATGAATCGGAAGCACTCGGCCGCATTTTCACCCATTTTTCGCTCAATAGCGTCCACCATGATGGCGTCCCGGAAGTCTTGATGGAAGCGATCATAGTTGAGGTTCCACACCATGGTGCTGTCCTTAGCCTCTGCTAGAGTGGCATCGCCCTTGCGTATCTTGTCCAGCAGCTGAAGATCGATATTGGGATGCCGAAAAAAGTCGCACTCGTTGCTCTCGAACTTCGGCACTACCTCATCTTGGTCCTCGGAAACTAGAAGCTCGGGCCTTTTAATGATATAGTGATCCGTAATCATTGTGAGGAAGGTGTTCCTATAGGATTCTGGACTCTCTGCCTTATTTTCCCCCTCGGTCAGGCACTTTATCAGTATGCCACTGGCCGTATCTGATCCTGAATTGATTAGCTCCTCGGCAATGGAGGCACCCACGTTTCCATACTTTGTCTGTATCAAATGAACGTACCTTAAACAAGAAATTTAAATAAAACATCCCTTAGCTTCCATTCTGAGCAAGTTCTCAACTTACCGTGGATACCGGAGTAGGCAGATAATGTCCTCGCGCCGCAGCGCGTACTCGGCAAGGGAGGGATTCAGCTTGGAGGACTCGAAATCCACAAGTCGGAATTTGACGAGAACGGCCAGAGCCAGTCCCACTTCTTTGCGAGAGAGCTTGGTGGCGCTGATCAGTTGCCCCAGCGTTCGCGTGTTGGCCAAGAAGAGGCAGTCGGCCACAGATTGCACAACCTGGCCGAAGCACTGCTCCAGGATGGCGGAACACAGATGTGAATAGTCCGCCGACATGGTAGCAGGAGCAATTCAGTCACTTTAATCGTAAATTGTGCTGTTTTACAGAAAATGCGGCTAAAAACAAATGCTCAAAACAAAACAAAACCGCGTTGCGGCCAGCTGTTAGTCGATTACCGATAAAATTATTCGATTAAGTCAAAATTTCAAATTGGAAACATTAGATTTTTAATGTCCATCTTATTCTGTTTTTTTTTTTTTTTTTTTAAGTTTAAAATTTATATAAATTTAAATATTTAAGCAATTTATATGTTTAATTAAGGGAAGTTTCCTCAATTCCGTTCCTTATCAGTGGGACGCAAGAGTGGTGTTTTTGCGATGCCACAATCTGTTCACACTCAATAAGTTTACAAGTGTTCTCGTTTGCCGTATCTGAATAAACGTAATCTTTGGGGTCTTACCAATGGCCACATGTTGCTCCCAGTTGCGAACGACTTCGAAATTCTGGGGTGAAGCCCGCGGCCACTATCAGCAGTACGCGCGGCCCTTCATTATAAATCCGTTTTCTGGTCGAACTTTCCCATCTTCCCACTTCGACCAATACTAATACTTGCAGGTTAGAATTGCGTCAGATAAAGGTGCCAGCGATCTATTTTTACGATCATATTTGCATTTGCAGTTGCAGACCAGTTTTACTTTAGCCATGTCGGACGTGGACTCGGACGGCGAGGTGCCTAACGAGGGCGGAACCAGTGCAAGTGCTCTCGATGAGTTCCGTGAGAGCTGGCAACGGGAACTTGCCCATGGAAACCCTGGATACAGGCACGACACGGGAACTACGCAGAACTCTAATGCCAGCGAAGCGGAGCTGCTGCAGGCCAAGGCGGAGAGTCTCTTTCGCACTGCCGTACAGCTGGAGCAGCGCGGCAAGGTCTACGACGCAATACCTTTCTACCGCAAGGCCACACAGATCGTGCCCGACATCGAGTTCAAGTTCTACGAGCAGCAGAAGCTAAGCCACGAGTTTGTCAGCAACAAGAAGTTCCTTAATCTGGCCGGGGACTTTGCCAAGCAGCTGGACCTGGGGCAGCCGGGTGCCACGGCCGGCAGTGCGGAAGAGGAGTTGGATAATCTGTTCGACAAGTTTCAGCACGACCTGCGCCAGGACAGCATATACAGCGGCAAAATGATCGCGTCCAGCCGTGATGCGAACGTTTTGTCCACGGGACTGCACTTCTCTGATCTGCCGCCCGAGATTGTGATGCGCATCCTGCGATGGGTAGTGTCCTCCCAGCTGGACATGCGCTCCCTGGATCAGTGCGCCGCCGTATGCAAGGGGTTCTATGTTTACGCCCGGGATGAGGAACTATGGAGGCTAGCTTGCGTCAAGTAAGGATTCCGTAGATTGCTAACCTCTAGGAGATGCTCATCTGTATTATTTCAGAGTATGGGGACACAACGTTGGAACCTTGGATGCGCAAGACTCTGGCAGTAGCCATGTCTATTACTCCTGGCGCGATATGTTTATCCGGCGGGAGCGGGTGCACTTTAACGGCTGCTACATCAGCAAGACAACGTACCTGCGAATGGGCGAGAATAGCTTCCAGGATCAGTTCTACCGTCCTGTACAACTGGTGGAGTACTATCGCTACATTCGGTTTATGCCCGACGGCAAGGTGCTGATGATGACGAGCGCCGACGAGCCAGCACAGGGCGTCAACAAGTTGAAGCATCTGCATAACGTGCAGCGTGCAGATGTGCTACGAGGTCGCTATCGACTCTACGGCGACACGGTCACCTTGGTGCTTCAAAAATCACAGGCCCGGGGAACGGGACACATGCGGCAGAGGCGAGGCAGCATCATGCCACTGGAGGAGGACTCCGCCCAATTCTTAATAGAACTACGCATCGCAAACTCGCCGAAGCGCCGCCGATGTGCCCAGTTGGTGTGGTCACACTACACGCTCGTCCAGAAACGGAACAAGGTGGATACCAGCTCAGAGTTCGACCTTACGGACGCCAAGTATCCGCCGCTATGGTTCTCGACGGTGAAGAGCTACCACCTCGATGCGGACGCGCCTCTAGTTTAAGTTAGAATTAGCTTTCTGCTCTTTTACATGCTGCAGAATTAAAAGACGGTGAAATTGAAACCCTTTTAGAGGGGGAGAGGAAATAACGAGATATTATTAGCAACTATCCTCATGGAGTGGCGTGTCTAAAAGCGTACAACGTTCTTAACAACTAGAGCGTAAAATCTTCCTAGGACAATATCGAGAAGCTTAGCTTTTCCTCCGCAGTTTACGGTTAAAATTCGTTGCAAGAGTCTGCAACTATAGCAGCTACAGCGATTTGGGGTTCCTTTAGGACTCGGACTGCACCACCACGTGCTCGTAGCGCATCAGGTCAGGCGTGTCCCAGCAACTCTTAAGGCAGGTGAAGACCAGCACGTTGCCATATTCGATCGGGGCATTGCAGCCGTTAAGCTGGAAACGCAGCTTGGGAATGAGTGTGGGCAGCAGCTGCACCTCGCAGATCGTCTCTCCCCTGCAATTCTGGCACTTGGGCAACGGTTCCGCTAGCGGTGCCACTAGCAGCGGAAGAGCATCTCGGGAGTACCTACCACAGAGCCGTAATTAAAGTGGGGACTTGTATTTTTGACTAGATATGCTTACCTTAAGACTTGACCTGGATTCTGCTGGATGGTGGTGATAAAGTTGTGAAACAATATGTCGCCGTGTGCGGGCAGCGCCTTTTCGTACGCTTCATGCTCGTCCCCAACCTCTACAGCGGATCCCGCGGCCAGTGCCGTGGGCGAATGGGCCGCACCCTCGTCCCTGAGCTTATACTCCTGATACAGATCACGTATGTGGTCCATGGACAGCGAGCCACCATAGTTCTCGTACTCCTCCACCCGGGTCTTGCTCTCTACATCCACGGCGATGTAGTAGGACTTTAATGTAAGGTCCTTGGTCTGCGACAATGGCTGCGAAGTGTGCTTCAACAAGGCAATCAGGTCGCGTTCCGGCTTCTTGGGGGTGTCGACCAGCACCACATCCGTTTCTGGGCCCTCGATCTCGGCACAAATAACAGCGGAAGCGGCACTGGCCCCGGCACCATCCACGCTTGGAGCGGCGGCTGCTGCACAGTTTGCATTGGGATCGTCGTCGGCATTCTGCGGTGAAATCATGGCCATTTGATGAAACCCTGAGACCAGATCGTTCTCTACCGAGGTGCTCTCGTCCTCGTCGTCGTCATCATCCCCGCCACCTCCACCGCTAATCTTTCCCAGATCGACTTTGGCTGGCTCATCCAGTTGTATATCGCCCTTAGCGTACTGCAGGACATTGGGTCGCACGTTGCCATTCCGTTCATTCTGGTCGTCATCGGCGGTAATGTCCATAGCCTCGTCTTCGGTCTTCACCAGACCACTGGCCAAGCTGTCACCCCAGTCGTCCGCTCCACTGCACCAGCTTACCGCCTGCAGGCCGCTGGACTTGGACTTCGACTTTTTCTGCGACGGCTTCTTGGGCGACTGCTCGCTGATAACCTCGAACTGGTTCTCCAGATGCTGTGTGCGGACGCACACCCAGCTCTTCGGATTCTGCGAGCAGGCGGGGCTCACGCACCCGAAAACGTACAGGCTGCGATGAAACTGGGAACGATCCAGGGGCGCATACATCTGCACAATCAGAGGACGCACCACGCCGCACAGCGGGCAGGCCGGAACGGTCACCTCGTGTCTGGGCCAATCCTGAGGGTAAAAATCAATTTCAATTATCAGCTGTCCGTTTGGCGCTCGCGTCACAACATTTCTTACGGGGGTGCCGCCGATTTTGTTGGTGCAGCTGTTTAGGAACTGCTCCTGCTTGGCCGTAACCTCCTCATCGTCGTAGCCCAGGTACACCGTCGACTTATTCTTGGCCATTTTTCATGTTTTTTTCTTTGGTTTTCGGGTGCAGAAACTTCTGATTGGATTGCTTTAGTGATGGGCGATGTGAATGCTGTTTCTTATCGATTATTGTGCAAGCAGCTATCGATTAATCTATAGTAATCGCATGGTAAGTATTCATCTTAAGTTATCGCATGGTAAGTATTCAATTCAAAATATACTCGTTTTCTTGGCTTGTTATAATTAAGTAAACAAAGTAAAACATCAATATAAAGAAAATACATGTTATTTATGATAAAATATATATTTATTTGAGCTCAAATATTCTATTTTTTAAATGTAAGCCAAAAACATAGAAATTTCGAATGATTTGCGGGGTTTAACTTAATTTTAGCATAATCCTGCGCAGTGCTTCTTAAATAACGTGCACGCCATCAAGTAAATCGCTTAAATTCCTTGAGCATTTTCAAGTCTGTAAATTTCTCTAAATGATTACGTATTTTTTGCTCTTTTCAACAGCTTCACGTTGCAACTGAAATAAAGCAACGTTTTACAGCTGTGAAAAACGTCATCTACAATTTAACTCAGCACTCGCACAATAGTTTTGCACAGCTGTTTTCCTTACTAATACTCAAAATCTGTCGCTTTAATTATTAATTTACAATTGCACACTCGCTGCTTAAAATAAATAAACGCACATATACTGTTTACAATACACACATATAAAAACATAGACAACTAGATTATAATTACGTTTTGGAATGCTAACATTAAAATACGCATTACGTACAATATAGCAACGCTAGCGCACAACAACACTTAACAGTTATTGTCTAGGAAGACGACGCAGTCGCAAGGATCCAGCGCACTTCCGAGGAATTCAACAAACGTGGACAAAAGTGGCTAGACCTAGTCCTAATACCTTATTAGGTGGGATTACGGATTGATTACTTATCGAGCGCCTCCTGCTCCCGGTGCTGCCGCTTGAAGCCCCACTCGACGAACACGAAGGCGATGGTGCCGATGGTTCCGGTCACCACCAGTATGCCCAGCTGGACATACAGCCCAAAGTGCGAGGAGTAAAAGAAGCTGATGGCCGCCGCCACGGACTGAGTGAACTTGAACAGGGCAAAAGCTCCCACCGCATTGTTCACATACTCTCCGCCCAGCATCGAGTAGATCTGGGTGTTGAAGCAGGCGTCGCCAAGGCCAAGCAGGAAGGCACAGACCAGAGCAATGCTGGCGCTAGGCGGATCCAGGTAGGATATATCGTTGGTATCTTTGAACGGTGCACTGTTCGGCAGATTGATGAATGTCATAAAGAAGGCCGCCATGTGCATCACATAGCCGGCAATGACGATGGGATCGCGTCCATATCTGGTTGTCTTGTTGCCCAGTATCCCAAAGAGTCCGCCTCCAAAGACTTCGCCGGCTCCAATGCAAATGCCAACCAGGCCAACGATCTCTTTCGGTGTCTGGGCTATTTTTGTGGTGAATCCAATGGCGGAACCAAAGACGCCACTAAAGAAAGATAGCTCCAGTCCTGGAAATCACAAGAAATTATTATATTTAAATGAGTTGAAGTTCAGTTAAGCTAGCTCACCTGTATAGAAAAAGGCCAGACTGAGGAGCAGCATCTTCTTTGTGCAGAACAGTTGTCCGGCCGACTTTAGAGCATACATGGCCTGTCCACATCCCGTGTGCTTCTGCTCTAGCTCGTTGTCGTGCTCGGCATTGTCGGCCATAAATCGCAGGGCGGCAAGAAAAACGATACCCAAAATTGCAATCACTGTAAGCACTCCGATGACCAAATTCCGGGTCTCTTTGTCGATGACGGTTTTGTCCTGGAACTGATAGTACACAAACAGGTTGCCGATGAACATGCTGCACTGCAGCAGAGCCCAAAAGACGCCCGAGTTGCGGGAGATGGTGGTTGTTTCGCTGCAGCGCGCCAGGTAGGTTCCCTGCCCTGTCCAAGTGATCGATGCTCCAAGTCCCAGCACTGCGCTGCCCACGTACAGCAACACCGTCGATGGGAACATGAACGTGATCATAAAAGCCCTGCCAGGATTGGAATCGTTAAGTATTGAACCCTTATGCTACATCACCGGGGATCTACTCACGTATAGGTCAATGCTCCCACGACCATTGCCACACGAGGGCCCGTGAACGAAATAAACGAGGGCGCCAGCCAGTTGGAGAGCGAGAAGAACAGGTAGATGATGGCCAGGCTGGTGTAGCCCTCGCCCTTGAAGTTCTCATCCTCCTTGGAAATACTGTCCAGTATGGTTTTCTGTTGAAAAAGAGACGGGATTGAATCGGATTAGCATTTGGGAAACGTGCCAGACACCTTTTTGAAGCCTGCATGCCAATGAACCGGCCGTAACGCATTTGTTTTTTGTTTATTTATTTCTTAAAATGTTATACGGAAAACGTGTTCTCGGTTCAAGTACATATTGTACAGGTATTTCCTGTGCGGATACGAATGGTTGGATATAAGCCAATAGAATAAAGACAAGAAAGGAAACTAATTTCAGAAAGTCGTAGCTTATATAAACTTGAAGTTTGCAATTCAATTATAGGATCAAATCGGAGTCAATTCTTATGTCAAAGAATCGACCAATTTAAAAAGTTCATAAATAAGCCAAAAATGCATTAATTTCTTATGCTAGTTTTTATTAGGTTATACTCAATTTTAAATTTAAAAAGTTGCAAAGTACTACTTTGCTATTAAATATTTCGGCAGGGATTATTTTGGTAGTCATTTAAATTTTATGTGCTGTAAAATAACATTGTAAATAGATTTCAAACCAGAATGGATCTTGTTTAATAGGCAGTTATACAAGTGATTAGCAATACAATGACCACCCTTAATAAACATGGTCTTTATCCTGTAACCACTATAACTAATATTCAATTTATATATATCATAAATACTTTCAATTCACCACAGCTTTAATGAATAGAATTCTTGATTTCTGGACCTTGGAATCATGTCTGCAACCAGATTCAAGTGCAACATTGCAATTCTTGTGTCTGATCAATGCGAATGAATGCATGAATGGAAAATTACAAGCTCTAGCTGCTGAACACACACATGGGAAACACGTTTGCGGACAAGTTCTAAAATTTTCCATTCCAAAGGACGCATCTCAGTAAACGGCCTGCAAATAATATCGTTATCTCGGCGCTAAATTCTGACTCTGACACGATTTCGGATTCCATTTGCATCAATTAAGTGGCGCTGGCGCGAATCTGGTGCGGTCCTCGTGCCCATTTAGAAATCCAACTCGAGAGTTGCATTATCAGTACCTAACGGGTGTCACTCTCAATATAGACGTTTGATCGGAAACAATTTATAATAAAGTAAGTTATATGCGAAAAGCGGAACTGGTTGTTTACCCATTTCAAGAAAAATAAATTACAATTATGACCTTGTGACTGAATGGGATACAGGAACTAAAAAACGGAACTATCAACGGAAATTTGTTGTTAACTCAGCTTTGTGGATTTACGCAAATATTCTAAACTGCTCTTGATTTCATAAGTACAATTAAAATGCCATATAGTAGTACTATTTATGGCCCCCTGTATATTCAAGCATAAAAACCAAAATGTTATAGACGACTGTAAGACGATCGTGATAAGAAATCGTTTCAAGTGCAATCACACCTTATCAGCTCACTGAATGATCTTGTTATTATTCGATTGGCGGACGACGGCCTAACCCGGGAGGAAATTGGGTCAAGTTTTTTGCAAATAAATGCCGAAAGAAAGCCAACTTTGAGATTCGAATGCAATAAAGAAAGTCGTGTGCGAATACGCGGAATTGCAGGAGAATGCATCGAACAACTTATTAAATTGATCGCCTGCTTAAGTTGTTTATTTATTACGCAAAAGAAACTGGCACAACAACTCACGAAAAAACTTTAAAAATGCTTAAAACGAGTTTGGATTTTTATTGTAAGTGGGTATAGCGACTTTTCCATCAAGTTTGCATTCAAAAGAACTATATGCAGGTAGTTTTTATGGGTCTTTTCTCTTGCTTTGGTCAAAAGGAAGAGATAATAAGATTAAATCATTATGATCATCAATCGCGGAGGCTTCATATTGAAATGATCCCCGAATCATTTCATACTTTTAGTGTTTAAAATATAAATATATATATATGATTAGAGATATTTGGCAATATCTTTGTTATCATGCTATCCAACTACAACTATACAATTTAAAACATGAATGAAAACTTACTTTGGGTAGCCAAAGTTTATTAATTGAATTGTAGTATTGCATAGAAAATGGATTATAACTATTCGCATTATGAGAATATATATGCCAATATTTTCGAAAAATAATTAATTAATTATAAATAGAATTATAATATACTTCAAGGGTATTAATATGTCCCAGTCCGCCTTAAAGGGTGTAAAGCACTTTCGGTGCTTCCAGCTAGACTTGGTTTTTCTACTCTTTCCCCTAGACATAGCTGCACACGAGCCGAGCTGGTGCAGCATGTGGGACCGGTTGGGGGGCAGGAGCAGTTAGCAATGGGCAGTGAGTGGTGGGCTCGTCGGCGCACACCCACTTTTTGTTTTTGGTTTCAGTTTCTGTTTCGTTTTTTGTTTTCTGTTGTGCAAGCAGAGGCGACTAGCGGCTGTTTTGTTATGTATATACACATACATATTACTGCCAGTATGCTCGGCTATGCTCTCTGGCGTCTTGGCCAAATTGATGTGTGAATACGTACGTATCTATGTAGGTATGCATGTACATATGTTGGTCAACCTGGCCGAGGTGGCCTTGGGTTGGTACAACTGGCGGGCTGTGTGTGCGGCATCGGCGAACTTGCAATTGCAATGACATTGAAAGAGCTGGCGTTGACGCGTTTGCTGAAAAGCATTTGATTCCGATTGCGCAATCAGCCGGAAAGCGTTCTGTGTTCCCTGCCACTTCCAGCTACGGATTGCGCCATATGAGCCAAGGCCCCCGCTTTAAAATTGCTGTCTAATAGGCCAAGACTTGGCGATCGATCGGTCGGTTTGCTCGATATTGCCCGGTCTATAAGTTTGGCTAACTACGCCATAGCACGCCCTGCTTGGAATTCCAAGTCACTATTGCTTTTGTTGCTGCGACGGCCATAGTAAATCGTTTATAAGGAGAAACACTAAGTGCACAGAAAGAAAACTAGGATGGACTACTTATTACATTCGTAAAAATCTTTTTAGCCCTTTTGGGAAATATATAAAGAGGAGTAAAACAGAGTTTTACGAGTACATTTGACTTTAAGAATTCAGGTAACAATAAAATTGTACTTGAGGTGTGCGTATACGTAATATTTTACGCTGAGTAATCTTTTAGATATTCCTAAGAATATTTACTATTTTTTGATTCATTTTGTTACAAAACAACGTCTGATTATAAATCAATAATAATTCATTCTATTTATATATATATAATATGTATATCTTCAAAGTGTAAAGGCCCAAGACTCGGACAAAAAGAAAACAAAAATATTGCGCATGAGTCGCTGGTAAAGCTGAAAGGCCATATAAAAGACAAAAAATCGTATCACAACAAAAATAATAAGTAGCAAAAGCGAACAATTACAAAGCTTCACTCGATCCGCACAAATTTTTGCGTTATTTATCAGAGAAGGCACCTTATACAGTCCATTGAACCATAACAAAATGCTTTTCAAAATGTGCTTTTTATGCAAAACAATGACAAAGACGTACTTTGTGGTGGCCGGTTTGGGTTTCGAGTTTCGCTCAAAACAGAAAATGCCTCGGAATACGTAACCAGATGAGATAAACGTGAAAAGAACATTTTTTGCGACTACCAGACAATCCAGTTGCTTAATTAAACCACTCTCACGATATGTGTGCGTATCGGATATACATTTTATATGCACAGGTAGGTTGGTCTGTTTTCTGGTTTTATTTTTACCTGGCGCGTGGCCTTGATCTTACGGCTTTTATTACTCACAATAAATAATCAACGAAATGAGCCGTTATAATGCAACAAGTGAATGGAGTTATCTACAGCTCCATGATTAGCCATATCACACACTTGAATGCTAGTGTTGCTGCATTGTAATTATTTGCAAACATTAATTAACTAATCGCTGTCACCTGATTACTAGGAAAGATATATAAGGGTCCTCTAATCTGTTTATGAATGGGAATGTTATTGGGTGGTTCGCAGAACCAACACTGGCATAGATATAGATTTATGCTTGTTTAACTCAAAATATTAATCAGTTGGTGACTTGATTAATTTTTAGAATGTTAATTAAAACAAGAAAGGAAACTAAGTTCGAGAAGACGAAGTTTAAATAACCTTGTAGCTTGCAAACGAATTGGGCATTATCGATATTTTTATATGACAACTTTTGCGAAAAATCAAAGTTTAAAAAACTCATAACTAAGCCAAAAAAGCATTAATTGCAATTCAGTATAAAATATTAGTGTATAAATGTTAGCTCTTACAAAGTTATTAAATCTGCATACTCAATTTAAAATTTACAAAAATTTAACTTTTTGCCGTTTTTTGACCATTTTAACGATGTAACCCCTTATAAAATTAAAAAAAAAAAATGGCAAAAATTTATTTTTCTACCGGACATGTCTACATCGACACGGCTATTGTTTGTGATCAAGAATATATATGATTTATAGGGTCGGAAACGACTTCTTGTCCGTGTTCGAAGGACCTGCACTACCAATATCGTTTTTAGATATTGAGTGACCACGGCCTAATGCAACAAGAAAACAAGACTATATTAAGTAAATCATTATCTAGTAGTATATGAAATATGATATATCAGAATGCTGCGCATAAAGAAAAATATATGTAGTTATTCTGTACGTCTTTAAACTTTAACTTTTTATGGACTTGAAACAAACATTTGGGGTGAACTTGGTGGCCCGATAAAACCTAATTTATTTTGGGCTTATTGTATGGAATATCGGGGAGTCAAATTCCCTTATTAAGGTCAACTTTTGTGGCTCTATGTGGCTTCATCACATCTATTTGCATAATAATAATAATAACTAATTGTATTTTGTGACAGATGATACGCGTCTAAGTGCTCTATATGCCGTTTCTTATCAATTGTGGGATGTTGTCGTGGCAAATATTGGATTAAAAAGTATATACATACACGAAACTGTTTCTCTCAGATTGAATTATAGAAATAAATCCTCCTATTTCTATGTATTTTAAGGTACTTTTTGCCAGTCAAATAAATATTATATCCAAAAGACATGTTTACCTAAAGGAAGTGATTATCCAAAGGTCAATTCTAGGAATGATACTTCATGGACACGTTTGTAAAAAGCAAAAAATAAAAGTGTATATCTCTGCATCCGCCCCTTATCGTGACCTTTGAGCAGTACATTAAATCGGAACTGTAAACCAACAAATCGCCCGACACTTTACACCGCCACAAATCGGGGCACAGGCTGAGTGGCGGCAAAAACGACGCCACATCCTGTGACATCTGAATGGGGTTGGGTCGAAGGGCACACTACGATGTCTATTGGCAAGGACAAGGACGGGATTCCAATGGCAAGGATATACATACACACACACACACACTAGCAACTCACCTCAATGTTACACATGGTCTGGAATGCCGTAAAAACGAACATAAAGCCGAAGCCCAGGATGAGAATCATCAGGAATTTGATATCCATCCTGATGTCCGTTATGTGACGACCTGCCCGCCGCGAGTTTAATGCAATCAAATCGAACTTAATTAACTTGCCGCGCTCACTGCATTTGCATTCGGTGGTAGCAGGAGGGGGGACGGCGTCGAGGAAAGGGCGTGAACTCAGCTATCTCTTAATTGACGAAACGTAGCGAACGCTAGAATGCAGATAGCTGCATCTATTTATCACAACGCGAACACAATAACTCAAGCAGATAGATGGGTATAAATCAAAACACGCAAAAAACGAACGAAAACACAGAGCACGAAAGTTAAATGCGCGGCCAAACTAAAGCAACAACAAGTATGGGGTGAAAGAGGCTCACTGGCTCACTTGTGTTTCCACGGCGTTTTATTTATTTTTGTTTGTAAGCGCTTAGATTCAACTGGTTTTATTGTTTAAATTCCCCATATTTTAGATTTGTTGAATAAATAAAAATACCAATATATCTATTTTTTGACTTTTGTTGATATTTTTGTTTTGGTCACTCTGAATTCCGGAGCTGTTGTTTAACATTTTACATCTTGCACGTCTAGAAAACAATTTAACACGTTTACAGATTCATAGCGTCGAATTCTCAGTATTGGGGTCGAATTCTCTTGTATAGTGTAAAAAACGTAACATATCCACTCTCTTTTCTCTGGGGTGGATGTTAATTAACAGAATCCTCTCTCGGGGGCTGTCGGGTGTCGGTCGTTTTTGGGTATACGTTTTTGTTTTTGATCAGTCTGAATTTCAGAGCTGTTATTTAACATTTTACATGTTTAAAAAACATTTTACATTACAAATTTAACGTAAAATGCATAACAAATCCGCTATCATTAAAACAATCGGTAACTGAAAACAGCTGTCCCCAACATTGCCTATTAGATTTTCAGTCTGTGGCTACAGTATTAAATAGGACATTTTATTTGCTTATTTATTTCAACAATAGTCATGTACACAAGGGAGCCACAATTCGTTGGACTTTGTTGAAAGAATACTGAATACTGCAAGCTGGCTATCGATATATCGAAAGCAAAGGTAGGTTTCGATTGCTATTAATCAATTTTAAATTTAAATACAACGGAAATTTTCTTTTACATGCTGCTTATACGGGTTCTATGATGTTTTTATGCTTTGGATGACTATGTGTCATCAGTATCAGAGTTAGCTTCTTGACGAAATAAAGTTGGCGGTCCATTTGACATAGATTTCAGCCGTTGTCGAACGCGTAGAGCTGCTTGTGAGACGGAAACATCTACATCTTGCGAATGCGCCCTTAAAACCATTTCGCATTCTCTATTGGAATCAGTCATCAGAGGTAACTGAAGGGCATTTTCGGCATTGAAATCTGTAAAACCAGGAGCCTGGAGAGAAGATTGCTCTGCTCGGGCGTCGGTAGACAATTGCATCTTTTCAGCGTCTTCGGTTCCAACATCGGCGAATTCCGGAGTAACACCAGCTTGGAAGCAAGTTTCTAATCCTCCAAGGTAAGATGTGTCATCAGTATCGGAGTTAGCTTCTTGACGAAATAAAGTTGGAGGCCCATTTGACATAGATTTCCGCCGTTGATGAAAGCGTAGAGCTGCTTGTGAGAAGGAAACATCTGCATCTTGCGAATGCGCCCTTAAACCCATTTCGCATTCTCTATGGGAATCAGTCATCAGAGGTAACTGAAGGGCATTTTCGGTATTGAAATCTGTAAAACCAGGAGCCTGGAGAGAAGATAGCTCTGCTCGGGCGTCGGTAGACAATTGCATCTTTTCAGCGTCTTCGGTTCCAACATCGGCGAATTCCGGAGTAACACCAGCTTGGAAGCAAGTTTCTAATCCTCCAAGGTAAGATGTGTCATCAGTATCGGAGTTAGCTTCTGGACGAAATAAAATTGGAGGCCCATTTGACATAGATTTCCGCCGTTGATGAAAGCGTAGAGCTGCTTGTGAGAAGGAAACATCTGCATCTTGCGAATGCGCCCTTAAACCCATTTCGCATTCTCTATGGGAATCAGTCATCAGAGGTAACTGAAGGGCATTTTCGGCATTGAAATCTGTAAAATCAGGAGCCAGGAAAGAAGATTGATCTGCTCGGACGTAGGTAGACAATTGCATCTTTTCAGCGTCTTCGGTTCCAGCATTGGCATATTCCGGAGTTACACCAGCTTGGAAGCAATTTTCTACTCCTTCAAGGTAAGATAGCGTTCCATGTGGCATCGGCTCATCCATAATTTCGCTTGAATCATATTGTATTTTCTCGAAAAACGATTCTGCGTTCACCAGAGGCGAATGGAAAGGACCGTTACTTGGTTCTATCAAAGAAGTATTTCCGACACTGGCAGCCGTTCCAAAGATGCCTTCAATATGCCTGATATTTAGATCTATATGACTAGTCAAAGAGAAAAATGGTTCTCCAATGTTGGTAGGCATGTTAGCTTCTCGACGGAATAAAGGTAAAGACCCATTTAATATTGATCGTAATCTTGATTCATGAAAGCGATGTGCTGCTTGTGAGAAGGAAACGATCGAATTTGGCCCGAAACCCATTCCATATGCTATATGAACATTATGGATTTCCTGGGAGGAAATATTTTCTGAAGCCATCACAAGTGACTGGGCGGTGTACGGTTTGCCACAGTATTCTGTAGATGCATTTTCGACATAAGGTTCTGCTCCAAACACTCCACTAGATGTTTTGAAATCTATAGTTATAGGAACCAAGGAGGAAGTTGCCTCTGACATTGGCTCATCTAAAGGCAATTCACTTGCTTCCATACATGAAATATTTTGCGATTCATCAGCACATTGTTTGTCCTGGGAGGGAGGTTCTGATGTCACCTGAGCCGCATGGAAGGGATCACCACTGGGCTCTATTGATTTTGGCTCATCTATTGCCGCTCCATGAAGAAAAGTTTTTGAGACTTTGCCAAAGATTTCAAAAGAGGAGTCAGCTTGAATTAATTGCACACGATTCAGTCTATAGGAGCCAAGTCGCTCTGACAACACTCCCATGTTGCTTAAATTTTTGAGCGAATATTCAATGAATGTTTCTATGTCTTTCAGAGGACTAAGGTTCTTCATAGTCCACTTCACCTCCATTTTAATCTTGTCAAGGGGGATAAATTTGTACTTTTCACTGTGAGTCAAATATCTCACAGCCTTGAAGACATGTCTATTTACCTTTTTTGGTACGATAAAATTGTCTATATTCAAACCTGGCGCATCGCATATGATTGAATTACTGTTTCCGGAGGATATCTTAGACCTGACAGTTAAATTCAAAAGGTTTTTCCTTTTCAACAATGCTCTAGGCATTACACCCGGCTTCGTCTTGACCAAGGGCTTTTGGTAGGCGCGAAGCATTTTTCGCACTCTGGTTATTTCGTTTGCAGTTAAAGAGTCTATAGTTCGCTTAGGAGCCTGAAAAGATACGAAAAAAGGCAAAATTTTACAAATCAAAAAAAAAAACGACATAAAATGAAAAGGCTGGTTTCTTAACCAGCTACTATCCTACCATGTTTTTCTTGGTTTTTGGGGAACGGAGTCCCTGAAACGCGACGGTTATTGCGTACATCGAAGATCCGCAGCGCGTTAAAATCCCAAGCTCTGTCTGCTTCCTTAATGAATCTTGAACAACGTCGTCCAAATTATTGATAGGCTTGGTATAGCGTAAGGACCGCTTAACTTGATCCTGTATTGCCTCAATATGTACATAATGGCTTCTTGACGTTTGCAGGAAATCGATGGCCTTCATAACATGCCTATTAACTTTTTTCGGTGTCTTAACTGTTGCCATTGTTTGGAAAAATACAGAAATCTACAATTCTATAGCCAAAACCAATGAGGACTTGAGAGTTTCCGGAGAAATCTATATATCTATCTATATCTACCTGTTGAATATAAACTTTTTGGAAAAATATGAAAGTATTATAGTTTCCTTATCGTTCGGGTGTGTTTGAGATTGTGATAAAATATACAATAAGGCATTGACAAAGCGTATCAGGTTGTGGAAAGGCCGACTGGGATCTGTTACCCAGAGGCGACTTCGCTTTTTATTTGATAACGTTCAAAGAAATATCATGTGTATAGATGTGATAGTGCCGTGTTGTGTTACAAATTATAACATAGATCGTTAATAGTTTATTTTATAATATATATATATATATATATATTAGTAGTTTCTTGATTATTCATTGTTTTTGGCTTACTCTAGATACTAAAATCTTTCATTTGCAGGTATGTATTCTTCTTTGTAATGGAAACTTCCCCGTTCATTTTGCTTATATAGATTTTAATTTTAATTACTGAAAATTTCTCATTGATTCCAAAAAGTGACATCGAGATAACAGTGAATGAAAAGCTCCAATTTGCGTCTATTGTACATCGATTTACAGGTTGTTAGCAATTGTATGCATTTTAAATACAAAGTTAGTTGCGTCTCGCTTAAAAAGCAATTCCAGAGCGAAACAAAAACATTTCCAGAGCTGGCTTAACACAGACGGTATAAAGTTTTTGAGATACAACAAACAGTTATCCATTAACGTTTTATCTTAGAATTAATTAAATGGGTTGCTTCACTGCTATAGGAAATTGTTTTCGCGGACAATGTGCAAAATGGAAAATTATGTTTCATTGTTTTATTTGGATTTGATTGATTTTCTGCTAAAACCCTCCCATAACTAGGCCCTCAACTCTGCCAGCGCCTATTCGCTCTTTTTGTGTGTAATCAAAGCATCTTCGATCTCCTCCTTCGGCTGATCCGCATCGCCCCATCCCCATGTGGCGTGGGTGCCGTCGCCAGTGCGCTTCACACGCTTCTGGATAATGTCTGAGGACACGGTCTTCAAGTCATAAGCCCAGCCGATCTTAGCAAAGAAGTCAATGAAGGCGGTGGTGAAGTTTAGCGAGTACTGACCAAGCTCGGCCGTCTTGTAGTCCCAAGGGAAGACGTGATGATAATTATGCCATCCCTCGCCGAAGGCCAGAATAGCCACCGAGATGTTCTCCGAAGGGTTGATGAACCTGCAAGGCGTTTAACATTATGTTAGTGGCCACTCAAAGCGTTAACATAAAGTTTTGGATACTCACTTGTCATAGGGGCGACCGCCGAACTTGTGGGCAGCACTGTTCACCAGCCAGGTTACGTTCAGGATGAAACACCAGCGGAACATGGTAGCCACGAACCAGGCATTGACGAAGGACTCGCCCCAAAAGTACATGGGCACGATGGTAGGTGCAATAAAGCAGGCAATGGGCATCAGCAGCATGTAGTACTTCTTCTGGAACATCAGGATGGGATCGGCACGAAGATCAGATAGATCGACTCCCTTGCCCTTGGCCTTCACTTCGGGATGCTTCTTGCACAGCAGCCAGCCGATGTGCGAGAAGAAGAAGCCACGGGTAGCATTATGCGGATCGGCATCAGTTTCCGAGTACTTGTGATGGACGCGATGATCACGAGCCCAATGGTAAGCGGCATCCTGGAAGGCGATCGTGTTGAAAATTACCAGCAGCAGACGCAGTGGCCACTTGGCCTTGTACGAGCGATGGGCCCAGAGTCGATGGGCACCGGCAGTAATGCCCAATCCGGACATCACATACAGGATGTAAGCTAAAGAAATAAAATGGGAAAATATGATTAATGTGATTAACTGAAAATTACAAAATATATATAAACTTTTCCGGGAAACTTCAGTAAGTAATACTAGTTTTTAATTAAATGAATGCGAATTTTTCTATTCAAAGAGCAATACACTTTAATGAGAGTTTAAACCAACAAGTGCGCAGAATTGAGATTAATTAAAAACCCACCAACCTTTGCATCGTAACGGGTGTCATTGAACGGGACAAAGACTACATCGCAAATATTACTACATATAGGCGAATGACTAAGAAATCAAGTCCACAGTGCGGTTGGTGGAAATGTAATGAACGACTTTTGTCGCTCTATAAGACCTCCTATAATTTCTTTCTTTATTCTACAATACTACATTCCTAGGCATTTTCGCTAAACTATATACTTTTAGAATATTATAAGTTTTTTCTGAATATCAGACATTTTGTTCGCAAGATATTTGAGCTATTGACAATTGAAAATATCAGCACGTATCTGTAATTGCGCTTTGGCAAAGGCCGATCAGCATTCTGCGCTATGTTATGTCTGGAGGTCTATAAATGGGACTTTGGGAAGGTTATCAGTTATGAATTATTAGATAACCCCAGATTGGCACGCGACAGGAAGATGACACTGGTTGCCAAGGCTTTCTTTATGCACACTATACATACATATTTGCTTAGGTCATTTATTTATAAAGCTAATATGAGAAGAGGATATTTTCTGATAGTATGCTTCTAAAAAAATCTTTATTTATTTCGATTGTCAGTTTCTAGCTTTAGGTTCAATTGGAATAAATTTGTTCTACCAAAGGGATTTAGTTGAGTAATTTGTTTTTATAGTCTTGACCTGTTTGTACCAGGCGGCACTCTAAGTACTAACAATAAAAATGTTCTCAACTCGAGCCGAGTGACTCTACGCTTAGCTTAACTTGGGCTATGAAATTAGCTTAAAAGTACAACGGATTCTCCTATTTTTTAAATATGCCTTATAATATAAACTCGGTGTTTAGGAGACCTATTAATAAGTAAAGCCGTAAAATGCAAAATAAACACAAAATATTTAAAAGTACAGCTACAGATGAATGGTTCTGAAGAACCTTTGGACTCACCGAAGGCAATGGTCTGCCACTTGGCCGAAGCAACCATAAGGTAGGCGCCGTAAAGAGCCGCAAGATGTAGGTATCCGAAAGCGATGATGTTGCGCCAGACCAGCTTAAGGCGACGCTTCTCCGCCTTCTTCAGCGTGGTAATATCCTTTTCGAGCCCGCCATCGGTGGTTTCCACATCGCACTCGAAGAGCACTCCCGTGGAGTCCTGCTGCAACTTGTTGGGCGGCGAATCGGCAGCGGCATTAGCCGCAGCAGCGATCAGCGAGTCCGTAATGGACTGGGCACCGGCTTGGGCGTTGGGCGGCATCTTGAATCAACTGCAAGACAGAAACAAAAACACTAGTTAGTTACTGGCATAAAGAAATAAACAAAAAAGCAATTAGTTTGCCTGCCAACTCGGTGAATTGGGCAATTAGCCAAGCCAGATGAACTTGACACGCTTTCCGAGGTGGTGACTTCAACTGCTCTTTATGGTTAGAGGTGTCGTCTCTTAATGAATTCGGTACCCTTTAAGCATTCCTGTCTAATTTGCTTCGAATGTTTTGAAGGGAAGGGTTTGCTTTTGCTGTAAAAGTTATTAGCACTTTGATTCGCTTGCAGGTTAATACAAGTACAAGAACATTCTAGACCGAGAATTATCCAAATTAAATTCGAATTAACCGTTCTATAATAAATTAATCTAGCTTATCGAGCTTGAGCAGCATTTCTACTGTTGCATTATTTAATGTTTAACCGCCGGGTGTCGCTTAAAAAAATCAATACAACGCCCAGTACGGACGCGTCCTTGTCATAGGACTCGCGGCGGCATGAATAATGAAAAAGCCGGTGTGGGAAAAAGCGCCAGGTGTGTGTATGTATGCAGATGTTTTTTCACACAAATATATATATATATATATATATATGTAAATATATATGTACATGCTTGTGGGTCACTGGGAACCTTGGCTCAAGGTTAAAAACCAAAGCTAATGCGCTTAATCTTCAAATGGAAAATTTCCCTTTCAATCCCATTCGGCATTCTTTGTTATATATACACACACACACTCTAAAATGCACATGGAAATTAACAAGAATTGCAAACTATGTAAAAGCACTTGTCCGCGTTTGATAAATTCCAATAAAGGCGACACACATACAAACACATTAATTGTACCTGGTTTACACCCCAGAAATGTGTTTAATTTGCTTCCAACAAAGCCGCTTTGGTTAACTTAAGTTTGAAAACTGCTGATGTGTTTGGAAATTTCGCACGAAGAAGAATAGCGGCAGTTGCGAAAAAGCTCATGTTATGCTCTCTATAGCTCTCGCTAGAGCTTTTGACTATTGGAGAGCGGTGAGGTGTTGCCTCCGCAGGTGTACGTTCCAATCGGAGATTAGATTTTTAGGCTAGTTGGGCGAGATACTACGATGCGAATTCGTTCAATGCTAAGGTCAGGGTTAGACACCTCGGCCAGTCTAGACTAGTGGAGACTTTGGCCCAATCTAATCGCCAATCTAACAGCCCTTAGCTCTCCGTCGCGTGATGGCGGCGTGGCTTTATCTATCGCTACCTAACAACGCGATCCAATCACATGTTAATCACCTGCCAATTGCGGTTTCATCAAACGAACGGCCATTACACTAGGCAAACAGGCGGGCGGGTACTTCGACCCTAGATGGAAGCCTAACATAGCCATGGGACACGTGAACCTCTGTGGTCAAGCGAGAGCTTAAAAAATCATACGATGCTGAGTGAAATAGTCAGCGAAAAAGCGATTAGAACAGAGAAAGAGAGAGATGGTGACGACGGGCAGTAGCGCAAGCAAAAGGGTATCTTAAGGTTAGAAGTCCAATTCTTTTCTTAAGGCGTTACATTTTATAGTTTCTTTCAAATATGTGTTTTAAATAATTTAAATTAATTTAATTTATAAGATATCTAAATCTGATAAAATGGCCACGAATAAATACATATCATATCATTGCATATCGTGAAAAATGTCGAAGTATTCATATTTACAATTAATGGCTAGAGTTGGGTTGCAAAATGTTTGTTTAAAACTATATATTTTAAAGGTCCCAGTGTGAAATTGTAGACCCCGCCCCTGATAATGAAGTATGAATAACCAGAATATTGTCTATATAAAAATACACACAAACGCCACTCACATACATATGTACATTTTTAATGCAAGACCAGCAGATCACAAGCGAAAGCTTTTTGACATGGCGAAAGCAACAACCAGGAAAAACAAGAGAGAGCAAGAGAGGGCCAAAGCTAAATGGCCCCCAGCATGTCAACCAAACAGCTGATTTTATTCGTTCCAAGAGGGTGCCAAAATCGAAAAATGAATAACCGGCAAAACAAACACAAAATAAAACCTAATGGAAACACATGGAGATAAGACGCAAACAGCACACATTTATCACAATTTTGCATTGAACTTGAAATTAGTTGTCGCCACATTGTTGCGTCTTGACTGATTTTATAAGAACGGATAACGTGGGAGCTTATATCCGAAAGCGAGAGAAAGAAAGCGGAGAGCGATTTGGGGGCGAGAAAGGGAGAGAGAATAGTTCTCCAATTGTTATTGTTGGGAATCGTTATCACGCTCTTTAAGCGTGATGGTCTTTATACACTTTGCAAAAATGAGACCAAAGAAGCGATTTGGGAACGGACTAGGAATTTTTTATGTTCTACTTATCTATGTACATTTACCTATTTAAATATATTAAAGTGAGTGCTAAATTACTGTCTTGCCTTTAGATGTCGACAATCGAAGACTTTTACATATTCTAAGGTGATTAATAGCCTCACTACTAAATATAGTTCGTCGACATGCAGCTTAAGAAACGCAATTTGAAATGTAAATATTCACATATCTGTATTCCATACGTAATGGCTGTCAAAGTTGATTTACAAAATGCAGATTAACAGAAAATTAATTCGTTTCAAGAAATATAATGAAAGAAGAAGGAACTAGGAGAAGTCATTTCAAAAGTGCAAAATGCTATTCGAGTATTTGTGTTAAATTTGATTTTAATTTTGGGTGAGATATTGGTGGCACGAATTAGAGATATTATAAATGGGCGTAAATGGGGTGTTCCTTAAAGAGAGGTCTATAAACTAAAAACTGCTCATATACCTATGTAGGGCATTGTAATTTCAGTCAGCAGCGTGTAAGGAAGGAGTCATTTTCGCCCTATAAATTCTATATATTCTTGATTAGCCTTAACAGCCGAGTCAATCTAGCCATGTTCGAAGAAAAAAATATAATAAATAAAAAATTATCAAATTTTAATTTTTTAAAATGTTAAATTCAGAATTCGGTTTTTTCACCTCATGAAAAGTAATACGGAAAAGCTTTGCGAAATAAAATGAGTAGTTATTATTGAGTGTGTCAAACAATGAATTATCCAAAAAACATTATATAATTATCGATTCAAAGAATGCGAATATTTTAAGCTTAGTTTTGATCGGTGTTCGATTTAATCGTATAATTCAATTACAAACTGCAAGGCATTCCAAAGTTTATTTCCTTTCTTTTTATTATTAAAAGTAAAGTTGTTGGCAAACAGTTAGGTTTTTGGGACCTTTAAAACCTACTCAATGTACGGTGAAACCCAAAGCCCCCTTCACGAGGGTATTCACTTAACCTTCTGATTAATGCGGTGACCGCTCAAGCAAAACCTTGACAACCGAAGAGCGAACGCTTCATAAACCGAAGCTGAGATCTAGAGGTTTTTTAAAATGAAATTTTGATTTGCCGAGAAGTGAGCAGGAAAACTGTTTATACTGAGTGAAAAACTCTTGCAGAATTGCATAAAGTGACGTTTTTGCTTTCACACTTGAGGTTTTACGTAAACACTGGTCATAGCTACCAAATCCTGTTGCAGTGTCTGCTCAACAAGTGGCTAAAAGGCGACAGCTTATGCGCAGTCAGTCTAGCTGGGAAAACCGACCCACCAACCTGTTTGATTCTCCAAATAAAGAGACGCCAATCAGCTTCTTAGACTTGCACTTTTCTTCGGAATAAACCCGAAAACGTTTTTTTTAGTAACACGGTTTATGTGGAGGAGTGCCAAGAGCACGTCCGTACGCTAGAGGAACTCGTTGTGAACTAACAAAACTTTCGCATACTTGCCAAAACGAAAACAAATCGATTAAGACGGTGCGGGCCGGCGGCGTCAGAGCTTTTTCCCGTCGTCGTGTGCATTTTCGTGGCAATATTTCCCGAGCTGCCCAGATTAGCCGCATGCACGTAGCCCAATCTGCCAATCTACGGTTCCAATCTCTAATGTCAATTGAAAACATCTGCGCAGGCATCATCGCGTAATGACAAGCGCTTAACTTCAGATTCAATTACATGCGGAATAAGCCGGTACATTTTTGTAAACATTGCGATTTTCAGAACGAAAGAAAGGGGGGCTAGACGAAATATGTAGATAGCTGGAAAGTTTAGCCTTCGGACTTTGGAACACAGCTGTGGGTTAGGTCTGTTTTAAGCAAATCTAATCGATGTATTTTGGTTTTCCACAAATTCACCTGGCCTCCTCATAATCTGTTTTTAGTCAAATTTACGGTTCTCGCACTTTGGCCGGTCGAAACCAGTTAGCGAGATCAACGCACACTGCTTTGGGCCAACATCTTTACAAATTCCATTAAAGACAAACACAAGACTGATTTGCATAGTTTCTATGATTTTGAATAGCAGAAGGTAAGGTTAAAGATGGACGCACGAGTTTTTATAGCCAAATCCATGCTCTTTGAATCAACATCAATGCTCGATGTACTAGGTTACTATAACCTTAAGTAAAAGCAGCACATTCTTCGCTATTAGCTTGTGAGGTTAAATTTGAGGCAGTGATTATGGTTTAAGTTATTGAGAAGCAATCACACCACACAAAAATGTTTTTTTTTTTTTTCAGAGTAGTATCTCTCAAGAAATCATCCCATTAATGTACCTAACACCGTGGTATTGCATATATGTACCCATTAATGTATGTATATAAATATGAATATGTTCCCCATAGTGCGCAGTTGAAAGATGAGCCATACGTTCTATTAAATTAATCATCTGAACTGTTCGCAATCTCTTAGGCATCACCTCACGTTGTATTCCTCTGGACGTCAATTGAAAAAGAGTACAACGTTGCAATTCATTGAGAGAGAATGCGGTAAGGTTACCAGTCCGACGGACCGAGACTTTGAATACTCTTTGTTAATCGCATTCAAAACGGTGATTAATTATGGCCGAACTTGGAAGAGCGTATAAAGCTTGTCCGGTAGTAGGAAAAGAGATCATGGTTGCCGTGATTAAAACATATTATCTATAGCTCAATTGCAATACTCTTCACATATCATCAAAGACTACATTTGTTTCACTTTTAAACCAGCCACTGTTCTAAAATTTAAAGGGTATTAAAATAATCAGAAATGATCTACGGCGTGATGCCTGTGCCGAATGCCATTGAAAGGGTTAAACCTTTATGGATCTGGTGTTGCGTTGCATGTGCTGTGACGTCACCGAGGCGTGCGCTCCCTAAGGTTACATGTAAACAGCTTTCGGTACATTGCACTGTTCTTATGGAATAATAAACTATTAAATAAATTTCCATTTGCCTGCTAATCGCCAATATTTCTAATCACTTCCACGACACAAAGCAGCAATAAAAATACGCCGGTCCGCACAGACAGAGTCGCGATAACGCTAATGCCAATAATTGCTTACAATAATTTAGAGCGTTTGTTGTTATCTCGATTATACGTATTTTACTGTGAAAAACTTACCCAAATGTTCCTTAAATGCTTAATATTAGTTGCAAAATTTCTCCAGGAAAAGAACTTCTTTCTATTTTTTTTAGAGATGACTAAATATTCTAATGATGTGTATGAAAATTATCGAATGTGTGTTTTATGTTGTTTTATCGATATCTTCTTCTTCTTCAAGTATCGGGTCAGGGTGAGTTTGACATTCAAATGAATTTTCCGTTTAAAACCTCGTATAAGAATACGGATTATATTTGTTATTTTACAAATGTATAAGCCACCTTAAACCCAAAATGCAATCGACACAAAAGGCTTTGAAACCCCTATCCTATAATTTCAACTTAAATTCGACCAAAAAATCTGACAAAACAATGACGCAAGAAACCAAACTTGACCTGGATCAGGATTTAGTGACTCGGGTAGGGGTCCCAGCTCCTGGAAGTATTCATGATAAGCACAAAGGCACAAGGATCCGGACATAACGCGTGCATAGCCCTCAACTCCTGGATCATTGCCTGGACACTGCGATGCCACTACACATCAGTCCAAGAAGGCCCTTGACTCTTGTTCTGCTGAAGTCGGGATCAGTTAAGGCGACGTCATCCTAGATATATTAACTGTCAGGAACAAACGCCAAAACAAGTCCCAGACGTTGCCTATGCCGAAACTTTCCAACGGACTAGCCGATTATTCTTATCATGACCGACCTGCTAAACCCTCAAACCTGGACGTGATCAATTAGAAGACTGGAATTCTACAAATCATTATCATTTATATAACGCAGAGAGAATGGACTTTATCACAAACTATTAATAATTCGACACTCAAATTGCAGACGTCTTTTTTAAATTATCTTTTCCCGGTAAGGATTACTAGGAAAAAGGACCACTTGTTGGGCACGATGACGTGTTAATTCGCGATGTAAACACTATATTAACACAATTATAGACTATACGATCTATTGTCTATTTGATAAGGCCTAACTGAAGATAATACTACTTAAGGACCCAAATAATTGCAATATAAAAGTTTACATATTATTATAAGTTTATATTTATATACTCTTTTCCCAAACGATCAATGGAAATGTAATGTAAAATAAGGAGAATGACATTTACACTAATAACAAGAACAAATTTTTTAGCATACCAGAAATTTGCACCTTATCTGAATACGATTGAGATGCCCCCTTAGCCATCAGTCTTTTTTCTTATCAACAAATAGAACGTCTTTGGCATCCTCGGCGGAGAGGTCCTTGTCGCCCCATCCCCACAGCTCATGGGTCCCGTCGCCAGTACGCTGAACCCGCCTCTTAATGATATCCGGAGAAACCGATTTAAGATCGTAGGCCCAGCCAATCTTGGCGAATAAGTCGATGAATGCAGTGGTCAGGTTCAGGGAATAGTTTCCCCACTCGCCCGTCTTATAATCCCAGGGGAACACGTGATGATAGTTGTGCCAGCCTTCGCCAAAAGTCATGGCCGCAACGCCAATATTTTCTGAGGGATTCATTGACCTGTGGGAGAAGAAATCCATTGAAGAATGACACCTAGCACATGAGTATGCATCTGCTCCTACCTGTCGTACGGCTTTCCACCGTATTTGTGAGCCGCACTGTTCACCAGCCAGGTCATGTTTAGCTGGAAGCACCAACGGAACATGGTGGCCACGAACCAAGCACACGTCATCGATTCATCCCAGCACATCTTAGGAATAACTGTGGGTAGGATAAAGCAGGCCAACGGCATCAAGACATAGTAGTGCCTAATAATTTGAGGAATTTGCAGTAAAGAATTATTTTATTGAATCATAAATTGAGGTAGACTTTTAAATATACGTACTTGCGTTGGAACATCAAAATGCGATCGGTTCGCAGGTCGGACAGGTCCAGGCCCTTGCCCTTCTCCTTTACATCCGGATGCTTCTTGCACAGCAGCCAGCCGACGTGTGAGAAAAAGAAGCCTCGACTCGCATTATGCGGATCAGCATCCGTCTCCGAGAACTTGTGGTGCACCCGATGATCGCGGGCCCAGTGGTAAGCGGCATCCTGGAAGGCCACCGTGTTGAAGACGATTAGGATCAGGCGCAGAGGCCACTTGGCCTTGTACGAGCGATGGGCCCACAGTCGATGGGCACCTCCCGTAATTCCCAGCATGCCGCAACAGTAAAGGACGGCAGCTGGCAGAACAGAAGGTTAAAAAGGACACGTCTCCACATGGAGCAAGGGGGAAACTAACCGAAGAATGTTGTGGCAAGCTTTGCTTGTGTGAATATTAAGTACAATCCGTATAGGGCTGCCAGGTGGACATAGGCAAAAAGTAATATATTTCGCCAGACCCAAGGCAACTTTCGATCCTCAGCCCGCTTAAATTGTGTAGTATCAATGGCCAGTCCTCCATCGATTGTCTCCACATCTGCCTCGAAGAGTACTCCTGTCTGCTTTGATGATCCGTCGTCCATGTTCTCTTTGAAATAGGGAGGCATAGGACAGACACTATTGAATGCACATTTGTGACTAAATGATTTATTGTCATAAACGAATTTATATATTTTGCAGATAATCTCAAGTATGGTACCACCTCACAGAGATACCTATTTTGAGAGTACTTAATTCTGGCTGCAATCCAACAATACTATCTATTGGGTACTTTAAAAACAAAACGACTGCACACGAGGGTGTCGGGGTCAGAAAAGCCAACAAGAGTGCTGCTAAGTAAATTAATTTGTAAATAATTGTTAAAACCAAATTGAAATACGAACTAAGCGTACAATTTTCTAAATAAGTTTTTGTACACTAGCTTATTTATCATTCCTCTTTACTGTACAATTTTAATTTAATAATAATATTTTTTTTTGCATAGAAACTTTATAATAAAATGACCTTATTATTTAAGATATTTCATTATTTTAGATTAGGACAACACAAAGTCCTTTTGATATAAGTATACATTTTCAAATTAAAAAAAAAAAATTAAATAAAAAGGTATTGAATGTTACCAACACTTCTTCCTTAGGTGAAAATGTAACATCAATAGTCACTCACTTTTTTAAGTTAATTAAATATTCTGTAGATAAAACCCTGCGCGGAGCAATCTCATTCGGTTTTCTCGTCCGCTGACACCAGTTGCTGGAATAGAACTGTTTTAAGGTGAAACAAATGTACAATATTAAAAGGAAAAGTTTAAGCGATTTAATTTTTCGCGACGCTGTATGGTGTTTGTGTTACATTTCCTGGTCAATGTTAGTTTAATCAAAAAACCAGAGTCTATAATGCAACGTACTGCACATTCATTAGGGTTAACCCTAGAAGGTCTCCTTTTTTACGACTCTATTTGAAAATAAAAAAAAAAAAAACTAATAATAGTTTTAGAAATATTTCAAATAATGCCAGCATAAGTTTAATAGTTGTAAAATTTATTTATTGTTTAGTTATATGCGTATTATCTTTATTCCTATCATTGACGAGGGCAATATAAATTTAAATTAATAAAGTGGATCCACCACGATAAGGTTATCGTATATATTCATAATCTAAAAATCTGGCAAAATTTTTATTTGTCTATTTTTATTTTAAATACAGATTTATTAACATAATAAAAACTAGCATTGAAAAGCTCTCCGATTAAAATTTAATGAATTTTTGGCTTCTTTATCATATTTGAAAAACTTTGATTTACACACAAAATTAGCGTGTACAAATTAATGTCTCTAAAATATATATACATATATTTCTTTTTTTTAACAACCACTTTCAGTAAAATATGAGATTAAAGCTTTTTACATTAAAAAGAATGATGGGCCATTCAAGTGAGTACCTATAAAAAATATTTGAAATGGATCAAAGTTCGAATGACGTGTTGTGAGTGTACTTTATGGGTCGGACCCAGTCTAGACATATAAAATGAATCACTTTAATAACTGAAAGTATAAGTCAGATTGGTCAACACCGCAAATCTGATAACAAAAATGAATAATGTAAATTAGAAAACTTAAGGGACGACCTAAACTAAACGTGAACGATTTTCTAATTGTATATACAAATTAGACTATTAATACCAGAACCAATAAAACATATTACTATTATACAAAATTATAGGTTCTTCGGATACAACTTCAATGTTTATTAATCCAAAGTATGCTAATATTATTAATTTTTTTAACCGAAATCTGAAGCCCATTATTTTACACAAGAAGCAAATGCCAATTATCCAAATATCAATCAAATTATGTATAAAGTTAAGTTTTGTTGCTGTGTTTGTTGAGGGCCTGTAATTTGATTGAATCATATCAAGTGTTTTCATTTTTAATCATTGATTATTCGTCATCATCAATAAAACGTATATTTTTAGCAGTGCAAATAATTCTAATCATTTTAAAAAATTCAAAGTTGAATTCAAAGTTCAATGCAGTGTCATACCATGACCTACCGGACTTTGTAATCAAGGGAAACAGAGGGAAAAGTAAGAACACTACGGAATAGGCAAGTCACTTTAAAAAGACAAAAACTTCGTTCTATTTAATAACGGGATGTAAAAGGCTTTTGTGTGAGTATCTAATAAAAGAATAACAAGTCAGATTTTTAGCACAGAAGTACAGTTATGTATTTGAATAAGTTAACAGGTCGAATGGCTCAGTTTGAAACTGCTAAGTGAGGGTGTTATGTACAAAGTTTAAGTGTATGATTTGGAACAGTTAATTTTTTTCATATTAGATCGCAACTATTTCTCCGTTGGCTTGTCTGTAGGATCTTTACTATCTGCGCTATCCACGGGCTTTTCTTCGGACTTCTTTGACTTCTTCTGGGCCTTTTCTGCCTGCTTCTGTTTCTCGGCCTCGGCCAACGCAGCCTCCTGCTCTTGCTTAAGTTTTTCCTTCTGGGCAGCGGCCTCTGCCACTTCCTCATCATCCCAATCGGCCATCGAACGATCCCGCTTGAGCCACGAGTGTGTTGTATCTGGCTTGAAGGCTGCAAGGAAATCATTAGAAATTAAAGGATAGAAGGATCAAAACAACCCACTCTGATTGAACCACTTGATGCCGTTCTGCATGTCCTCGATGATTTCCCGCGAAGTATACATCACCTCGTTCTGCACGGCCTGGTGGAAAGTGGACGTCTCAAAGGCGCTCGAATAGACCGAGTTGCGATCGTGGATAAGGGCTCTTTGCGGGAACTTGGCCAGGCACGTGGCCAGCTCGAGGGCATTGCCCAGCGCTGTGCCCGTGGGCACTATGCGGTTCACCAGCCCAATGTCGTGGGCCTCCTGGGAGCCCACCGGTCGTCCGGTGAGTATAAGATCCAAGGCACGGGACAGACCAATCATGGCCGGCAGGCGAATAGTGCCTCCATCCAGCATCGGTACGCCAAAGCGGCGATTGAAGAACCCCAGGACAGCGGACTCCTCCATAACACGCAGGTCACACATCAGGGCCAGCTCCAGGCCGTTCGCGATGCAGTAACCGTTTATGCCGCATACGACCGGCTTTTTGATCTGGCGACGCGTGGGCCCTACTGAGCCCTCCGGCCGCATGAGAATGTCGACACTGATCTCCTCCTTCTCGTCGTTGCTCATCTCCAAGATATCAAAGCCAGAGCAGAAAGACCCGCCAACGCCGTACAGCACGGCCACCGGCGAAGTGTCGTCCGCTTCGAAGTTGGAGAAGGCGTCACAAAGCTGTGAGGCTGTGAGCGAATCGATGGCATTGCGCTGCTGCGGCCGGTTAATCCCGATCAGCGTGATATTCTTGTCCTTCTCCACCAGGATGTTCTTTGGCGGTCCCGATTCCGCCTCCGCCTGCGGCTCGGCGTCTTAAAAATTCAAATTACTTATTAACATTATGTCACTGGGGTTTGCCGTGAGTTACCTTTACGCAGAGCATTTGTGGCGGAGAATGTGCGGCGTGCTGTTAAACGAGCCTGCTGTCCCACCTGCTGGCCCAGCAGTAAGCCAAATTTACGCAACATGTTCTGCGGCGGCAGTAAAAACAATAATCGCAATTAAAGTGGTAAAAAAGCGGCAATGTTTACCGGAAAAGAAGTTGTTCGTCAAGTTAAGTTAACAAAAACAAGCCAATGGGAATGGCGTTCAGGGTTGCCGCCCTATAGTTGGGTGGCATACATATTAATCTAGCTTTTATCCGACAAATCTAACTAACTTAAAGTCTAGCAATTTAAAGTGTTATAAATAAATTATTCCAGGTTGATCTGCTTCCAAATTGCTATTTTTATAATTATCGATATTAATTAAATATTGTCAATAATAGCAATGTTTGATATTTATTTTAAGCCGTTTTGGTTGGCAAAAGATGGTAATACTAATTTCGATAATTATCGTGGTATTTTCATAAGGCGTTAGTGTTTTCTTTTGGCGTCTCCGCGAATTTTTGCTAAGTTTTTCTAACTGCTGATAAAATTAATTAAATAAACTGCATCAGTTATGGGCATGGAAGTGGATACGAAGGAGTCTGTGGTGGAGCTCACCGAGGCGGAGAACGAGCTCTACGACAGACAGATCCGACTCTGGGGCCTGGAATCGCAGAAGCGGTGAGTAAGGAGCCGGCTTTTTGCAAATGCTGTGTTAATAATGGCGGAAATTTACTTTATGTGCTTTTAGTCTGCGCACATCGAAGATCCTCATCGCTGGACTGAGTGGCCTGGGTGCCGAGATAACTAAGAACATCATTCTCTCCGGAGTTAACTCCGTAAAGCTACTGGATGACTCGCTGGTCACTGAGGCCGACTTTTGTTCGCAGTTCCTAGCAGCACGTGAATCTCTGGGCAGCAATCGTGCCGAAGCCTCCTTGGCACGTGCGCGTGCTCTTAATCCAATGGTTGACATCTCCACTGACACACAGCCGCTGAAGGAGAAGGCCGCCGACTTCTTTGGTCAATTTGACGTGGTCGTGGTAAATGGAGCCTCCAACGAGGAGTTGTTGCGCATCGACACCATTTGCCGGGAGTTGAGTGTTAAGTTCATTGCGACTGATGTCTGGGGTACCTTCGGCTTCTATTTTGCTAGTCTGCAGAAACATAGCTACGTCGAGTATGTATGATTTTAATATTCTAAACATGTTTTAGTTTTCAGCTACTGCAATTCGTTCGATTTAGAGGCTAAATTGACTTTTCTCATCGCCACAGGGATGTAGTCAAGTACAAGAAAGTAGAAAATTCCGAAAAGAAGACCAAGTTTGAGACTTTCTCGATTCCTACGCAGCGAGAAGTGGACTACCCCGGATACGCGGCCTGGCTAGATTTCGACATCACAGCACCAAGTTATCAGCGCAAACTGAAACGCAATGGACCAGCCATTATCCTATTGAGTGTACTGCAGAAGTTCCGCGCGATCCATCAGCGTGATCCCAGCTACAAGAGCCGGGAGGCTGACTTGAAACTGCTTGGCGGAATACGCGATGAAATTTTGCCAAACTCGGGTCTGACCGACGAAGCTCTGGGCATCATTTTTGCACAGATCTCTCCAGCGGTGGCTGTGGTCGGCGGCGTTGTGTCCCAAGAGGTCATCAAGGTGGTCACTAAAATGGAAGCACCTCACCGTAACCTGTTCCTGTTCGACCCTGTGACGTGCGCCGGATACGTAGAGACTTTCGAAGCCAAGTAACTTAGAAACCCAATAATAAATGTGCACTTCCACTCATTCACTTCAAATAACACCACAGTTGACAATTTTATTTGTTTTTAATGTCCCGTACTTATCAAAAAAGCTTTGCTTGGGTCTCTTTGAGCGGGGTGCTAAAGGCTTAGGGGATGTTGGCCAAATAGTCTTTGATCGAGGCCGGGTCCAGACGCTGGAAACCGTTCTGATCGCAGATTCCAATTTCAATATTATCGGCAGTCATTTTACCCTCGAAGCCCTCCTTCAGGGTCAGGATGGCGGTGTGGACAGCATCCTCCAGCTCCAGTTCTTCGCTGTAACTGCACGGCAAACGAATTTTTAATATTGAAAGATAAAATTACGTACTAGTTGGGTACTCACCGCTTCTCCAGGAAAGTTTTGCCGTTAACCGCATTCTTTCCCATAGCAGTGGCTTTCCAAGCGAAGTAAGCACCCGATGGATCCGATTGGTACAGATACGGACGATCGTTGTCCCATCCGCAGATCAGCAGGGAAACGCCGAAGGGACGAACGCCACTGGAAAAGCGAGGGATTTTCAGGATAAGCACAATATGGATAATGGCGTCATCTTACCCGGACTGGGTGTACTCTTGCATAAGGGTGGCCACGCGCTGAACCAGCTGCGACACCGGAATCGGCTCCTTGTAGGTGAGGTAATATGACTGGGCGATCTTGCGGGCCTGCTTCACCAGCAGACGATAATCCGGACCCATTCCCGAGTAGACCATGCCGATGTGCTTGTTGATCATTTCGACGCGGTGGACACTGTGCTCCTCATACAGCGGCGACTTGTGCTTGTTCTCGGTGGCAATGACGACGCCGTTTGATGCTACATTGAAATGTGAGTTACTTATTGCGCCCATCAAGTGAATCAAACAAGTTCTCACCCATAATGCCCACGGAGGGCGCTCCGCCCGACACCGCCGCCAAGGCATACTCCAATTGGACGAGCTTGCCCGAAGGACTGCAGAAGTGTCAAAAATTGTGTTTATTGCCCAGTCATGGTGAAGTACCGGTCGGAATATGGAGCATTCCTAAATGGTTCTTGGGGCGCACTTACCTGAACGTGGTCAGGGAAAAGCTGTAGCGTTCAGTAGCCATCTTTTTCGGTCCTGAGCAACGGTAATGTTATTTGTAGAATAAAAAAGCCGACTTAATATGCATAGAAACAAAAATGACACAGCAAATGGGTGACAGAGTGACCAGGTGCGGAGCTAACAAGAAGGTGTTTTATTTGTAAAAAATACTAAAATATAAGTTGGGTCAAACTACCAAGGCTGCCACTTCCGCCTTTTCCCGTCAAATCTAGCTTTTTTTAAGATTTGCAGAATTCTGCATTTTATTTAAAAGGTATTTGGCTTTACCCTCTTTTTATTAAGTTTCAAGCATTGCGAAAAAAATGTACTAGTTTTTATATAAATAAATACCATCTGCGTGCAAGAGTGTCACAAATTGACCATTTGTGCAAATTATGCAGCAAGTATTTTGATGGTGCAACAGCCGTGCGGATAAAGCTTCATCGCACGAAATTTACCAAATCATTAAAAATTTATTGCGCGTGTAATTTTTGTGAGTAGACTCCAAATTCAGACTTCTTCTTGAGGAGTCAAAGGACATTAGCGTCACAAAACCGGTGGGTATTTATTTTAATATTTATAATAATTATTAATTTTTTAGACAGATTGGTACCAAAATGTTAAACGATCGTGTAATAGTACTCAACATGAATTGGACGACTTTTCTTTAAATTGCTTTGAAAAGTTCTTAATAAAAGTACAAATTTCCCGGGAATTGTTATACTTCGCCTGAGGTTTTTTAATGAATTAAAATTTACATATAATTCTTATATGAATACTCCACTCAGGTTTCATTAGTCAATTTTTAATTTCTGCTGTTGGCCGCAAGTGTTTTAGCCTTTAAAATTTAGAATACCCTTGCAGCGTTTAACAACTTTTATTGATTTGTTTGATTATATCGTGCGATGTATATCCTCATTTTTAGTGTGATGGTAACGCTACTTTTTTTAGTATTTTTTCTTGTATATTTTAGAAGTTTTGATTGGCGAAACCACGGTATGTTTTACCGGTCTTGTCGCAGCCACACTTGTTTTCTAGAGGTGGAGAACTATCGATAGTCGTCGCCATCGATAGTGAGCGATTATTTTTCTCAAACCATCGATAGTGTCGATAGTACTATCGGTAGTGTTATGCTTTTTAATTTTTAGATGTAAAAAAAGCTATAAAATGAAATTTGAACAAAACTTTATTATATTTTTAGCTCCTTAAAAATAAAAAATTAATTAATTTATTTATTTTTTTGATTAGGGATTGTATAAAAAGTACATCGTCGAACTGTGTATTCGAGCGGAAAAGATGTACAAAACTAATTCTTTTTTAAAAAGAGCATTAGGAGATTTTTACTTTCAGCTATACTTTAGCTTTTCACTATATTTTGGCGTTCCACTTTCAACTTTATTTTTTCTTTGTGATGTGATAAGCCGCGTGCAAAACTATCGATAGTGCAGGGCTGCCATCGATGGCGGTGCTATAGCGCAAAACCATCGATAGTGTCGATAGTGCCATCGATAGTTCTCCACCTCTATTGTTTTCACCTCCCGAAAAAGTATAACGCTTCGGCGTCGAGAAAAATAAATTAAAATTCATTCTCACAGAAATATGGTTCGCGGAGCTCTCCGAGGTGGACGCCCCATGCGTGGGGGCATTCGTCCGCCATTCAAGAAGACCTTTGTGCCGCGCCATCCGTTCGATTTGACCCTGGCAGAGGTGTGTTTTCCAAAAGTTCCTCTCGCCGGCGCTGTGGATGATTCTGCTCTGACTGCGGTAAATCAATAAACGCACATGGGCGGAGGAATGGAATAATTATCTTTATTCTCAGGCACTTCTGAAGCGCAACCAGGACCTGAGCCCCAATCCCAACGAGCAGACGGCCATTGGAAACCTGGTCACCAAAGTGCAGGCTGTACTGGACAATCTAGTGGTCGCCCCCGGAGATCTGACAACTTGTGTAAGTGATCTGGAATCCCAGTAGAAACACAAGTCTTTAGTTACCGTAACCAACAGCAACTGGAGGAGGTACGCCAAGTGGGCTCCTTCAAGAAGGGCACTATTCTTACCGGCAACAATGTAGCCGACGTGGTGGTAATTCTCAAGACGCTGCCGACCAAGGAGGCGGTAGACGCCTTGGCCAAGAAGGTGGAGACTGACCTTAAGGCCAGCATGAAGACCGAGGTACTAACCAAGGGAGACCAGCATACTATCCAGACCCACGAGCGCGGCTTCGACATCGCCAATGTTCATGCCAAGGTGCGCATCCTGATTGCCACCTTACCACAGAACTTGCGTAAACTGGAGCCAGAGATTCACATGGACCACAAACTGATGCAGAGCCATCTGGCCGCCATCCGTCATACGCGTTGGTTCGAGGAGAACGCTCACCACTCTTCGATCAAGGTACTTATTCGAATTCTCAAAGATCTCACTCGGCGCTTCGACGCCTTCGCTCCGCTGTCGGCCTGGATGCTGGATTTGATTGCTCATTTGGCCATTATGAACAACCCGTCGCGTCAGGCACTGCCCATCAATCTAGCCTTCCGTCGCGTCTTCCAGTTGCTCTCCGCCGGCCTCTTTCTGCCTGGCTCTGCCGGTATCACCGACCCGACGGAACCGGGTCACATCAGAGTACACACTGCCATGACTCTGGAGCAGCAAGATGTGTGCTGCTACACGGCCCAGACCCTGCTCCGTGTGCTAGCCCATGGCGGGTACAAGCACATCCTGGGTATGGAGGGCAACACCAGTATTGTGCGCGAAATGTCCGTCTGGAACGGCGTGTGCGTCTCACCGCTCTCGGCTGTCTACGAGAAGCCCACAGATAAGAAGGAGGGTGACATTGAAGAGGACATCGAGATGATCGAGAACGAGAACGAGGACGATGGAGGCAGTGACGAAGGCGCCGAGTAATTACTCCACTTTCCCATTCATATTCGATAGAACTTTATATAGCACCTACTCATGTATGCATGTATTTTACAAAGCAACCCATTGACTAATGAATTAGCATGCTCCCAGTTATGGGTTCATCCTCACAAACAGAGACCGTAACTTTTTTTCCAAGTATCTCAAAGAAAACCTCGGCTGTGAGGCCACTCGGCTCACTGACTTTGATGGCCAAGTCGCCCATCTGCAGGCAGTGGCCTTTGTTGAGATTACGGGTTGTCACAATGGATTTACCCAACTTATTCCTGCAAGGCACCTCGCAAAGCAAAATGTTTTTATCATGGACAGCTCGGAGAGCTTCTTCCAGCTCATTACCGCCATTTAAGGTTCTTACAATATCACTTGGACAGAGTGGCTTCTTCCCCAGTTTAAAGTTATAAATTGCACTTGCTAAGGCTCGCAATTCCTCAGGCTCTAAAGAGCAGCGGTGGTCAGAGCCCTTCTGGTTTTTGTCCAGTGTAAAATGGCGCTCCACTATGCGGGCGCCCAACAAAACTGCTGCTTGGCTAATGGATATACCCAGTTCATGGCCAGAGTAACCAATAACCACGTTCGGAAAGCGGCGCATAAGCAAGGAAATAGTCTGCAAGTAGCAATCTTTCGGCAAAGTTGGGTAAGACGAGACGCAATGCATAAGAGCGAAGTTTTTTTTCCCAGCCTCCTCCATTATCTGAACAATCCGTTCAACTGTCGCCATAGTCTGCATTCCTGTGGAGACCACCAGGGGCACTTCTAAACCAGCTGCCTTTTTTAGAAGCGGAAAGTTGTTTGCATCTCCAGATCCAATTTTGATGAAGGGCACTTTCAACTCCAATAGGAAGTCCAAGGAAGACTGGTGCAAAGTAAAGAAAAATGTTATTAATTTAATATTCATTATTCTTAATCGAGATTAATATTTAAATTAAAATAAGAAGGGGAACTATCTTTGAAAAGCCTAAGTTTATATACCCTTGCAGTTTGCCATTCAATTACAGGATCGAATCTACATGGATCAAAGGTCAGTTTAAAATATTCGACTTTTTTGAACCACTAAAACTTATAAAATTTTGAAAAAATTGGTAAATTTTTTTATCGGCCGTAGATGGCAAGATTTATAGAGTCGGAAATGACTCACAGCGGGCTTCTGACTAAAATTATGAGATCCTCCAAGAGTATACAAAAATTAAGACTTTTCATTCTTTAATTGTTATACCTCATCCATTGCAGAAGCAGTAAAGTCTACATTAAGCTTGTAACTGTAAGCTTGTAATTCCAGATACTGATCCTTGGAGAACTCTAGATACTCCTTGTGTTCTCCGTAGGTTTTTCCCCACGCATGATCACTGACATATTTACGTTCCAGAGCGGATCTGGTAAATTTTGCTGGCAAATCCGATTTTTGAAACTTTACGCAGTGGCAGCCAGCATTCTTGGCTTCAGAAATCATTTTCTTGGCCGTTGCCACGGATCCTTGATGGTTCTGGCCAATTTCCGCTATAATATAGACGGCGTCAGCTTTGGATCCATTCAAAATGTTGTTTAAAAGCATCTTCAATTAATTCGACTTAATTCAAATGCGCTCAATTTAACAGTCAATTGAAATTGGAATGGGCGTGGGCGGGAGACAGTGTGACCGGATATACTACACGAGCTAAGAAGAAATATACAAAGTTATATCTCTGAGCGAGGAATTGGGGCACTAATTAAATAATTATATATTATTTATTAAAGTTTAAATATTTGCTTTTTGGCAAGCGCAACGTAGATAAACCAGCGATTTTCGGTAACGCTATTTACTTTCTAGTATTTTTATAGCGCTTATGAAAAGTCTTTCTCTTTCTCTCACCCACTGCCATATCGATGCATCGCCATTTTTAAATTATCGATAGTATCGATTTTCGTTTTTGCAGCTCTGCGGTAGTGAGTGGTCGATCCAGGTCTACATAAAAAAATATAAAAACGTAAAATTAACGCTAATAGTTACGTGGGCAGTCATTTTTAAGGAAATAAACTCTCAATAGCAGAGCAGCAGCAAGGCGGAAACATGGGTGACGTCATGAATATAGACAGCATAATATCCCGACTGCTGGAGGTGCGTGGGGCACGGCCAGGCAAGAATGTACAGCTCTCGGAGAACGAGATCCGAGGTCTCTGCCTGAAGTCGCGCGAGATCTTCCTCTCGCAGCCCATCCTGCTGGAACTGGAGGCGCCGCTGAAGATCTGCGGCGACATTCACGGCCAGTACTATGATTTGCTGCGTCTCTTCGAGTACGGCGGCTTTCCGCCGGAATCAAACTACCTGTTCCTGGGCGATTACGTTGACCGCGGCAAGCAGTCGTTGGAGACCATTTGTTTGCTGCTCGCCTACAAAATCAAATACTCGGAGAACTTCTTCCTGCTGCGCGGCAACCATGAATGCGCCAGCATTAACCGCATCTACGGCTTCTACGACGAGTGCAAGCGCCGCTACAGCATCAAGCTATGGAAGACGTTCACCGACTGCTTTAACTGCCTTCCGGTGGCGGCCATTGTTGACGAAAAGATCTTCTGCTGCCACGGCGGCCTGAGTCCCGATCTGACCTCGATGGAGCAGATCCGTCGGATCATGCGGCCCACCGACGTTCCCGATCAGGGCCTGCTGTGCGATCTACTCTGGTCCGATCCGGACAAGGACACTATGGGCTGGGGCGAAAACGATCGTGGCGTCAGCTTCACCTTCGGCGCCGAGGTGGTGGCCAAGTTCTTGCAGAAGAACGAGTTCGATCTCATCTGTCGCGCTCACCAGGTGGTCGAGGACGGCTACGAGTTTTTCGCAAAGCGCCAATTGGTTACGCTCTTCTCGGCGCCCAACTATTGCGGCGAGTTCGACAACGCCGGCGCCATGATGTCTGTGGACGACACGCTGATGTGCTCGTTCCAGATCCTGAAGCCGGCAGATAAACGTAAAAAGTAATATCACACACAGCAGCCCAACAACAAACAAAAGTCTTTTTCTATATAACAAAAAAACAAAACAACAAACAAAACCAACCGACACCCAAGAAACAAATCCGAAACATACAACCAGAAATAAATAATATGCTTGAAACACATCAGATCATGGATGAAACGTAAGTGCACAGTTAAGAAAAGAACCAACTTCCTAGTGAATTACTCACCGCAACCTTATCTCTCTTTCTGGTCACTTTTATCGACAGCCGGGGCGAGTCAAAATCTACACCAATAGAAACAGAAACCCTATCCCAATACCTTACCACCCTGGATAAGATGATGCATGGAGGACCCCATCTTGGACCCATAGCGGAAGAAAAATGTTTTAACCCATTGAGATTTAATTACAACTTCACATTAACAAATACCATGATTAAAAGCAAACATATTTATTTTTAATAACCGCTCCAGCCCCCGCATATCTTCAATATCTATCGACCAACCCATTCGCACACACTCACATACACACACAAACACACATACACCTACAGACCTGCTGCTATATACGTTTTGTCCAAATTTTAAACACTAGGTAAACAGGTCAGCCTAGTAGAATCGGATTAGACCGCAGTCTCGGTCATAAAGCATATAGAAACGGGGGCCCTTTAGCGCTCTTAGGCCTTAGGAAGAGTATATGAAACAAAAACAAATAACAAAAAAGAAAAATTTAAAGAAAAGGGAAAACATTAAACAAAGGAGGAGATATAAGGAACGCTTGCCAAGAAGTGAGGAATGTAAACACTGTGTTTTGACCTTGAATTTAAAAGAGAAATCGATCAGTTTTTGTTCGTCCACTTTAGTCCAAAAGAAAAAAAAAAACAAATACATGACCCGCGTACATGTCCATGAAAATGGTTAGATTGCACCCGAATTTCCATTACTCCCCCACCCGTGAAAAAATACAAATTTAGCTTTTCCGTTCGTCATACCCTTGTATCATTTATAAGATGTGTTTTTTTAAAATTAACTATTATTAATATGTATTATCAATAATCCTTTGTATTAATAAACAAAAGATATAAAACGTGTATGAATTATGAAGCTGATTTCAATAAATATTTGAAAGATCCATAATAAATATAAAACAGGCCGAGTCGCAGGCTTTTATATCGCGTATTCCGCTTTATTTATGTATATTTACATTAGGAAAATACTTGTAACTTGTTCTAGATGAATGCTTTCTAGTGGTATGTGATTGGTGTGAGCGTGCTTTCGAGATCTACTCGGCGGAGCTGCTTGCCTCAGCTTGGACGGATGCACTTGTGGGGTGAGCAGTTGCCGCAACAGCTGCACTTTCGTTCGCAGTGGCCACAGGTTTCTCCTCAATGTGGCTAGCTTCGACAGCGGTGGTTAGTTCCTCAACGTCTGCAGCACTTTCTCCAGCCGCCTGATTAGCGTCCCCCTCTTCTTGTTGCTGTTGCGGCACCTTTTCCCCCTCCTCCATTGGAACTGGGTCCGCGATGGCTTCGGAAATGTCCGAGGCCGCTTCGGCCGGTAAGACAGGCTGATGGCCTTGGAGCATATCGGGGTTGATGTCATTAATGATGCCACGCAGACGTTGAATCTCCTCGTTGGCCAGTTGCAGGTCCTGCTGCAGGCGTTCGTACTTATCGTGCTGGTGGCGCACCACGCCGATGTTGTTCCTTATGTACTCCATCGGATTCTCTGGGCGCTCTTTGATCACGCGGATAAAGATCTTGGTGAGCGAGTCCAGGACGCTGCCGCGCTCCAGGTAGCGACGGATCTCGTCGCGCTTCGGGTCGATAGGCTGCGTCATCGTGGGCAATTGAAATTAGGTCGTTTCACTCAGATTTATTGGCGAAGCTCACCTTAAAGGACATCTTGGAAAATGGAGACAGGTGGTGTGACCAAAAAGCAACTTCGAAAAATACCCAATTCAAGCTTCAAGTTCCATTCCAAGGAATAGTGTGACCGTTCTCTGAAAAACTTTATAACTCACGTGTTATTTCCTAGTACTCAGATGGTCAAAAAAAAATCGTTTACCAAAAAATTTTACTTAAATATTAAAATGATTAATTCATTATCCTAACAGGATAAGTTTTCATTAATTTTAATAAATATATATAAATTTTTTTAAATTATTCACTTGTAGCGACCTCCAAGCAAAGTATTCCGATTTATTCAATTTAAAAATAAATATATTTAAATCGAGTAACATAGATCGTATAATATTAAAGTATTTAAATTTTTGTTTTCATCATTTTATTTATTTATTTTCACTCTTCAAGAACTTTATGCAAGTATGAAAGTGTATGCAATCCCATGATAAATTAAATGTTCAATACTTTTTTTTTTTTTAATTTAATGCCGTAATATAATGATAAATACATTTTAAATTATATATTTATTTATTGAAATTTTTGTATATTTAATAAAAACTTGGAAATCGGCGGCATAGGATGTCTGCGCATGTCAGAGCACTTAGTGCCCTATTTTTATATTACCACTAGATACAGAAATTCTGAAAACGTTTTTTTAAGAGGAGCACTAAAAATTAAGAATATTTTGATTCCACAATGAATACGTTTGAAAACACCTTTATTCGGGGACCTTCGCCGTCTTATTCCGACGATGCCAACTCGGAGAATGCCCTATCTGTGACTCTGCCCATTGGGGCAACCGTTCCGGATTTGGACTTCTGTCGAGATGACTCCAAGACGGACACCGCCGACTACTTTGATGAGAAGTACAACAGCGACAGCTGCTCTCGCCTGCATCCCGGCCACCAGGGACGTAACACCTTTGCCTTCTGGACGATTGTAGTGATTCTTCTGGCACTGACCGTGGGCAATCTAATCCTGACACTCACCATTGTGGGCGTTCTGCGCCTAGGAAAGGGTGTCCAGGGCATGGAAGTGATTCCCGAGGTCGATGTGGTCAAGTTCTACGGGTCAACGGAACTGGAGCGCGTGCAGACCAACTCGAATGGCCAGATACACGGATTCACGGATGTGCCGGTGACCATTAACAGTGATGCTGGCGCAGACGGAGAGGGAGGAGGCGTTCATGTGCGGGTGTTCCGCAATGTCAACGGTGCCAGCAGCGAACGCGATCGAATTGTTCTAAACAAGGAGGGCATCCTCATCCAGGCCACGAATATGTTTGAGGTGAAGGACCCTGTCGATCGGCGGCCGCTGTTTACCACCCACCGTCCCCAGTATAACATTCCGGGCGGAGTGGAAGCCCTGCAGGCCAAGGTGGTGAGTGCCAGCGGCATTGCAAGTCCCATTGACGAGCCCTTGGTGCTGGAGAGTGATGGTCGCATGGCCATAAGGGGCTCGGAGGGCCTCTTTTTTGATGCAGCCGGCGTGGACATGCAGGCCGAGCACCACGTATCCATCAACTCAACGCAAGGCGCCACCATTTTGGAGGCTGGTACTGGCATCTTTCTGGACATGGAGCGCATACCCATCGTCAGCTCCGAAATGGGGCTGCGCACAGGCAGCGTTCAGTACAAGATCTGCGTATGCATGCCGCACGGAACACTGTTCAGGATCGCCATTCCACGGGTGCACAACGGTCCCAAGATATCGTGCGCTCACTTCAGCGGCAAGGACGATCCCTGCGAAGTTAACTAAAGGTTGACTAAAAAATAAATAATCGTTACGCTTCACGTATCCCTAAAACAAATGTTACGTAGCACTTTTTATTTTCAAGGAAATGTACACGAGTTAATATGTAATTTGAAAACTGATTCCTAACTTGCATTGCAATGCGAACAAAATATGAATCAAAGAGGGCGGTGTGGCGTGATTTTGGCTTGGGGAGAAGGGACTGAAAACTAAATTGTTCCGATTGCCAGATATAATACAGAGATGGTATCGAATTCGCAGGACGAGAATGTACACAATGGGAGGCGGCGAGGGACGTTTTCAAATCAAGAGGCGTTGTGAATTTCATTCCGAAACTAATAACTAGTAAAGAGTTGGCGCGCGGGTTAGTTAGAGTCTACTTTCGTGTGGCTGGCTTCCTACACACCCGGAGGCGGAGGTGGCGGCGGCGGCAGCGAGTGACGGATCTTCGATGTACTGGGCATCACGCCTGCCAGATTGTCCGGCACCATGCTAAGAAGCTCAGCTTCACTTAGATGCGCCAAACGGCCTTTGCTACTCGACTTCGCTGTTGGTGCTGGAAATGGAACCTTTTACAAATCCGCGTTTTCTGACACCTCTAGTTGAAGGACTTACGAAATGAACTGCTCGTGGTGATGGCGTCCTCAGGATTGTATTCATCATCCCCGTCGTCAACACCGGCCGATGTGTCTCTCTTGTCCTTGATACTGGCCAGGATCTTGGATAGATTGGCGGGTATCGATATGCTGGCTAAAACTGCATTCGATGAGGACGCTGAAACCTACCGAAGAAGTAAAAGCAATGGTATAGGAGGAATGCCAGATGGGATCCAGTTAATCACTCACTGAAGGCTGCAGCAGGCCTGCGATTTCCATTTGTTGCGCGGCAATTTGTTTATTGATTTCATCCACTTGCCGCTCCAGATCATTGGAGATTCTTGGAGGAGCAACCGGCGTGAATTCGTCGTCGTCGGAGCCGCCGGGAGAGTAGGGCTCATTGGAGTCATCCTTCACTGGTTGCGTGGCCACAATTTTCGGGACACCTACAATTTGAAGAGATTAGTATGTAGAAGTAGCTCATCAAATGCTTTTATATGCTTACTCCTCTGAAGCTTGGCAATCGGCGCCTTGATAATGGCGTCAATATCGAACTCATCATCCTTCGAGCTGGTGGAGTGTGTGCTTGCTTTCCGTTTGGGGCTACTTGGAGGCGTAAACGTAAGTGGGTTGCGGGACTTCTGCCAAATAAATTAAGACTTGTCACATGTTACCAAAAGATTATTAAAACCCTTACCTTCGACAACTTGCTGCTTGTGTTGGCCGTCGACCCTGGCTGGGGCAATGGCAAAGATGGCAGAGGCGGGGTAGGTCGCTTGCTTAGGCAACGTACAATGATCCCCAGGAACGTGTTTGGTCTCTGGGCATCCTCGTAGAAGGGCACACGATCCGTTGGCAACAGAGCTGGCGGCAATTCGTCGCTAGAGCCCAACGGAAAGATATAGAAGTCTCGAATCTGATCTGAATCTACTCCAAGGACTCCTAGTCGCTGTCGCGAGTCAAGGTAGTCGAAGAACAGATCAAATTTGGAAGTCTCGCTCGGTGAAGAGGGTAGTATATGCACGATGACCACCTCTTTGGAACGACTCTTCTTTAACTTCTTGATGTAGTCCCAGACATTGACGCGGGTAATGCGTCCGATCACGTTCAGTTGGATCGGTAGCAGGTTGCCAAGGTTCTGGTTGTCGCCAAGAACAGGGTGCATGACCACTTCAAAGTCGGTCACGTCAATCATCTTTAGATTCCCGGACCATAGCTTGCTGGTGGTTAGACCTTTTATATAGCGGGAGTACCGGTCCATCGGTTCGTCGATTTTCGATGAGCTTGGGAGCGTGGAAAGCGGTTTGAGTGAGGGCTTGGCGGATTGTCCCAGATTTGCTGCCTGCTCAACCGTTTTTTCAGACTCCAGGATCTGATCAATAAGGTTGTAAGCACTGGCGTCCAACTTTTTTTCCGGCGTCTTCTTCGACACTGGTGTTTGATCAATATCGTCCTTCTTTTTGGGCAAGGGCGAGGCCGAGAGGACATGCACCTCTTTTTCCTTGTTGTTTTTATCCTGGGACCGATGCTCCCGTTCTCCTCCGCCTGCCTCTGCTTCGTTATGATGCCTGCGGTGACGCTTCTCGGTGCTTCGACCTCGGCTACTGGACCGACTGCGACTTCTTTTGCGGTGATGATGGTGCTTGTGGCTCTTGTGGCGCTTCTCCTTGGATGACGCAGACTTCTCCCGGGAGCTGGAACGCTCCATTATGGAGATGTCCGTTTCGCTGATCTGTGATGTTAGCTTTCTGTCAACTTGCTTTGGTTGACTGATTTCCTCTTCGGGCAGCGACACATCCATCTTGGGGGCGATCACCTCCTCCTCACCCTTGTGGGTCTTCACCACATAGTTTTGGGCACATGACAGTAAATCCAGTTCGGATTTCTTGATTATGTCCAGCTGGTGTCGATTCTCCTCCTCTCGCCACTTGGCCAGCTCTTGACTGGCCAACTGCTCGGGCGTCATACGCACCAGCTGCTTGGGTTCCACCTGCTTGGCACAGATCTTCTCGAACAGGGTCCGGTTCTTGCGGTCCTTGATGTTGAACATAAGCGACCGATACTTCGCCTTGTACTTGGCACCTACGTCGCGTCCGAACGAGTTGAACATTTCAGTCTCTACGTCCTGCACGAACTGATCCACCTCGATGTCTGTCAGCCACGTTGTTGTGGCTTGGCCCGAGGCAAGTTCCACCGTCTGAGCCTCCTTTATCCGCGCCAGCAGCTGCTCCTTGAGGGAGCGTCGAATGCCGGGTCTAATGGGTTCGGGTTTACCGCTGGATCGACTTGGGGTGTTTGGTGGCTTCTCCTTCTCCCTTTCTTTCCTGGCCACCATTTGGGGTCGAACCATCGAAGTGCTTGTCGTCGGCAAGGGAGACTTTATTGCACCTTCCACCGGCCTTTTCGTGACTGTTACTGATGTTGTCTCGACGGCAGGTGAATATGGATCCGGAACTCGCTTCAGCTGGTGCTTCTGTGGATACATTTTGTGGATTACCTGGTATAGAAATCGCACCTTAACATACCTCTGGATCTGGGGATTGAATGATTCCTGAGGGCATCACCTCGAAGGTAGGATTCTCCTGCAGCCACTTGCGAAACTGAAGTGCGGTGGGGGCCAAATGGCCAGTTATCATACGCCCACTTTTACGTTCAAAAACATTGATCTTATGGAATATAAATAACATTTATATTTAATAAATGGTATACAGGATTTATGGGATACATACCCGTTCCACTTTGGACACGGAGTCCGCCTGTCGCAGCATGTCCTCAAAGAGATCCTTCTTCTTATTCTTCTTTGCCTCCAAGGCATGATGCAAGGGCGATTGAACGTTGGCAGTATTCGTCATTGGGGAATCGGGGCGACCTTTTACTGAGCTGTTTGCGTGAATTGCGTTTTGTGCATACTTTCGTATGCAATCTTCGCTGCAGTAAACGGAATTGGAAGCCGCCGGCCGCTTGCAGAGCACACAGTTGGAGTCACCAGGCGGCAGCTTGATGAAGTTCAGCTGCTGCTGCTGGGGTGGATTCGTGGCTGCTGGAAATTTCTTTACTGGCTTTATCATTGGGCTACGCAGGGGAGAACTAGCCACAGGAACCCCTACCGGCAGTAACCTTCTGGGATTTGGAGGAGATTCGGCTGGAACTTTGGTATCATTGAATTTCTCATCTGTTTGAAAGGTTGACCTCGAGACCAGCATGTCGGTGATGCGTGGTTGACTCTGGAAATCCAAGCGGTTAATACCATTCTAATAATACTTCACAATTTGAGATGGGCTTACCTTCTCTTCCTGTTTTTTAACACATTTCGGACACTTCCAATCGATGCCCTTGTCTTCCATATCGGTGCCCATGGCCTTGGTCACCCCCACGCATGTGCCGTGGAACCAATCCTCGCACAGATCGCAGCATATCATGAAACGATTGTTGTGCGGCTGCCGGCAAACACACCATAGCCTGTAATTGAACGATTTTCAATAAGCAATTAATATATGTACAATCATGAACCTTACTTGTTGGGGTCATCGTCATCCTCTTGAGATTCTGAAGCTTCTGGATCGTTGCTTTGGCTCGTGTTCAGCTTCTTTGATCTCCTGGGCACCGTTGAGCGCCTGGCCATTGATGGTTCTCTGGGGTTTGGCCTTTTCGGTCCAAATGCACTCTGGCTCTCGTTGCTCTGGGTGCTGGTGTCCAGTGTCGGTTCACCGAAGGACAAATTGCTCAGATCCCCCGTACTTGTTGTGGGCGAAGCTGATGGAAACTGAGCTCTCCGCTTGGCACGCGTGGTTGGCGCTTCCATGGGGGGCAGGTAAATGATGCGTCCATTTCCGCGGACCACTTTCGCAGTGGTGGTGCTGGCCAAGCTTCTTGAGGGTGTGCTGCATGCCATTGGGAGGGATGGCATCGGATGTTCTGCAGGTACGATATTCACCGAAATATTTGCTTGAGGCTACAAAATGTAAGAAAATTAAGCCATATAAACCAACGGATAAGAATGAAGTCTCTTACTCTTACCGGAACCGATGGGACTGGTGTCAGGGACACAGGCTCTACTGGTGTGGGCATCGACACCATTGCGTCTAGCGTACCTGGCTCGGCACTAGCCAAAACCTGCTTCACCACCTCTGCCTCAAACTGTTTGTCTTCCTCGATTAGGCCGACCACATGCTGCAGGAAATCTGCCGTAATCTCATCTTCGTCTGGCGCATCTATGATGTCAATTTGATCATCTGCAACGGAATTCGCGCCACTCTGCATCTCTGCAGCGACAAAGTTTTGCGGTGGCGCCGAATCTAAACCCGCCGCAGTACTTTCCAGCATTTTCACCAATTTCGGTATATCCTCGACAGCGTTTACAGCTGGCGGTTGGTCCACCAGTGTCGTCTTCAGCAGTTCATCCTGGACAATGGAGTTGATAAGATCTAACTGCTTGTCGTTCTCCGCCGCTAGTTCAGAGGAACTTTGATGCGTCTCAATCACAATTTGAGCAGGCAACTTGTGTGACTGGGCTGTGTTCACGCCTATGGGCATAAAGCCCTTGGATGGGGTTGAAGCTTGCGTGGTATTGGTTACGGGCGGCACCATAATCGGCGTTGACTGCGTCGCCTGCCTGTTGAAAGTAGACTTCGGAGTGCTGGGCGACATTACGGCCCGATGACGGGCCGGCTCGGGAGAGGATTTGTTAGAATTGTGATTTTCGCCCAGCAAACTGTTTAGATTGGTGAACACACCCTTTGGGCTTGCCATGTTCTTGTTGATGATAATCTCTTTGACATCCTGCGGCTGGTTAGTGAATACTCCGGGATTGGCTACGACACGTCCCAACTGCACAACGGGCAAGCTGCGGTCTTTGGCAGGAACCGTCACTGTTGGCAGCCGAGGTTTACGCACGGGCAGCGCTTGATGTGTGGCTCTAAATTTAAGAAACGAGGTGCTGGGGAGACCTCTACCCAAGGCAATAACTGAAGTCGGCGCTTTCGGAGGCAGGTTTATGATTTGCCCAATCTGAGGAGCCTTTTGTTCCACTATCTCCTTTCGTCGCTTTACCTCGGGAAAAACCTTAGGCGTGGAGGGAGGCGGGGGCTGAAGTTTTGCTGGCTTGGCTTGGGATGCCGGTCTGCCCGATTTTCTGCCCCGCTTTTTCTTGTTGGGGTTGCGGCCACCGCTGCGCCTCATCTGGAAGTCCATGTCGCTATCCCTGTCGTTGTCCGAGTCCTGGCCGTCTTCGCTGTCCTCGGTCATCTCCTCAGTGTCATAGGACTTGTCGGCATTTTCCTCATCGGCCGGATCCGAGCTCTGGGCATCGTCATCGTCTTCGATAAAGTCCTGCACAGGGGCAATTACCTTGACGGGGCAGCGAGTTGGCCTTGTCGGCCTTACATTAACTATGCTGTTCGCAATAATCTCTGGTTTCGGTCTAGGCAGTGGCTGCTGTATGGGTTTGCGTATCACGTGCACCTTTGGTTGCAACTGTAGATGCTGCTGTTGCGGAGGGGGCGGCTGTGCCGTCTTGGTGGGTAGTCTCTGGACCTTCACCTGCAGGGGAGTGAAAGGCGTAGCCTGAACTCGCTTCTTGGCATTTAGAAGCTTCAAACTTCCCGACGTCTGCATGATGATTTTGCGACTCTGGGTCTGCATATCTGTGGACATTTTCTCAGCCCTCTTGTGGTTCCTCAGCTGCTCCGGCGTGGTAAATGGAGTGTAGTTGTGATCGTTTCGAATAACTTCCAAGAGGGCGTCCGTTTCGGCAGTCCGCTTGTAAATAGAAACGCCGGCGAGCTCTGTAAATTGCAACCAGAAATCAGTTGAGAAATACGAGTGGTCTTAATGAGTAGTCTTTTTCTAGGAAACATTGAATTTAACTACTCCTTGACCATAATATTCGATATATTTACTTAATGCGTTCTTCACAACCATGTCGGCTGTGCCGTCCGCGTAGAATTGCTCAACCCGTAGGCCCACAATTTGTGGTCGTTCCTTTGGCTTTCGGCGTTTTCGCTTTTTAACAATTTTCGGCTTACGCCCGGGACGTCGTCGCGTGCGAGGAACATCGACTTCGGATTCCGTAGAGTCCGAATTGTTTTCGTCGCCGGTGTTTTGATTCTCTTCATCAGGCACGTCCTCATCGCTCCCGTCATCCTCGCAGTCACTCTGACTGCCATTGTCGCTGTCGAATTCAGAGTCCGTCACCGTCTCCATGAATCGCTCCAGCTCCTCTAACCGTTCGGTCTCCTCCTGGTCCATCATGCTAGGTGTCGGCGAGGTGAGGCGTACCACGCTAATGGTGGAAATCGATTTTTCCTCTGGAGATAAGCAATGTCGATTAGGGGTTTGAGGGAGATTGTTGAGCCGTAAGCCTACCCATGAGGTTCCCGATGGCGCGCTCGTCGAATGAGATGCCATTCTTACTGTACACCACAACCAGATTGGAGTCGCTATCAACAGCCGCCGGCCGGGCGCTGGGCGCCTCCGTAAACACCGAACTGGACATGATGCCAACTAATACTGGCCAGCGTTAGCGGCGCTTTCGAGTCCCGAGGCCGGGAAGCGTTCACTTTATTAGCTGGCCGCGATCAGAACGATATAACTCATTTGTTGTTGGTGCCGCCGCGTTGTGACGCCGACATTGGATCGAATCGAAACAGATCACTCGAGGAGCGGGGAAAGCGATACGTAAAACAATAGTTGCATCTGAAGCGCGAGCCGATGTTGATGGGTGGACGTTAGCTATTTGGGCACATAAACTCCTACTATTTTCCGTTTTCAATTGCAAATTCTTAAGAATTATGGAAATAAAATTTGCAAAAAAAAAGCCGTCGAAGTGTGACCAGATGTCGCGCCAATATCGCATGTTATCGATAGTCGGCGAACAGGGCTTGATAGTTAAACTTTTCGGTATATTTCTCAATAAGGTTGACGGTTATACCAAATGCAAAGTCAACAAAAAAAAAAAAAACTAAGACAAAAACAAAAACACAACAATAACTGATAAACACAGTTAATTTATTGCTGTTGTTTGCTTCATTCGTAGATATCGGTCAGCTAATCTCAGTGGTTGAGCCCATATTGTTCCCCAGTTGCTTTGTGCAGTCAGTTAGACTACGCCTTCCTTGGATTCACGATGGCCACTTACCAGATGGGATCGGGACATGCAGTGCCCATGACTTTATTTCGGGACAATAGGGACCGCGCCGTTAAGGCGGTCCTGGAGAAGCTCCAGCCGGGTCTTAAGTTCGCCACGGGCCACTTGGTGGTTCTTCTTGAGGGTGGCAAGGACAAGAGCCTGTACAACACCGACGTGGACTACGTGTTTCGGCAGGAGTCCTATTTCCAGTACCTTTTCGGCGTCAAGGAACCGGGATGTTATGGCATCGTCACCATCGATGTGAAGACGGGCGACAAGACGACCGTTCTCTTTGTGCCCCGTTTCCCCGAGGAGTACGGCACCTGGATGGGGGAGCTGCTCAGCCCAGCAGACTTTAAGGCAATGTACGAGGTGGACGAGGTCTTCTATGTGGATGAACTCAACGTCTATCTAGAGAGGGCGGAGCCCAAACTGATACTTACGCTGAGCGGCACCAACAGCGATAGCGGCCTCACCCTGCAGCCCCCGGAGTTCGACGGCAAGGAGAAGTACGTGACCGACTGCGACCTGCTGTATCCCATTCTGTCCGAGTGCCGTGTGATCAAGTCACCCGCAGAGATCGAAGTGCTGCGCTACGTGGCCAAGGTATCGTCAGACGCCCACATCAAGGTGATGAAGTTCATGCGCCCTGGTCGCATGGAGTTCGAGGGCGAGTCGCTTTTCCTGCACCATTCCTACTCGGTAGGTGGCTGTCGGCACGCATCCTACACCTGCATCTGCGGCAGTGGTATGAACTCCTCGATCCTGCATTACGGACATGCCGGCGCCCCCAACAACCGTCCTGTGCAGGATGGTGATCTATGTCTATTTGACATGGGTGCAAACTATTGTGGCTACGCTGCGGACATCACCTGCACATTTCCAGCAAACGGCAAGTTTACTGCGGACCAGAAGTTTATCTACAACGCGGTGCTGGATGCTCGTAATGCGGTCATGAGCACGGCCCGCGACGGAGTGTCCTGGGTGGATATGCACAAGCTGGCGGGCCGCGTACTGTTGCAGCGGCTGACGGAGGGTGGCGTGCTTAAGGGCGACGTGGATGAAATGCTCGAAGCTGGCGTCTCAGGTGTATTCCAGCCGCACGGTCTTGGCCATTTGATCGGTCTGGACGTGCACGATGTGGGCGGTTACCTACCCAGGGAGCCGAAGCGTCCCAGTGAGCCGTGGCTGAGCAAGCTTCGCTTTGCCCGCATCCTGAAGGCAGGCATGTATGTGACCATCGAGCCGGGCTGCTACTTCATCGACTGGGTGATGGACCGTGCGCTGGCAGATCCGAGCATTGCCAAGTTCATCAACGTGGATAGGTTCAACAGTTTCCGCGGATTCGGGGGAGTGCGCATTGAGGACGATGTGCTTATTACCCAAAAGGGCACCGAGAATTTCGCTATTGTACCCCGTACCGTTGAAGAAATCGAGGCAACCATGAGCTCGGCATAAACATGACTTTCAGACCCAGATATCTATCTTGGGCAATCTGCTGTAAACATACATATGCACATGTAATATACTACAATATTCACTGTATCATAATCAAATTATGGATAAAGCAATAAATATATTATTGGGAGGTCGATACAATCGAAATTAAAAAATGTTTTCCAATTGCAATTCAATTTATATAATTTAGAGTTTGAAATGTTAAAGGGTTTTACTTATTTGCAACTGAAAAGATGCTAACATATGAAGTACTGAGTAAACCTGTCCAACATGATTGTGCTGTAATAAATTCTGATTAGGCTTCAGATAATACAGACCTCTTGGTGATAGGAAATCTATTCCCAGCGCCAATTGATACGGACTTCGCGATGGTTTATTGGTCGACAGTGTTAACAGAGTAATTGAGACTGCGGTCTGGCTTAGCGTGAGAGAGACGAGATACGAGCGACCAAGCGGATTCTAATTCTATTTACAAGCCGTTATTGCCATGGTAGCGCTCTGCCCCATCCGGGCTACATGTATTTCTTGGCATGTCCGTTCTTTTGCTGCTGCTTCAGATGGATATGAGCGGTGCCATTCTGCGCCGGAGGAAGCTCACTACAGGTGTCGCCGCCGCCCTGCTGTGTCGCCTCAATGAGCTCGACGGCACTGCGACGTGGGAACCAGCCACGGAGGTGACCCTTGCGCTGACGCCTCTTGTCGCCCAGCTCCTGCTCGGATAGTACACGCTCCCCAAACAGCCAGTGGTTGCGAAAGCGAGTTACTTTAATGATGTCGTCCGGTCTTAGGCGGATGCGTGGCTCATCGGAGCAAGGAGCGGCTAGGCACACGCGCCAGCCCTGCGAAAAGAGCGGAAGCCATCGGCCCGTGACGGGACTGATGCATCTATAAGTGCGTGTTCTGGCCCGCTTCTCCTCCTTCTGCGCCAGTTGTTCACGCTGAAAAACAGTTAAAGTTATTGCTATCCGGTCAAGTGTAATTTTTCTGCCTCACCGTTAATGTGTATTGGTCGCAGCCTTCTACCACCGGCCATTCAATGCCGTCACCCCGCTTTTGGCACTCGTCATTAAAGACCAATCGCAGATTCTGGCGCCATTTCAAATCATAGGGATAAAGGAACTCATCATCACTGTCGGTATTCCTATATCGTCGATAAATCGCCTTCTCCACGATCCAGATTTCGATACCTGTCTGGTTGGTGACAATCGTCTTCATCTGGATGAACAGTAACATGCTCAGGCCAATGACAACGCCGATGGCCAAGCCCATGCCCAAGATGCACATTATGATGCTGGCAAGGGTGAATTGCACGCTAGCCAGGTGCGCCAGTCCGTGGGTGAGATAGTAGTACCTGTAGATCCCGCGCCAGAAGGAGCAGCACAGCACCACGGTTCCCTGAATGCTACCCAGGATGGAAAAGAGCAAGAAGTAGGTAAAGTATGCGTGATTGGCCCAGCCAACGCAGTGATTTATCCACGGGCAGTGGTGGTCCATCTTCTTGACGCAGCGATCACCTAAGGGATAAAGGAGTACAATGTTAATATTTAAAATATTCAAAAAGAAACATGTTCTTACAGTTTAATTATTTTGTTAATTAATTTTACTTGCATATGCAAAGCTTACTCACACTTGCGACAATGATGGGATCGGGGGGCCTTGTAGCCCTCACACTTCTTACAATACTGCAGGAACTGCGCGTCCTTGGGATCCTGCAAATATGTTAAAATTCATTAAAATATAGTCGAATGTATATTAAACCCTCAATTTAAATGCACCCAAAATGGTTATAATGGCGATATTCTGCGTGATTTATGGGCATTCGACGAAACAGCAAGGTACAACAACACCTAACGACGCACAGCTCATTAAGTGACCACCTCCCAGTGGCCATCGGCCATCCATTTAAACCGCCCCTCCTGCGTCGGGGCTCGCCTACAAAACACTTATGCAAATTCGGGTAATTGCATTACGGACTTTGGGCTCCGTAGAATGCGTTCGCGTGCAGGCGACGGCCCGGTGGTCGTAATACGAGGAGTCACCACTAATAAATTATATTTGGGTCGCACCACTGCTGGACAAAATGAATGGGAACCGAAAAACGTTGCCGCCGGTGTCGGCCTCGGTCACGACATCTTTGGATTCGGATACGGTGCGGTCCGGATTCTTTAAAATAAATTGCAGCGTTTAATTGGCGCGGATTATGCGATAACCAGGTACACACGCCAATGGGCCGGCTTGGCCCATTTGTCTAGCCCAGAGGCCCTTTGCAGCGGAGCTCTCTCGACGCCTCCTCCCTTTTGTAGGGGTAAACAATTGCTTCCGTCTTGGAGTGACGCTGCACAGAGGAACGGAAACCCACCCTTAGACAAAGTGCTTTTGCAGTTCGTGACGGGTCAACAGTTTTTGGGGCCAGCGGAAGAGAGAAATGGCCCTATCAATGGTAACAGGTGTTGCCAACACACCCACCCGTGGTTGTGGGCGGACAGGTGACAAAAGCTTCTGCATTCCTTCTCTCCTCATTTACCTTGGGTCGCCACTGTTTTGGCAACAGGCCGGGACCTGTCAACGTGGCCATGACGTAATTGAAAGTGGCCAACGTGGAGAGCAGCAGGAACAGGGCCTGGTGGGCGAAGGCGGCGAATGATTCATTCGGTGGCCACCACATCGAGTTCATGTAGAGCGTCGTCAGCGTTATGCATTTGATTATGCCTGAAAACAAGAGGTAGATAAACATTATTGTGATTCATATGGGACAGTCTAGTAAATATGAACATTAAATTTGAAACAGCCCCCACGTCTCGCCGGGATGGAGGGAGGGGTTATGCTTCGCCTGGCAATTGCGTGCAGAGGAAATGAAGTTCATTTATTTAGTTTATTGTCGCTTTTCGAGTTGATTAGCCGGCACCACGGTCCAGTAATGAGTGCTTTCTCTCCGTATCCCTTTCAGCAGCACCAGCAACAAGCGACTGGCGTCTAATACAGTAATTATGGCTGGAACAATTGGATATCAGTTCCAAGTGCGGAAGTCCTACGGCGTCTGCGGCCAAACGGACTATTTGCACGCCAACCCCGGGCGGTCGCCGTGAAATTCCCTATAGGCCTCTGTGCCCGTGGCGGAGGCAATAAACCAAGCAAACGACTCACAACTAAAACGCAATTAGCGCGCCACATTATTCGAATTAAAAGTCCGTACGCCGTGGCAGGTTGTCAACCGATTTGCCACTCCGTGCGGCGGATGTGGCGTGTGCGGCGGAAAATGAAATACGATATGGCGCCGTCGCCTTTGCCGCAGACAGATGAATTGATGGGTGGGCGTGGCATCGCTGCAAGCACCGCCCATGGCTAATAAGCCGTAATTTGCCACTATTCCATCTTTTGACGTGTTGGTTCACTCCACTTTTGGCCATTTGCAAATTGGACAACCTCGTCGCCCATCCCATTGAGACTGATAGCGGCGACGCGATGGCCGCACATCCTCGGAAACCTCCTATTAGTAGCCCGGCCATCACTTACTCAAGGCTGTGATCGGACCCCAGTGTAGGAAACGGCGAAAGCCGGATATTTCAGCACTCATAATATTGTGTTAACTCGCGGCCGCGTCCAAAATGTAAATGAGCATTTTTTAAACGAAACAATGCGAGCAAAAAAAGTAAACAAAGAGCAGTGTGACCGTGGCGTACGCGGTTCTCGATACCGATACGTAGCGGAACAATATCGATATGTATATCGAATGTCACGAAATTTAAATTTGTTCAAACTATAACTAAGATTTTATACGGATTATTAAAGTATATGCTTTATTTCAAATGATTTCTCGTGTTTAAAAATTGCTTTTTTAAATCAGTTTTTACTTATTGGCTACTATCTCAAACTTGATGCCGTGCTCATGCTTCTCCAGCTCGCTGATAAGACTGGTTGCGCGGAAAGCAGCCCCAGGGGGTAGAACTCCACCCGTACTGGGCATCTTGTCGCTTTCGTTGAGGATGGTCTTTGCTGTGGAAAGCAGGGCCACGCAGGTGGATCCGTAGCCGGGATTGGGACCCGTAACCCTGACGGTTAGCGTTTTGGTCGGCGGGCTGCTGTACTGATCCGTGGTCTCGGCCAGCTGCTCAGTCTTGGGCCATCCGGTGGCCTTCATGGTCATCCGGAAGAACGAACGCTCCATGCGCGCCTCGCTTGGACCCTCTCGGGACGCCATGCCGCCGGAGAAGATGCCAGGATACTTGAGAAGCAGTTCGCGGCCAAAGGAGAACTTGGCCATTATGCCGATGACGACGGCAAAGAGCACCACAACGCTGGCCGCGAACCATGATGGATATGTCATGTAGGCCTGCATCTGGACGGGACGCTTCTTGTTCTGCTCGTAAAGAAACCGTTGCGAGCGCATTACCACCGATCGATCCGTCTCTGGGAAAGGCAGGATCACCTTGTTGTCTACCTCCGCGGCTCGGGATAGCGGAGAACGGGGCTTTAGGTCTGGCTGGAACTTGGGCAGACGCTCGGGGAAGAGCTTTCGGCGGATAGCGACGGACTCACTCCGATTAGCGATTGCGTGAATGGCGCTCTCCCAGGTGCCAGTATTGAGGGCTGCACTTCCAGTGCCTTTGGTGCCGCCCTTTACGCCCATGTGGACAAAGTTCTCCACAGAGTTGACGACGCCGTCAAAGTTCTTCTCGATGAAGGTGACGCCCATGTCGGCGGGAATGGAATCGAAGCCACAGGCGCTGATCACGTATACGCCACGCTCTCTGGCGAGATCGTTGTAGCGCAGCTGCATTGTCTCCATGTACTGCGGCTCGCCGCTGACATCCACGTGGTGCGTGCCTGCATCGATGCAAGCCTTGACCACCTTCTCGCCGAAAAATCGGTACGGTCCGGCCGTGTTCACTACGATCCGGCAGCGCTTGGCCATCTCCAGCAGTGACGCTTCGTTGTTCACGTCCGCGATGACGATGGGCGTTTGGGAGAGGTCCGTCTTGGACTTTGCCCCCATCTCACGGAGCACCGCCTGCAGCTTCTCCTGGTTGCGACCGGCGACGCCCCAGCTCAGGCCCTTTAGCACACTGACCGCCTCCAGGACCGTGTATTTGCCGGTGAAGCCGGTGGCCCCAAAGATGATGGCATCCAGTTTCTTAGCAGCCATTCCAGAGGTCGCAAATGATTAGTCGACTAAGTGCGTTATCAGTGGGCAGAGCTCAATTTCGTCTGCTCTGAGCGACGGGAATTTGTGAATAGTTCTAATCGGACTGCATAACAACTGTATTTATTACAGATAGCGCCTTGGTGACTCCACAAAACTCAGTCGCACAGGTGATTATTTTGGTTGCTGTTAGATGCCCTGCTGTCGATAACAACAAGTGGTTCGTTTACACGAAGGTAAGATATTGCGAATAAGTGATAGGAAGATGTAAGGAAAGTGTTAATTTGACGTTGTCTTTGATCTTTTTATGTGGGTACTTGATTTTTTAAGCTTGTCGCAAAAAATCTATTTGTTTCTATTCGTATATATATACTATCGATAGCACGGCACTTCTATCGGTGCATCAATTCAAATTTTTAAATTGTGAACTTTTCGACTATTTTGAAAAATTAAAAAGGTTTTACTGTTTTTCTTATCTTTTTATTATATTTATTTAATTTTAAATATGTCACCTTGTCTGTTCTTATTTAAAAAGAGTGTTCTAAAACAAAAATAAACAAAACAAAGTAGTGGTACAACTTCTTAATAGATTGAGATGGCGCAGACGAAATAAAGCTCTGGGTGGAGGCATTATCCCGCAGCGCAACAATGGAGTTATTCATGGGGATGGATTCAAAGGTGTAGAGGGCGCGAAAACCAATGGCTACGAAACGATCGTTTGAGTGCAAGGTAACACGGAAGAATCGTCCATATGACCGAATTTCAAAGTCCTGAAGCTTTCCGCAGTATCTGCTGTACTTTCGATCTGTGGTCATAAAATTCGAGAACTCCACATAGTCGCTGGCAGTCTGCTGGTCACAACTGATAAGAAAATATTGGATAAACCTCTACAAAATAGTATAAAAGATGATAAGTCATGCTCTTACGTTTCGATTCCCTCCACATCAAAGTAGGTGAAATGAAGGACAACCTGCTCATCACTGGCACCGTAAAAGTAGTAATTGCATACCACATTTTCCAGATAGTATCCCGGAAAGTTAGGTGAGTGAAATAAACCGCTTATGCGCTCACTGCTGTTGTAGACGAAAGCACAATCCTGGCCCTGTTGGACGCCCGACATGATGCCAAAGTCTAGAAATCATTATAATGGTTGCATCGTTCTGATTTGAATAATAGAAGTTACTTACTAGTCAGAAATCGGTATTCTGCGCGAAATCCGTAATACTGCACATTATTGGTCATTGCAGGCGGATATTTGCCCACGAACTGGAGCTGCAACTGTGTACCGCTGGACATCAGGGGCTTAGGCAGGAAGGCGCCGCACAGGAGCTCCTGTGTCTCTGCCCTAATCTCGGTCAACACATGAAGTGCATCTGACGGTTGGCAACCAGTGGAGTTCTCGTGCTCTGTGGGAATGTTAAAATCGTGAAATCGAATCTGCACGCGCTCTGGCGGTATTCCATTGAATTCGTAACGGCATTGCAGGACTCTCGAGCCGCCAACGGCGTGTTTGGCCGAGAACAGCTGGCTGGAGTCAAAGGTTCCCGATTTGTTTACGCGTGTGTCAAATATTTGTTTGCATGGTTCTGTGGAGTGAAATAGAAAACGATTGAAGTTATTAATTTTGCAGAATTTGCTTAAATCAGGACTGCCAAATTTAAAATTGACTACTTGCTAGACTCCATACATCGATGTTTTTGCACCTCTAATATGTAGTTGCCACTTAATCGCATCAGCTGATTTTATTTAACAGTTGGCAGCACTTCCAACAACTTGTTTACGTTTTGTGTTTTTGTTGTGCAAAAAATAATTTCATTTCGTTGCGTTTATTCTGCTGCTATCGTGTATGTTACGAGTTTTGAGGGCAACTGGTGCAGGTCCCTCTGGATTTTTAGCTCGATTCTGCAGCAGTGCAATGACCAGCAAACGCAGCCATAACGAAGACAACAAGTTGGACACCTTTCGCCGGATATGTGATGAAATAGCCGGCGAGCCAAGCTACCTGAAGAAGGCGGAGAAATTGCAGAGATTTTTCGAGCGCGGCACCAGCGGTTCAGGCTTTGAAGGCGACACGTTGCTCTGGGTACAATTCTTAATCCCAGCAGCCAATCAGCGCGTCTATAATCTACAAAACAAGGCACTGATCAAGCTCTTCTCGCGCATTTTCAATGCAAGCCAGCAGCAAATGCATTTGGATCTCGAGCAGGGTGAGCTAGGCCCATGACAAAACAAAATTTGTATTTATCTTTCGATTTCTCGCAGATGGTGATGTTTCGGAGACTCTGCGAAGGCATTTCGCCGCCTCCAGTAAGGTGAAGCCTCAGGCGCAAAGTAAATTGTACCTGCAGGAGGTAGAGGAGATGCTCCTGCAATTGGTGCAGCGCACCAAGGAGGATGAGCAGACGAAACTTTTGCAGCAGCTGTGCAAGAAGGCCACCGATTTGGATCTACGTACGTTTATCAGACTGGTGAAGCAGGACCTGCGGATCAATGCGCGGGCTAGGCACATCTTGGACGCCTTTGGTCCCGACGCTTATCCCGCCTATCAATCCTCTCGGGACCTAGCGGCAATTGTGGATCAGTTCGCCGGGCAAAAGAAAAAACACATTGTGGCCAACGGTGTGGTCAAGGTGAAAGGGAAGACGAAGAAACCAAATACGAGTGGCATTCAGGTGATGACGCCTATATCCCCAATGCTGGCCAGTGCCTGCAAGTCAGTGGAGGAGGCCTTTAAGAAAAGCCCCTCCGGACTGTACAGTGAAATCAAATACGACGGCGAAAGGGTGCAAATACACAAGCAAGGCAACGAATTCAAGTTCTTTAGCCGCAATCTGAAGCCCGTAATGGATCACAAGATAAAGGCACTGAAAGAGCACATACCGTTGGCCTTTCCAGGAGCCGGAGAGTTGATTCTGGACTCGGAGATCATTCTCGTGGACACTGAGACCGGTGCGCTGCTGCCCTTTGGCTCCTTAGGAGCTCACAAGAAGCAAACGTTTGCCAACGCTGCCGTTTGCTTGTTCGTCTTCGATTGTATATTGTACGATGGCGAGGATTTGACGCAAATGTAAGTAAAAAATATCCTTTTCCCAACTATAAATACATATTCCATCTAACAGGACCTTTCGTAAGCGACGTGAGATCCTTGAGCAAAATATCAAGCCAATCAAATCCCATGTACAGCTTTCGGAGTCGGAATTCCTAAAGACCAAGAGCGAACTGGCCATGATGACGGCCAAGGTCTTGCATGCCAATCTGGAGGGAGTAGTCCTGAAAAGTCCCAGCAGCACCTATCAACCCGGCAAACGCAATTGGTTAAAGGTCAAGAAGGATTACCTTTTTAACGGCAAGATGGCCGACACAGCCGATTTGGTTGTCCTGGGCGCATGGTATGGATCGGGGAAAAAGGGTGGGGTGCTCAGCATTTTCCTCATGGGTTGCTACGATGCAAGGGATCGCCTCTGGAAGACGGTGACAAAAGTGCACTCTGGGTTGGACGATGCCACCAATGAAGAAGTCCACGATTCACTGATAAAGTTAACCGACCGAGCTGATGCCAATCGGACGCCCAGTTGGCTGCTGTGTAAAAAGGCGCTGGTTCCAGATGTGCTGGCCAAGGATCCGCAACAAATGCCCGTATGGGAAATAACGGGAGCGGAGTTTACTAAGGCCGAGGCGCACACAGCTTCAGGCATCTCAATAAGATTTCCTCGAATTACTCGCCGCCGCAGCGATAAATCCGCTAATGAGGCCAATGATCTAGCCCATTTGGAAGATCTGTTTGATGCCTCAAAGAAAAACGTGAACGTGGATCTGCTTCTCGCAGACGCCACAAAGGAAGAGCAGCCAGGCAGCAGTAGGACGAATAGCGCCAAGAAATCCAAGAGGTCCAATACGGGTTCGAATGATGAAGGGTCAGAGCCAACTAAGCGCAAGGCACCAAAAGTAGAGCAGAGTTTGCCTTCATCGCAAAAAGAAATGAAAGACTTCTTCAAACCCATCAAAGAGTTAAAAACCGAAGTCAAAACAGAAATTAAAAGTAAGCGTAAACTAGAAGAACTTAAAATGGAGCCAAAAACCGAGGTTCCAAACAAAGCCCATACTAAAGTAAAAATCGAGCCAAAAGTGGTAGAAATAAAAAAAGAGCCACAACTGCAGGAAAAAGAATTAGCCAAGTTCAGTGAGGAGTCCAAAACCGAAGTTAAGAAGCAATTAAAGCTGGAACAAAAAACTCACGAGTCAAAAAGTGCGAAAAGCACTTTATTCTCAGGCCTGGTGGCGCACTTTGCAATGGAGCAGGATTCCAGCAAGCTGCAAGAGCAATTTGAGCGACATGGCGGCTCCTGTACCACCAATCCCCGAAAAGCTTGCCTGGTATTCTACAACAAAAACGAGATAATGGACCTCGAGAAGCTAAGGTAATATCGACTGATTCTCAAATTCTAAAAATATGATTTAATTTGATTTGTTTATTTGTTGCAGGCCCCTCTACCGACGCAGCTGTCGACATCTGAATGTGAGCTGGCTTCAAACATCGTTAGAGAACCAGAGTCGACAGCCGTACCCGCTATACGCTGTGATGCTGAAAAGCCGAGTGCTTTGATGAAATTGTTTTTACTCATAAATACATGCTTGATTAAACCGAATATATATTATACAGTCGACAATGTATTTTATCAAAGGCGGAAAGCTCAAAGCGAAAGCTTTGTCCAGCGAAAACAAAACGAGCCCAGTAATTGGTGGCGTCGTTAGTTATCTTCTGGACGCTTAGAACACGAAACGCGCACTGTTCTCACCTAAGCTCCACAAACATGCTGTGGGAATTCCTGGCTCTCTTCGCGATCGCCTTTGCGTTGTTCTATCGCTGGGCGACCGCCAACAATGATTTCTTCAAGGATCGAGGACTACCCTTTGAGAAGCCTTTGCTGTATTTCGGTAACATGGCCAGCATGTTCTTCCGGAAGAAGGCCATGTTCGACATTGTCTGCGATCTGTACAACAAGGGTGGCAGTGCCAAGTAAGTTTAATTAATTAAACTTGGTTTAATAACTAGTTTTTTATTTGTAATATAAGTTACACGCACTTTGAACCCGTTCCGCATCAAATGCGTATCTATGTGCGCCGTAGACTGTCAAGGTCACGATCAGTGAATATATGGTATATGGTGGGTGCGGTTTGTGTTTGGGTAATTATTGTATATAAATGCTTACAAACAACGGACCCAGACGTGTCGAGAATTTATTATCAAACACAAATTATGTGCAATAGTTAAGATAACTTTGTTACTATAAATGCTTTTATGTTTTGGTTATCAGTTTAATTTATTATAATCTTATCAATTATACGACAGCTTTAAATGTTTGATACGGACTGCACTCACGGTGATTATATTTAGATAGGAAAAACAATTTACAGAGCTTCTTGTCCAAGTACTTTTTGATAACATTCAGCTATTAATATTTTTTTTTTATTTAAAGGTTAGATAGAATATAAAATATCAGCCCTGGCTTTTAATACTGATCACGAATATACATATATGATTTATAGGATCGGAAATAACTCCTTCATTGCCTTACCAGCCTATGAAATATATATGCATCGTTGATAGGATTAATGTTGAGAAACATATTTCAGTATTAATTATTCGTAATTGCCTAATTCAAAAATATTTATACATATTTCAAAAAACCTGAGAAATATTTGATTATTTGAATAACAGCCATTAGATATGCAGGTGTGATCAAAACCATTCTGATATTCTACCTTTCATTCTAGTCTGAAAGACTTAAATCCTAATACTCTTTGCAAGGTACAACTTTTGTTATTTAGCATCAAAAACAAAAACGATTTTTATCTCGTTTTTGTAATTTAATTCTTAAAAAGTCTGTACAATGTGACATCATCTATGCATCTTTTCTATCTCGTTCATATTGTATGTGGCAGTGTGACAAAGTCCGATCTATGTACATATGTTTATATACTTATAAAACTAGTTTTTAAAATGCTATAAAATCTATTAAGCTTAAGCTGAGTTAAGTAAAACAATAATCGGATAGAATATGATCAAATTGAGCCGCATTATAAATCAACAATATACATACGTACATGCTAGGCAAATGCCTTTGTGGCGTATCATTTAGTTAGTCACAAAGTGCTTATCGGTCATTGATTATATTATTTTTTTGTTTTCAGATTTTTCGGTATCTTTGAGCAGCGACAACCGCTAATTATGGTACGCGATCCAGATCTTATCAAGCAGATTACCATCAAGGACTTTGACCATTTTATAAATCACCGCAACGCATTCGCCACCAGCAGCGACGATGATCCACATGACATGAGTAACCTCTTCGGGAGCTCACTGTTCTCCATGCGTGATGCCCGCTGGAAGGACATGCGGAGCACTCTGAGTCCAGCTTTCACCGGCAGCAAGATGCGTCAGATGTTCCAGCTGATGAATCAGGTGGCCAAGGAGGCCGTCGACTGTCTGAAGAATGACCAGCCATCTATTCAGGAGATAGATCTGGACATGAAGGACTATTGCACACGGTTCACGAACGATGTGATCGCTTCAACGGCCTTCGGCCTGCAGGTTAATTCGTTCAAGGAGCGAGAGAACACCTTCTACATGATGGGCAAGAAGTTGACCACATTTACTTTTCTGCAGAATGTAAAGTTCTTACTCTTCTTTAGCCTAAAGAAGCTAAATAAGGTGTGTGTATTAATTTAAACTTAAAAATTATAATACAAAGATAACTCTGGTTAAACTATTCTGAAAACATCTTACAGATCCTTAAAATTGAGCTTTTCGATAAAAAGAGTACACAGTACTTTGTGCGCCTAGTGCTCGATGCCATGAAGTACCGGCAGGAACACAATATCATCCGTCCCGACATGATCAACATGCTGCTGGAGGCGCGGGGTCTGCTCCAGTCGGACAAGACCAAGACGGCACCAACCCGGGAGTGGAGTGATCGTGACATTGTGGCCCAGTGCTTTGTATTCTTCTTTGCCGGCTTTGAGACCTCGGCGGTGCTAATGTGCTTCACCGCTCACGAGTTGATGGAGAATGAGGATGTGCAGCAGAAGCTGTACGAGGAGGTGCAGGAGGTAGACCAGGAGCTGGGTGGTAAGGAACTAACCTATGAGGCCATCATGGGCATGAAATACTTGGATCAGGTGGTTTCGGAGGTTCTACGCAAGTGGCCGGCAGCAATTGCCGTTGACCGGGAATGTAACAAGGACATCACCTATGAAGTAGATGGCCAGAGTGTGGAAATTAAAAAGGGAGATGTCATTTGGCTGCCTACCTGTGGCTTCCATCGTGACCCCAAATACTTTGAGAATCCCTCAAAGTTCGATCCGGAACGTTTTAGCGATGAGAACAAAGGTGATATACAGCCATTTACATATTATCCCTTTGGGTTGGGTCAAAGGAACTGCATTGGTAAGCTACTTAAAGCAGGTCTCTGAACATTCTCTGAATCTTTGTTGATCACATTGGAATCCCTATTTTCAGGTTCTCGATTCGCTCTTCTCGAGGCAAAGGCCGTCATCTACTATCTCCTAAAGGAGTATCGCTTTGTCCCCTCCAAAAAATCCTGCATACCTCTAGAACTGGCTAGCAACGGTTTTCAATTGGCACCCAAAACAGGATTTTGGATCAAACTCGTCCAACGCAATTAATCTTATTAAGATGTATGAATGTTATTAAATGTTTTGTTAACTGATGTTTATTAAAGATTGCAAGATTTTTGTTTAAAGAATTCAACTATAATTCCGATGTTTTTTTTAACACTTTAAACTAAGAAAAGAGGAAGTAAAATACTATTTGGAAGATCTTTTTGTTTTACGAATAAAAGCAGTTCATAGATGAGGACAATAAAGATACATGTATTCATTAAGAAGTATGCGTCTCATTTTTGACAGATACTTAAAAACTGGGATAGTTAAAATCAAATAAGGCATTATTTATTACTAAACAAACTCCCAGAAAAGTAGATGCGTTTTATTACCCTCGAGCAATCAGTAAAACAATAAAATACTGGCAAATATTTAAACACGCGGAGACAAAAGGCATTAGTACGCAAAAGTAAAAGTATTTAAGGGTAGAAACACATAGAAATTATAGTCAGTTCTGTGTTAATACTTTAGAACGTATTTTGAAATTAGCATGTCTGCATTCCCTTTAAATAGCGTTGTTTAGACAGTCCGGAAAGCGCTTATTATCATTTCGCACTTGGCTTAGGCATGACTGGGCGCTGGCACTCGAACTTATTTAAGTATTCTATTCAACTACCGGGATTCGCTCTCCTTCCCCTGGTGTTGCACTTCATCTGAGCCTAAGTAACACTGTTTTCCAATTAGCCAAATGGCAACGAGAGGGTTCAGAGATCGCCACGCCACTTGACACGAGTCGCAAAAATAGTTTGTTTCCTGGGCAGAAACAAAAAGACAATTTTAGAGTAAAGACTTTGGCTAATTATTTATTCTAATAAAGCCAAATCGTAGAGTTTATTATTGCAGGTCAACCATTAAGGCACGCCAATAAGTCTTAAAAAGGGACAATAAATGCGTATACGTAATATGCAACTTTGCCGGACACGTTCATCCTCTCCAGCGTCACCGGAATGAGCAAATGTTTACGACGTGACACCTTACGATCTCGTCTGCCTACGGATGTTTGTATATCTGTGTGCAATAGCCATCACAATCGATTTTTTGCGATCAGTGCTCGGGTATAAATAACGGCTAAGATCACTGAACACCTCTCATTCAAGCAACAGTCGCGATTGCGCCGTTCTCCGGAATACTCGGACCATCGGATTACGGATACTTAATTTGTTCGTTGTATGAGTGCCGCGATTAGGACCAGCAAATAAGATCACCAATAATGGCGACGGATATTCAGACATTTTATAAAGACAAAGTCGTCTTCCTCACCGGTGGCAGTGGCTTCCTGGGCAAAGGTATTCCTGATTTTGTTAGCTTTTCAATACAGTTATATGCACTTGCTACCAGCCGATTCGGATCAGTTGATTTGACCGATAATAACCAGTTAAAGTGTGTACAGAATTCATTAAAGAAATTATCTAAAGGTCAAAGACCGGTGATTTCAATTTGATTGAGATGATGCCTTGACAATTATCGCATTTTTATATGTATGTACTCATGACATGCATGCAACGCCCCAGCCGGTTAACACAAAAAACTGATGCCCAAAAAATAACAAGTGATGCGCAGAACCGGCTGGCACGGTCACCAATCGAGACCAGTTCAAGTTCAAGATCAAGTCTCTTGCTCTTTCCAGTGCTCATTGAGAAGCTGCTTCGCACCACCCAGGTGAAACGTATTTACGTGTTGCTCCGCTCCAAGAACGGCCAGGATGTGCAGGATCGAGTTGCCACCTGGAAGGCTGACCCGGTGAGTAGGTCCTTTGGATACCTTAACTGATTCACCTGAATGAGTTCGGGGATTTATTTAAAATTTAAAGTGGCAAAAATGTGTCTTAGGTAATAATCTTGTTTTCTAAAACCTGAAAGCTTAACTCATATGTGAAAAGACCTCTCTCCATTACAAATTCTTTTAAAATTCCTTTAGATATTTAATTATATTCCACAATAATTAAATACGTATTGCCTTATCAGTTTGTTTACAATTAAAAATGGATAATAGCAGTAGATAACTGGGGATGTTACTGCAGTTTTCTTGAGTTAATAATCTACAATTGTGGTAAATTAAATTAATAAGGCATGACATTGGCCATAAAATTGAGTAGACAACAAAAAATATGCATTGTTTTCCAAGTTGTGACTGCAAGTCTGATCAGAATTTCAATTTTGCTGATTCTTATAAAATAATTAACACAATATTACAACGAATTAACATACAAATAATAACCGTGACTGCCAGTAGTTGTCACCGAAGCTCGATTGCAATGTTTTTATAGTAAAGTATTTAAAATATATGAACAATATGTTTAAGGATAGTGAGAACTTAACAAGGACTCAAGAAAAATAAAGGATAATTTTTCAAAATGATATATATATATATTTTTCTATTCTATAGGTATTCCTTTTGCTTCTGCAATCGGATCCCGAAGTGCTGAAGCGAGTGGCGCCTCTTGCTGGTGACTGCCTGGCACCGGATCTGGGCCTCAGTCAATCTGACCGCCAGCTCCTTGTGGACGAAGTGCAGGTGGTGTTCCACGGAGCAGCTACCGTGCGATTTATGGACCCACTGCACATTTCACTGGCCATTAATACGCGGGCTGCACTGCTCATGATGGAGCTGGCCAAGGAGATGCAGCAACTGGTGGCTTTCGTGCACGTATCAACCGCCTTTTCAAATTGCGTGGAGAAGCACATCCAGGAACGTTACTACCCGGAGAACCTGAACTGTCCCGTCCGAAAGGTCCTGCAGCTATGCGACACTTTGGACGAGGAGCTAATGGACAAGATGACCCCAGTTCTACTGGGCAAATTCCCGAATACCTACACCTACACCAAGGCTCTGGCAGAGCAGTTGCTCCAGAATGAGGCTGGCGATCTGCCGCTCTGCATCTTTCGTCCTGGCTCCAGTAGGTGATGTAGTCCGCGGCTGTGGCTGTGCCCCACTAACACAAAGTATTTCCCCTTTAGTAATTTCCACCTACAAGGAACCGATGCCGGGTTGGATTGACAACTTATACGGACCCATTGGTATGCTCTATGGCGCTGCCCGGGGATTCATTCGCATCATGCCCCTAAATGTGAAGGCACAGGCTGGTATTGTGCCGGTGGATTATTGTGTCAATACGATGATAGCCCTAGCCTGGCATACCGCCAGTAAGGATCCCAAAGTAATGCATCCAGACCCGCCCATCTATAACTACACGCCCAGCGAAAAGAGTCCGGTCACGTGGGGCGATTTCCGCGATAAAGTGTCGAAGCTTAAGTCCGTCTTCCCGTTGACTCAGATGATGTGGGTGCCGTTCTTGCACTGCACAAGATCCTTGTGGCTGTTCAAGTTCCTGGTCTACTTCTATCACCTCCTGCCGGGCTACGTTTTGGATTGTTCACTACAACTGGCAGGTCGCAAGCCGCGTCTGATCAAGCTCTATAAGCAAATACATAAGAATATCGAGGTACTGGCCCCCTTCATGGACACCTCGTGGAGATTCGACACAAACAATACACAGCACCTGTGGAAGCAATTGTCACCGGAGGACCAGTTGCTGTATGACTTTGACATGAGCACAGTTGACTGGGATGACTATTTCATTGAGGTACTTCCGGGACTTCGGGTTTATTTGGGCAATGAGAAGCCAGGTGAAGAGGGATTGCAAAAAGGCAGAGTATTACTCAGGAAGTGAGTGACAAAATTTTTTAAATTCTATTTTAAGAATCCTTATCTAGTTGTCTTTCTTCCACAGGCTCATGATCCTACATAGAATCTTGCAGTTTGTTTTAATCGGCGGAGCTTTTGCCATTTTATGGTGCATATTAAATGCATTATTTAGCTTGTAAGTTGCACACCCACACACTGACAACTGCACACATACACAGGAAGTAGGTTTATTGTTTCTTAGTTAAATAAATATTTTGGCCAAAGTGTTAATGAAATGACTCACTGGCAGGCAAAGAGGTACACAATGCCTTCGATTGGTTAACAAAGATGAAAACCCAAAGGACAATGTCGCGTAAAAGCCATGTGAAGCGATAGAGCGCCATTTGAACGCGACAGCAGTTTGCCAATGACTGAGTCGAGATGAAGTGCCTGCTACATTAACATGGCCCACTTCCCATTCCATTCAGGCCCGTTATATTGGCCACATCCGTTTCCGCAGACGGAAGCTGTCGGGTGTGGGAGCGGGGCGTGAGGAGGCTAGTTTTGCCGCCATTTTCCATCGATTAACATAATTCGATTGGGTCTGGGTTCTACAGAAGGGGTAGTATCGAGGGATAGGCAAGGCGAGAGCACTGAACAAAATTTTACTACGGAAAGTTGTCATTTTATATATTAAAAATTTGTTTTTTTAACCTCTTTTAGGTAATAGGTTAGATTTTAGTTTTTTACTAAAATTTACTGAGACAAAATAATTAATTTAAAGAAGAGTGTAGGTTTTCTCTGCCTGTATTGTTGTGAATGGAGTGTGGGATTGCTAAATATAAGGCTAATTTATGGGGCGCCAACTCACCAAACGGTCGTCCCGGCTTCGACAGCTCCACATCCATGGGTAGACTGTTAGGCTTGGCGGCAAAGGAGTGCTGTTGCTGAAGTTGTTGGATCTGGATCTGCTGCTTCTCCTCCTTTGCGGCCACACTGGCCGCCTCCAAGACGGCGGGCGGCGGAGGAAGAGCCAGCAGCACTTCCGGCTCATTAGGCACGAATCTGTATTTGCCGCGAAATCCTTTGGCTGTGCGATTTGAGCTGGCATTGAATTCCAGTAGAAGATCAGGACCGCTGCTCACCAGCCGGCGGCTGGGACGACTTGAGCAGAGCACATCGATCACGGAGCTCATGTGGGCAGATTCGGCATCGAATAGGGTAATCGCGTCCAGCTGACAGCCACCGCTAACCACCGGCGGCAGTTGCAGCTCCTCGAACAGGATCTCCACATGGGTGTCCGGCCTACCAATGAACTTGTAGGCGCACTTGATGTGCGCCGGATAGTGGGCAGGAAAGCGTGGAGAGTGAAAGTATCCCTGGCCCAGATTGCCCTCCTCGGTGGCCAGGCTGGCAAAGAAGTAGAAGTCACAGTAGCTATGAGGCACCAAGCGACCATCCGTTCGGAAGTTGTCTATGGAGTAATACAGAATTTTGAATTTTTAAACCAAAAGGATCCCAGGCATTCCCTTCGTCCTCAACTATTAGATATTGAGGTCAACTTACCGCGCTTCAAAAATCGATAGCTCGCGGTTAGGGTCAAGTTCCACTTGTCCGCCCTGGTGGGCGGATGCTGGAATCGGAGCCGAAGGCCCAGCAATCGACCGGAGCTATAAATAGGCGTGGCACTGCGGTTCCGGCTGTGCTGGCAAAAGGTGTCCGCCGTCAGTGTCGCGTTCTCAATGACGGGCTCCCTCAGATACGGAAAGACGTCCATGCTGTCCAAGCAGCTGTCTCGAAATTGCATTTGATGGGCAAAAAAAAAATAAATAAAAATTATATATATGAAACATATAGAGAGGAATTCCACCGCATGCCTGCCTGCCGTTTGCATTGGCCAGCACATATGCGTAATGATGTCTAAAATTTATTGGCCGATACTTTTGGGGCCGGCTCGTTGGTCAGCCAGCTATAAATATCGTTTGCCAACCAGCAAATGGCCATTAAGAAATAATCCCCAAAGCGCTCGCCCGGTTGGTTCTTCACGATTTATTTTGATAAAAAGTCGAACAAAAGTTGGCGTTAAGGCTAATTCGATTGTCACATTAAAACAGCTGCAATTGGCCATGTTCTCAGAGCCATAAGTAATTGAAAAATAATTAAGTAGATTGCTGGGACTTACTGAAAAGGATATAGATAGATTTACTAACTAGCTGACAGAAGTTGAATAATTTGTTGTTCTATTGCAACGGGATTTAAATATATAGGAATCCTGAACTCAAAGCCTGTTTTACTTTAATGAAAGTAAATTATGAAATGAAATAAATAAATAAAAATAAATAAATATAGGAACTCAAAATTTCAAGAAGTACAACAAATCCTTACAATTTCTTGCTTAGGCAAACTTTTGCCTATCCAGCAATATATAAAATATTCCTTTTTAATTTCGTTTTAATAAATGTTGAAGTAATAAACAAATTGAGAGTTTTAAATAACATAATATCAATCAATCTATAATGTTATTCCCCTTTTCGTTTGCGCATTCCTCCGAGCATGCGACAAAATGCCGGATAATCGATCATTGGCGGCTCCTCCAGGGATTTAGGCTTGGCCATCGGTGCATGGCTAAGAGCCTCCTTGGCCTCGTTAAGGGTCATTTTGTCACCGTAATTGGTTAGCTCCTCGTAGATCCTGCGGATTGGGAAGTCTAAGGATTATAAAGCTTGCTTGAGTTCGAGTTTCTCCCGAAACCCACTTGCGTTCCTCGATCTTGCCCGTGCCGTGATCATCCCATTTGCTCCAGGCTTCGAGAAGCACATCCTCCGGATCCAGTTCTTGGGTGCGTCGACTCATCAGTCGAACGAAGGCCTCATAGTCCAGGGGTTCCTTGGCCTCCTCCATCATCTGTTCCAGAAGCTGCTCATTGGGTTCATTGCCCAGCGCGGTATAGGTGAACCGCAGATCATCCTTCGAGATCAATCCGTCGCAGTCCGTGTCAAAGAGGGAGAAGACCTAGGGACGAGCCGCATAATCAGTCATCCCACTTTCAGCAGATGACTTACTTCCTTCAGCTCCGCCAGCTTGGCAATGTCCAGATCATGCGGTGCCACCTGATCGTCGGCGGTCATCTCCTCGGGCAGCGTGTAGTGGCCACTGGACTCCGGCAGCTTCAGTGTAGGATTAAAAATCTCATTGATGACAGCCATGGCCTCCGAGTCGGCCAGGTGCGTAGGCGGCTGCGGAGTATGTGACTGCTTCCGGGCGGAACTGGCGCGACGTCGACGCTGGATACAAAATTGGGTTTTTGATTACTGTCATTCGGGGACAGAATCTTCACAGAATCATTCGCACTCACACGCTCCAGATCCTCGAAGGAAACTGCTGGATCCATGGACATTTTGAAAGCGCACCCTTCTCGGATATGACAGAGGGAATTTTGTTTTTAAAGATCTATCTTTAATTTGCGGTATGTGGTTTTCCAAGAACTATGTTTTTAATTTATATATTTTATTTTGATTAAATTCTAGTTCACAGAGAGCTCCTTCAGTCAAATTCCAAATTCAAATTCAAGGAATACCCATTGATAAGTAGCTTTGAAAATAATTAAAATTTGACTTTGAAAAAGCACTAAACAAATGTGCAGGAATCTAAAGAGTTTTGTTTTAACAATCGCATATATAAATCACAAGAAATTCATCTTTATAAATATTATTTATCTGAATATAGAGTCCATAAAGAATACATTAAAATTTACTTAAGCGTTCATTATTTATCAAATTGTATTTTGTTATAAAACAAACGGGGAAAAAATTGTTGTATCTTTTATTTATAGAAAAAAGAATATTATTTTAAATTCACAGTCCATTTGTGTTATTTTCTTCGAAACAAAAAGTCTTAGCCACTTAAAAATGCCTTCGAAATACAGTCCTTGTTGCAGGATTTTACAATGTTCAAATTTAGAAATATTTGGAAAGACACAAGATTTTAATATTGATATTTAAAAATATTTGTCAAATTTTAAAATATTATTTTTGATTGAATACATAAACTATAGTAGAAGAAGCTTTCTGTGTTTCTAATTTGTGACATTTTTTAAACCGCTTTGCCGGCGTTGGTTTTTAGACACTATTTTCCGAACACTTAACACCTTTTTTTTCCGATGACACTGACACTTTCAACCAATCGGTGGTCGATTCACCCGACTCGGAGACGCTTTCCCAGCGACTGTTTCTCTCGAGGATTTATTCGAACCACATTCGATGGCGCACTCGGCCCAAGCTCCACTGAATTGTGCCTGGCCAGTGCTCTCCAATTTTATTGACAAATCGATTCCGAAATATTGTGTGCGTTATTTTTATGGCGCAAATGTTGGATGCATAGAGTTTTGCATAAATTGACACAAATTTGCGGGATTTATAAATATAAATAAGCAGCAGGCGGCCAGGCGGGCCTGGCGGACCGCCCACATGGCCTTCGCAAGGTATTTTAATTACATCGCCGTTTGCCGCTGCCACGATTCTGACTTAGCTCTTGGCCATTCCCCATTTGGCCAATGCATTTCCGCGACGGACGACCAGCCTTATCCATCGACGGATTCGATTTTGATGGCTGTCGCCGGCAGCTGTCCACAGATTTGAGATATGATCGGCTGGCTGCCTGATTTCCCAACCCCAATTCCCCCATTACCACTAGCATTTCCATTTCCATTTCCCTTCCGAACCCGGAATTCGGCCGGAAGCATGGCCACTCACCCGGGACGCAACTGCAATTGCTCGAGCTGAAAGGCCACCAGTTCGTCATCGTGGCCACCAATGAAGATCATCAGGCAGTTGTTTTTAACGCCCAGGGCCTGGCTAGCGTTAATTGCCAATCTGCCCCACTGGGTGGCATTCCGATCGGTGGCATGCAGGCAGGAGCAATCTATCAAGAAAGAAGAGGTCAATGGATTACAGTTTATTTATATTTTATATTCTATTATTTCAAAGAAAGGTAAGTGATTTGAGTAAATTATGTTTCAGAACACGTATTACTTTATTTTATTTATTTATACCTCACTCTCTTGAACTTACCAAGCCATAGTTGGGACTGCTTGCCACTGGAAACAACTGGCTGATGCTGCTGCTCCTGCTGTTGTCCATTTCCGGTGGCTGTGAGGACCGTGGCTAATATTGCCAGAGACAACCGAGCGGCCGCCATAGTCAGCGGCCAAAGCGAGACTGTGAAGCAGGATTTCGTTATCCTGTCACAGACCTTTGGGCCGCCTGTTGGTATAAAAATAGCCCGCTCCACTCGTCAAACAAGGCTCCTCTGCTTTTTTGTTGATTAATCCTCTACCCCGTCGTCCTCTATAATAAAATTTCCGTTGAAGTTTTACAGGTGCCGGTGACGGTGCCGCTGCCGCCATCATCATCATCATCTCCAGCATCCGCTAGTTTTCCGCCATCGCCCTTTTTGACCACTTTCAAACACACGTTAATACTGTACACTTGCCTGCAGCCATTTGGAGCAGCATCGCCCTGTGGACCATGTTTTTGGGTGGCGGTATTTTTAAAATGTGTGTCGCCATGTCTTTTGTTGTCCTTTTTGTGAGCTCTCTGGACCGCCAGTTAACAGCTCATTTTGGCCCCAATGGAGGAGGCAGTCAGTCAATTCATCTAGATTGTCACACTTCGGAGACCAAAACTCAATTAAGTTAACTGCCAATCCAGCTGAAAATTACATTTGAAATAGTGTTAAAGTTCGGTTAAGGCATACTCACTAATTTGATTTTAGAATTTATCGTGTTAGGGGTGATATATCATAGAAGTTTTTGTTTAAAAATTAACAATGAAATCGTTGACCATTAAGTATTTTAAGCAATTAAAAGCAATTTATATAAACTTTTAATGGTTTGAATTAACTTAAAATTAGTTCATTAAATATTTGAATCTCAGCAAACATAAAAACTATATGAGCAAATGCCAGTTTAATAACTTTTGGTAAATATTAAACTACTTTTATATCCAGGCCATATAAGGGATCTACCGAAAACATTCAATATACATACATATATATATTTCTTTAGAAATAGAATCAACGAATTAAATTAGCAATCGATTCCCGTTTTGGAAATCTTCCACGCCTTTACGATCTTTTGATGGATTAATTTTCACGTTTGTGAGTCACAAAAAACAACACGTTTATTTAATACAACACTTACACAACTGATTATATATTTATTTGTATTTGTCTACTGCCTTAACATCGCTCCAAAGAATATTAGGAGGCACCGGATTGATTCATCTTGGCCTTGAACATATCCGCCAGAAGATGGGCCTTGGTGACATTCAGTTCCTCATAGTCGAATGGTGCCATGTGATCCTTGCAACGATCTAGCCATTGCCGGATATGTTTATAGGGTCGCAGCTCAAACTCGAAGGCTTCCAGCTGGGAAACGGTCACCAGAAGTGTGAGATCTGCGATGGTGAAGTGGTCGGCAGCAGCGTATTGTCTTCCTTCTAGTATTGAGTTCAGCCAACCGACAGCCTCCGTCAGTTTGGCTCGTTTTCCCTCATCCAAGGGGGCGCCTATAAACATTGTGGGGAACTAAAATAAAAAGTAAACATTAATTTAAATATTTAAATAGTAATAAGTAATAAATTATACACCCACATAGTAGTCTGTGAGTCTCATGTAGAGAGTGCCGAGGTCGAAATGTAGCCGCTGATCCACCAAGGCTCGCACCCGAATGTCAGTGGGATAAAGTGAGTCGCTCTTGCCATATGCGGCCACCAAATAGGCCAGGATTGCCCGACTAAAACAGGAATTGAATTTGGTATTTACTCAAAGAGATAAAGGAACTTACCTCTCCCATAACACCAGTCCCTCATCGTTCATTGTCGGCACACAGTGCTGGGGATTCATGGCCACGAAGTCCGGCTTCAATTGCTCACCCTCCAGGATATTAACAATCTTCAGCTCAAAGTCAAGGTCCAGCATTTTGGCCAAAAGCAGGATACTGCGGCAAGGAGGACTGGGTGGCAGGTAATACAGCACTGGGGGCGACATCTTCCCGCCTCTGAGAAGCAGACAATAGACGAATTCGGTAACAATGTGCTTCGTGTCGCCCATTGGCCGAAACTAGAATGCCAACTTGGCCAACATCAACACAACCAGTTGGCCAGTTCAGCACTACACGCAGCCCCAAAAAAAAAAACAACAAAAAATGTGTGCGGTCAACGCAAATAATCAATGCATCGATTTTGTTCGTTTACAAATACTTAATTAATGACAATTGTTCTTGGGGGAAAGCGGCCTTGAGGCAAAAGAACAATATTAATAAATAATAATAGGGTTAATTGTGTTCTTAGATTGGTTAAAGCTTCATTTGTTGTATAATAGTCTTTTAGAAGTCTTGAAATTAATTGGTTTTATTTATAAATATTAAATTATAAAGAGAAATTGTATTAATTAATCGTACAAATAAAAATAAATGTTTCTAAAACTTACTTTGAAATATATAAGAAATGTTATGAAAAGGATTTGACTTTGATACTAATAAAAGGTAATGTTGACAAAGAATGAAATTTATTTGAAACACTTTGCTTTAAATAAAGTTATTTTATATATGGTATATTAATATTTATATAAAATAGTTTTAAGCAGACAGCCTAAAGGTATGCTTTCGTTGTTAGTGTGGTCAATGTAAAATATAAATTGAAATGTAAAATAAATACTTTAAATTAATGCAATTTAAAGCCATTGAAATTCCATTTAATTAAACTAAAAAATTTTTGGTTTAAGTCTTTAAAACCCGGTTTAAAGGGTATGCTAGCCTTCGGTTAAATGTCTCTGGAAAATGGTATCGAGGAATAGGACACTCGTCGCACTGCGTCCTGCACTTAATTGCAACCACTTATTTATTCATTATGGAACATGCACCGAAGGTGTTGGGAACCCTTTGGCCAACTACTCACACAATCCTGTGCACCAGCTTGTGCTGCACTACGGCCACCGAGTCGATGTCTATGCAGTTCCCCAGTCTGCCGTCGAGTGTCGTCCTGGCCACGTTCGCTTCCGCGGGAGCTCCGTCCTGGTGGGTCCTGCTAATGCGAATGGCGGCACTCCAAGGCGGCGCAGATACTGATGCTGTTTGCTGATGCTGATGCTGCTCTGCGTGGATGCGTTGGATCCTATCCGGTGATGGAATCTCTTTCCCGGCTGTCCTAACTTGCCGACGTCGCTGTCCACGGCCGTATCCGCTGTCTGGGTTTTCCAATTTTCAGAGCATGTTGTCTCGTCTTTGGGCACTTTTTGTTTTCGTTTAGTTTTCATAACGAACGTTGCCAGGGACGACAGGACGACCCACCAAAGTCAGTGCTGGCAAGAGGCTTTTTTTAAAGGTCGCAGAGATCGAAACAAAAGTTAAGTAAATAAGGAAATATTATAACACAAAAAGAATAGGAAAATTAACTTTTATTTGAGCTAATCAAATATAAAATGTTTATTTAATGTGTAGTTTAAGACTTACGACTTTAAAAGAAAGAATTAAATACCAGAAATTATAATTTTAATTACCTTTTATTTATATAAACTTTCAAAGTTATACGTTTGCCTTTCAACCAATTATTCAATTTAATTGAATTGCAAATTTACGACGAATAGATATTCAACCGATATTAGACATGTTTCTGAATAAATTAACTAATAATTCATCTAATGTTCCTTTAGAATACAAATAAATAAACCTATAATTGTATTTTCTTCTTTTATTTCGTGAAACATGTCTTGAAAAAAAAGGACAACATATCAGCACTAGGCCAAAGTGTTCACCTGTTCGCTCAGGTAGGGGGTTGGCCATGTTGTTGTTGGGGTTGTGGGTGGTGCCAAAACTCGGTCAAAATGGTCCCGTTCGTGTCTAAAATTATACGTCTACATAATTTCCCAGGCTATGTATGCTCTCTGTTACCTTTTTATTGATTGCCAACAGATTTTCCAATTCAGCGCACCTGATAAAAAGGAGTGGGGGAAGGTTTTTTGATTGGCATCACTTGAAACTCGACGTGTTTACAGCAAACATTTTCGGCAGTCATGACTTCATCGCGTGCTGGAAATTTCTTAGAGCCACTCAAGGACATGGTCGGTACAGTGGTAATTAGCTAAGGTTTAGGAGGTCCCACGGTCATCTACCTGACATGGGTCTAGCAGGTAAGAGGCTTTGTATTTGAAGGATTCTGGAAAAGATACCCTAGGAGGGACGAGAATTCCAGGAAAATGTGTCACAAATTGGAAATATATATATCTCGCAAAATGGCCGATCAAAGCGAGCCTATAAAGGTATAGATCTGTTACGGTCCAGGATCAGTTATTTGTGCAAGTCCCAGCGAACAAGATGTCTCTCACACAGTGCCGATCCCATTTGCTGTTGCTCCTGCTGCTGATGATCCGTGGATCTGTCAGTGTCCCAGCTTTGGATAATCCACCGCCAGCTGCCACACCCAACACCATCGATGAGTCAGACAAGCTGCCAGAGAGCGGGGAACCGAGCATTGCTTCGTCCCAGGACGCAATCCTTGCTGGTGGCAATGATACGAGCACGCAGGTGACAGACACCTCAGATAAAACGGTGGTAAGTTGAACTAAGAAATTATATATGTATCACAATGAAATTTCAGGGAAATATTTTCATTACTCTAATAATTTAATTTATTTCTCTTAGCAGCCTGATAATGTGGCCAGTGGCAGCAATATAGATCCCACCACTGTCTACGCCGGAGGAATCCTTCCGCCTGAGATATTTCAGCAATACCTAAATTCGTATTCAGGCTTTGGTCCTTATGCCGGATCGTATCCTGCTCCTGTGGGCGCTGCAGCACCTGGCATCTATCCATATCCGGGAGCTATTGTGATGCAAACCGGTTACGAGGGTTTCCTGGTGCCGGCCAATGGAGCTGGACAAGCGGACAGCACCACTGTGGTGGCTTCTGCTCCTGAGACGAGTTCCTCCTCGAATCCTTTGATGTCCTTTGCCTCAAATCTTCTGCCCACAGTCCTACTATCCACAGTCCTGCGCATCGCTGCTGTGGTCCTCTCCGCTGTGGGTATTATCCTTTTTGGTGGCGCCATAACCAGTGCCCTGTGCAGGATCACTCCGATCTGTGACATACCTGCCCGAGCTGTAAATATCCTCCGGACAGGAGGAGCCCAGGATGTGGGCCGCATGTTGGCCGAGGAGATGACACCGGAACGGGTGCGACGAGCCACACAATTTGTGCAAAACGCCATCAAGAAGTATCAACAACTGCAGAACATGATGGAGGAGTCATCGGGGGCGGCTGAGGTGACCAAATAGGAACGGCGTGATGGGATTTTAAGTTTAAGTGCCGCCTCGTAAATTAAGAGAAATGCAAAAAAATATATTTTTAACGACGCTATAAAACGATTTTAATTTGACTATCACAGGGGGGTTTTCAATAGTTGTGAAGAGTACATTTTTACTCGAATCGTAAAAATGGGTCAAATGTTTGGTACTATCTAAAAGCTCTAAATGTTAGATAACTATCTAAGTGCTTTAATTAAATTTTATATGGCAATTAATTACGAAATCTTAGAAAATATATATTAATTGTTTAGGATATTAAAATTAGTTGTTTGATAAAATCCACAACTTCTGTGCCAACCCCCTGTCGTGTTTTATGGCACACTGAGCAGTGTAACAAATGTGCATTTGCAATTTGTATATGTATGTTCAATGCCAAAGGCAGCACGTTTTTTAGTTACTAAGCTAAACAATTGTTCTAATAGTGAAGCGGTCAACGGCCCAGCCCAGTTGCCGGTTTCTGAGCTTCACTTGCAATTGTTAGTTATGGGGTTAAGAGACGGTTAAGAGGGCCCTGGGGTCTAATATCGCCAGTGAAATCATTGCGTGCATTCAACTGCAGTTGACAATTGTCGTGAGTAATTAACAGATGTAATATATATATACACAATCTCACTTTTATACTCCCAGTCAGAGATAGGAATTTGTAATAAATATAGGAGACAGATTAATAAAACACAGGCGATCCATTCATAAGCAATGCGGCTTGAGAATACAAATCGTTTGATTATATAGTATTTCTTTCCATTATTTAACGTTTAAAGTTATGGGTTCTTTTTTAATATTCTTCCATTTTGTATTCCTGAACACTTTTTATAATCAGGAATCATATTCAGATAAATGGAAACTATAAATAATAACAGACGATAGTTTACTTTGCTTTCCATCAGCTCTATTTCCTTGTTTTTTTTTTAGATTTTTAGATTGAATAATAAACACGACCTATACTAACTCTTTAAGAACTCGAGGGCCATTTCTGTAGATAACATTTATTGCTTTACTTTATTTATACGAATACATTATAGCTATATAAGGTAACAATGTGCTGAGGCCTGTGGTTATTCCGATACTTTCGTTTTTAAATTACTCCTTTTGACGGCTTTCATCGACAAACTTCTTAATTAGCTGAACACCTTCCCAATTCTCCTCCCAGCCGGGAGTGACTTCCTTGGCATTCTCATACCACCTGGACACATTCGAATACTGGCCAATGTCAAAGTCCACCACCTCGAAGGTAGATACAGAGGCCAAAAGGGCAATGTCTGCCACGGTGAGACAATCACCGGCCACATAGTCCTGACCCTCGAGGAAGGTGTTCAGGTGATCGAAGGCACTGTCCACCTTCTTCATGGCCTCCGGATCGGCTGGTGCGTTGCTCCGTATCTGAGGATAAATGGCCTGAACGAAACTGTGGAACAATGTGCCCATGTCGAAGTAGAGTCTTTGATTAACCACGGCCTTCTTTTCAGGATCCTTGGGATAGAGTGAGTCATCCTGGCCATACTTCTCCACCAGGTATACCAATATTGCACGGGATTCCCAAATGGAGAACCCATTGTCCACCAGAGTTGGGATGGTGTGCTGAGGATTAAGCTTCACGAATTCCGGCTTCAGCTGCTCTCCGTCCATGACCTTCATGAGTTTCAGGTTCAGCTCCACACCCAAGGCCTTGGCGGTCATCATAACAGAGCGACAAGGAGCCGAGCACGGATGGTAGTAAAAGTCCATGATGGATAGTCCTGCGAGTACCGGGAGTTAACCACAACTGACCCTAAAGTAGTGAGAACAACGGCTTTTATAGCCAGAGCCATGAGCTCCCGAAATCAAATCGATTTCCATATATAGTCAGCCCGTGTCGTGCGACTTTTCCGAATGGAACTATACCGCTGTCAGCTTTATTGATGATAAGGTTTCAGCGTAATTAGAAGTGCTTAACTAATGGCCAGATAATGAACACATATACTATATGTGGGGGAATGTATGTTTGTGAATGTTGGGAGCACCAACTATTTGAATTTACTTAAAAATGCCACTCGTTTTGAATGCAGTAATTACCAATTAATTATTTATAGTTCGGGGTTGTAATAGAAGTTGAATGAACTGAAATTTAAAGGTCAAAGTTAGGTTACTTCCTATAACTTAAAATTTATACAAGAAAGGAAATTATTTTAAGAAAGCCGAAGTTTGTATATCCTTGACTTTTGAAATTGAGGTTTAGGATTGAATAGGAAATCGTTCAAAACTAAGCTTTAAATATTCGCATTCTTTGAGATAATATTATATAATGATTTATAAGACAATTTTGTCGACAAATTATATTTTTAAAAACACATAACTAACTTTGAGCATTAATTTTAGTTCGGAATGCTTTCCCTTGTTAGTTTTTATTAGGTTAATAAATCTGCATATTCAATTACAAGTTTCAATTTCGATCGATGAAGGATTTCGACTGGGAACATTTGATATAATATATATATATATGTATATATATATAAACTCACAGTAAACAGACTGACAGATATTTCATATGGAGTCTTCCATGTCGTTAAAGATAAGCAAATGATTCAACACAATTGAAAACAGGTAAAATGAATGAAAGTTTGGTTTTGTTCTTATCAAATGTCGTTGCCTTGAAGTTAGGTATTAGAATTATCAATTTTTTTAATTTGTAGTAGTTAAGAAACCAATTATTAAGAAGCATTTTTGCATTTATTTTCAATAAATTGTTTTAACAAACATTAAGCCATCGTTGAAGGTATCCACATTATGGCGTAGCTGACACGATTAAAAGTCACCGGAAGTAGTTTTTTCCAATCCACAGGAGTCTGATGGGCGGAACTACTGCTCCTGGTACTGTCCAGTGTTGAATTCAATAGTTCCTGTGGCGGATCTGGCCTAGCTTTTGGCTCCATTACTTCTTTCCTGCCCTGAAGCCCTCGATGAACTTTTGCAACGTCTTAATGCTTTCCAAGTTCTCATCCCAGCCTGGTGTAACCTTCTGGGCATTCTTGTACCACTTGTCCAGGTTGGGGAATTCCTTCATATCGAACTGCACCATTTCCACCACGGAGACGGAGGACAAGAGGACAATATCAGCCACGGTCAAATGGCTACCGGCGAAGTAGTCTTGGCCTTCTAAGAAGGAGTCCAAGAATCTAAACGCAGCCTTAAACTTCTCCAGGGCAGCCTGATCTTCCATAAGATTGGTTTTGAAAATGGGGATAATGGCATTGTAAAGGACGTCCAGATCGAAGAACAGGCGCTGGAGGATAATGGCCCTCTTCTTGGGATCCTTAGGATACAGGTGCGAATTTGGTTTGCCATACTTCTCTGCCAGGTATATCACAATGGCACGCGATTCCCAAATGACAAAATCATTGTCCACCAAGGTGGGAACGGTGTGCTGCGGGTTGAGCTTCACGAACTCCGGCTTTAGGTTGTCTCCTGCCCTGGGATTTATGATCTTGACGTTTAGTTCGAGTCCCAGAGCCTTGGCGGTCATGAAGATGGCACGGGTGCCCGGGGTTCCAGGATTGATGTAGATATCCATGTTGGTCATGTTGATCAAGGCTATTTTAGCTTCTATTGGACTGGAGCGAAAAACTAAACTGATTTGGGAACAATCAGGCATAGCCTTTTATAGGGAAAAAGTGCAAAGAGATTACATGTCAGTACAATGATAACTAAATAATAATGTTGGTCATTCTCAGAACATACTAGAGCTGCAAACACCTGCCACCAAGTGAACTCTTATCTCATAAACAAACATAAATACTATTCTAGAAGTCACAATAATTATGTCGATAAATAATTATATTGGTTTACTTATATTTATACAAGAAAATCAAAATATTAGTAAGCAATGTAGGTCCATTTCAATTTGTATATATTTTAATAACTATTATATCATGAATAAATTTAATTAAAAGCATTGGCCGGGTGATAAATTTAAGGGGTCGAAGGGTAATCACAATCACTATCACTACCAGAGATCACCATAGATGTAAACACCCCGGAGGCTGCGGACAGAATGAGGGCGGAGCGACTGCAGGGACTCTATTTATAGTCGCGAGGGAAGAGCACAGTGAAAGTGAGAGTGAGAGCGAGAGAGTAAGAGGTATCTCTAGAGGGAGGCAGAGAGAGCTAGAGGGATCGGGATGTGCATCTCTAGAGCTACAGAGAGAGAGAGATAGACATACCAAATATGATTAATATTAATTTTTCTCAGTGTAGCTATTTTCTAAACATTTTCTGATTAGCTGAAATGATGACGATGAAAACCATATCTTTGCTGATTTTGACATTAATGATAGGAAATTGGAAATGATTGCTGATTTGCAATGGTAGTGTTATCAACTATAAATATAAACATACGCCGTTAAGTTAGGTATGTACGTCACCCTATTTCACAGATTCTAAAAGTATGCAAGTTTATGGAAAGGACGTTGCATAAGTTATCCTGTCTTGCAAAAAAAAAAAAACGGATACGTAACGTAAACGTAGCATATTACGTATACGCAGCTTTAGCCCATGTTAAGGCAGATTGTCTATACAAAACACTTTCTCCACAAGACTTCAAATTATAAATACATTAAAAAAGAATTATACAAATAAAATCGATCTTTATTAAATATACAAAATATATGAATGATTTATTTGTTTTCCTTTAGTTTTTCCTCCACGAACTTCTTGGCCTGCTCAATGGCCGCCAAGTTCTCCTCCCAGCCGGGAACAACCTTCTGGGCATTCTTATACCATTTCTCCACGTTCGGGAATGGCTCCATGACAAACGAAAACATTTCGAAAGTGGAGACAGTGGCCAGGATAACCAGATCAGCTACGGACAGCTGGTCGCCGGCCACGTAGTCCTGTCCCTCCAGGAAGGTGTTGAGAAACCCTAGGGCAGAGTTAACCTTGTCCAGAGCCTCCTGATCTCCCAGCTTACCGGTTCTGAACAGGGGGTAGAAGTACTTGGATATGCTGTCGTACAGAGTTCCCATATCGAAGTACAGCCTCTGGTTGATCAGAGCCCTCTTCTGGGGATCCTTGGGGTAGAGAGAAGAGTTCGGTTTGCCGTACTTCTCCACTAGGTAGACGGCGATGGCACGCGACTCCCAGATGGCGAATCCATTGTCCACCAGAGTGGGAATGGTGTGCTGTGGGTTGATCTTCACGAACTCCGGCTTCAGCTGGTCACCCTCCATGGTGTTAATGACTTTGGAGTTCAGTTCCACTCCCACTGCCTTGGCCACCATCAATATGGCACGGGTGCTGGGTGATCCGGGCATGTTGTAGAGATCCATGGTGGGCATTGGTTATTGTACGATCGTGTCGCTGGAAAAGAGAAACTGATTTAGCCCAGTTGGGGTCCCCTTTTTATACCGAAACTTTCAACGAATTATCTACTCCTTTATCACTATAAACCAATAGAGTTTGTCATTGTTAGAACTCAGTTTTTTATGTATTTCGCAATCAAACAATAAGTTGCAGCTATATTTTATGAGGGCAACCTAAATCCATATCAGTTTATAAAACAAATTTAACAATCAAGTTGTCAATTAAATCATTAAGAATTAGTTCAATTTGGTTAAATGAAAATAAACCTAACAGGAATTAAATAAATCATGTATACGTATTGTTGAGGAATTAATCGGTCGTTAATTATTACTTCTTTACTTGTTATTATTTTGCATCTTATCATACCTAGTTTACTGAACATAATTGTCTTGTTTACAACATAAGCTTTAAGCTCACACTCATAGCCAAAATGCAGTATATGTGCATGAGTATTGGGACATCACGCGATCTTATTTTTCTTCTGCACGTTTCTATTTTTCGCCAGTTAGATCTAGTTGGAATTTACCCGCAACCGCTCGCTTATCGCACCCGCTTATAAAACTTATTCTAAGACGCTTCATGAATTAATAAACATAAAACACCTAAGACAAAAATAATACAGTCCACTGCATTTATAAACATAACAAAATTGGTCCGTTCGAGTAGCCGGATAACCGCGATTGCTTTTGTGTTTATTTTCGTGAATAATATATCACAGATAAAGACTTTTCTTCGTAATGAACCCAATAATGCATCGGACGATTCAACAACGTGGTGCCTGCAAGGGGCAAATAACTCGCACCCTTAACAGCGCTACTGAGTTTTCACAGAGATGTGATAATGTGGAAACTCTGCAGGTGAAGCTGAATCGTTTAGTAGCAACTTTCGACCACTTTATGGAGCTCTCCGAGGATTTAGTAGCATTCAACATGGAGGAGGGATATGAAGACCCTGGCTTGGATATACCCGAATATGAAGACAAGTTCTACAGCGCGCACGCTATTTTTAGTAAAGCCATAAAGGAGATGGGAGGGCAAGATAATGGCCAAGACCAGTCTAACATTTTGCTCTCAAGTACAGTGGAACGTCTATTTGAGGGACAAAACCAACTATTGGAACAAATTCATTCCTCATCGGGAGCAACTGATTTAAGGTTTGAGAAAATTCGGATTCCCACATTTTCTGGAAAATACGAGGATTGGAGCCAGTTTAGTGATCTGTTTCTAAGCTCAGTAGACAATAACAACAAGCTTTCCAACTGCCAAAAGTTTCATTATCTGAAATCATATTTGGATGGAGAAGCTCTGTCCCTAATTAAACATATTGCCGTTTGTAATGATAATTACCAAGACGCATGGGAGAAATTGGAAAATCGTTATAACAAGAAAACGCTCATCGCTCGAACGTTTGTTCAGAAGTTTCTGTCGTTGCCTACCGCTACCAATTCGAATATCGCTGAGTTACGTAATGTAATTGACTCTGCCGACGAATGTATTCGTGGCCTACACGCGCTGAACTGCGACAGCCGCGATGTATGGCTAATTCATATTTTGCTCTCAAAATTAAGTCCTGAAATCAAACAGGCTTGGGCCAACTGTAATATGTCGGTCAAAGAAGAGGTCACCATAAATGATTTATTTAGTTTCCTTTTTGCTCATTGTGATACTTTGGAGTCTTGTCAGGAGTTACACGTAATACAACCGTCAAGACCAGCCCAGAGTAAACGCCGCCAAGTCGCCTATCATGCAAGTGGATCAAATCAGCAGTCCCGCGAATGTATTTATTGTCAAGGTCAGCACAATATATATGCATGTGCTGAATTCAAAGCTCTAGATGTACTAGACCGCCGCACCTTCGCCAGGGATACTAAGCTATGCTTCAATTGCCTAAGTCGATCTCATCAAGTCCGGGATTGTAACTCATCGAACACTTGTCGTCAGTGCAATGCTAAGCACCACACTTTAGTTCATCCGGTTGATTCAAGATCGGTTCCTTCGGCTCCTGCTCATCTGTCTACTGCTGAATTCAATACGATTGATCAAGTTGCTGATACTGCCGCTGTTAGTCATCACACTCTGGAGAGGGCTAACAATCAAACCATACTGCCAACTATTCTGGCCAATGTGATCGACACATGGGGCAACAGGACCACATGTCGGTTATTGCTCGATACTGGATCGACAATAACTATGGTAGCCGAGTCGTTCATCCAAAGGATAGGAATTTCACGCACGCATGCTCGCATCTCAGTGGCTGGATTAGGTGCTAACCCGGCTGGTGTTAGCCGAGGACGTGCCAGCTTTACCCTGCTCTCAAGAACCACTACTGCAACCCTGGAGATCTCTGGTCTAATTATGAGTTCTCTGACTTCTTTGATTCCAGGTCAACAGGTCAAGACCAGCTCTCCTATCTGGAAAACGATTTGCAGTCTTCCATTGGCTGATCCAACGTTTGGAGCTCCGGGAAAAATCGACGTTATTCTGGGCGCTGATCAACTGTGGAGCATATATACTGGAAATCGTCGAGAGTTTGGTATTGAATACCCCATCGCACTACACACTAATTTTGGTTGGGTTATTACAGGCAGCTTCAACGATTGCACCGAATCATGGACGCACGCACAAGCCCACCACGCATACGAAGATTTGGATTCGTTAGTTCGATCATTCATGGAGATGGAACAAGTTCATCCAAGTAAAGCAACGATAGACTCCAGTGATCCTGCAGAACAACACTTTCTGGCAACGCATGCTCGCAGAGATGATGGTGTATACATTGTTCAGTACCCATTTAAGGAGCCCATTACGCCAATTGGATCAACGTTGCCACAGGCTTTAAACCGCTTCGCCGCTTTAGAGCGGAAATTTCGGAAATTCCCTGGACTTAAACAACAATACGTAGAATTTATGGATGACTATTTGAAAAGAGGACACATGGAATTGATACCTGCAGCTGCAGCGGCTGAGGATTCAGCACATTGCAACTATTTGGCGCACCACGCAGTGTTTAAACCAGATAGTACTACCACACGTTGCCGAGTGGTATTTGACGGCTCAGGAAAGGATTCCACGGGTCAATCGCTCAATTCGCGGCTTCACATAGGCCCACCTATTCAAAGGGATTTAATTGGAGTATGTCTTCGCTTTCGTCAGCATCTTTATGTATTTTGCGCTGACATCGAAAAGATGTTCAGAGGAATTTTGGTCTCAGACGAGCATACGCAATACCAACGTATAGTTTGGAGAAAAGAGGAGAACGCACCACTGGATCATTATCGACTGCTGACCGTCACCTACGGATTAGCTTCATCGCCGTTCTTAGCCGTCAGGGTTCTTAAGCAGCTTGCGATCGACTATGCAGATTTGTATCCGAACGCTGCAGTCATTCTTAACAGAGACGCTTACGTTGATGATATTCCTACTGGATGCGATAAAATTAAGGATCTCATTGCACTCAAAGATGAACTAATTCTACTTCTGAGCGAAGCTCAATTTAAACTTCGAAAGTGGAGCTCAAACTGTTCCGCACTCTTAAAGTCATTGCCACAGGAGAATTGTGAGTATCCTCCTGACGCTTTCGAGCAGGAAACTTCTGATCGAGTTATTAAAGTTTTGGGACTATGCTGGAAACCAAGAACTGACTATATCTCCTTCAAGTTAGAAACCCCTAGAATCACAACAACTTTAACCAAACGCACTTTGCTTTCTGAACTAGCCAAGATCTACGATCCGCTGGGTTTGATTGCGCCCACAACTGTGTTGTTAAAGATTCTCTTTCAAGATAGCTGGCTGAGTTCTGTCGAATGGAATGAGATATTGCCTTCGCAATTATGCACACGGTGGCAACAGTTTGTATTTCAAATGCACGTATTGGAAACTTGTCGAGTGCCTCGTTACATAGCAGCGCCACACCAATCAATTGAACTGCATGGATTTGCGGATGCCTCATCTCAGGCATATGCAGCTGTCATCTATAGTCGCGTCGAGGTCAATAATGGATATGCAGTGAAGCTGATAATGGCAAAAACTCGCGTGGCTCCTATTAAGCCTATTTCCATTCCTCGACTTGAGCTAAACGCAGCCCACTTACTCTCGAAATTGATTTCACTGGTTAAGCAATCACTAACTATTCCTATTTCCAGAATCAATTGTTGGTCAGACTCTGAAATAGTCTTACATTGGCTATCATCATCTCCACGGACTTGGAACACATATGTTTGCAATCGCACTGCTGAGATTCTGGAGGCATGTCCACGAAGCTGCTGGCAGCATATTAGAAGTGGCGATAATCCAGCTGACTGCGCATCGCGAGGACTATTTCCAAAGGACCTCGTTGATCATCAAATCTGGTGGAATGGACCAGCTTGGTTATCTCAGTCACGTTCAACTTGGCCACCCGTTAAGGCCAAGTTTGTTTTGTCGACAGAAGAACAGGCATGCTTAGAGGTAAAGGCCGAGCCAAAGGTTAATCTACACATTTCCGATGACGGAAATGAGCTTACCTGTATGATCAACAAAGCCTCCTCATGGTCTCGTTTATTGAGGACTCTGAGCTACTGCATTCGTTTCGTCCATCGTCTTCGTAGAAGGACTCAACTTTCGGTGTTCCTGTCGGCGTGGGAACTTCAATACGCACGATCTAGAATATTCACCCACGTACAGAAGGAGTTTTTTAAAATGGAATACAAGCAGTTAAGCACTGAACAGCCATTGTCAAAGAAATCTAAGTTGATTCGATACAACCCCTTTATAGACGAGCAGAACGTAATGCGTGTTGGTGGTCGCATAGACAATTCTATAGTTAATTATGATGCAAAACATCCCATAATTCTGCCTAAGGAATCTCCCATTGCTGCTCTACTTGTTCGATATCAACATGCTGTCTCGCTACACGCTGGAGTAGAATACACTTTTCACAGTTTACGACAACGATATTGGATTCTAGGAGCCCGAAACCTCGTCCGCAAAACCATATTCAATTGCAGAACTTGCTTCATGCAGCGAAGACACACGAGTTCTCAACTTATGGCTGATTTGCCCAACTTCCGAGTTCAACCCGCCCGTTGTTTTCTTCACACTGGCTTGGATTATGCTGGACCTGTAACAATCAAAGTATCTACAGGTCGGACACCAAGATTTGGAAAGGCTTGGTTTGCAATTTTCGTTTGTCTATGTACAAAAGCGATACACATTGAATTGGTCAGTGATTTGACAACATCCGCTTTTATAGCCGCCTTTAAACGATTTTGGGCTCGACGTGGGCCAATATCAGATCTATATTCGGACAATGGCACTACGTTTCATGGGGCTAAACGAGAATTAGATGAAATGCAACGGATCGCAATTGCCCAAAGTCAAAATGAAGAGATTTCAAGCTTCTTCTCGACTCATGAAATTAATTGGCATTTCATCCCGCCTTCTGCACCCCATTTTGGAGGGATTTGGGAAACTGGAGTGCGATCTATAAAGATGCACCTAAAACGAGTTACTGGCAGCAGTGCATTAACATTCGAGGAATATTCGACCCTGTTAATTCAGATAGAAGGACTTCTGAATTCTCGTCCCTTGTGCGCACCCAGCGATCACAGCCTTAACCCGCTAACCCCTTCTCATTTTCTAACAGGTCAGCCTCTTACTTCGGTACCGGAGCCATCTTTCCTGGATGCACACATTGACAGACTGCAGCGCTGGAGACAATTGCAGGCCAAGGTTCAAGGGTTCTGGAAACGCTGGAACTTAGAGTATCTCAGCACTCTTCAAACTCGCACGAAATGGCAACAAGATGCTCCAAATGTTGCATTGGACACCCTTGTGGTTTTAAAGGAGCCGAATCAGCCGCCAAGCAAGTGGCTGTTGGGAAGAGTTATTGAGGTTCATCCTGGCCAGGATCAGAGGGTTCGTGTGGCCACAGTTAAAACTGCCAGAGGAATTTACAAGCGCCCCATTACAAAAATTGCTGTGCTTCCTTTGAACTGAACCGTCGTTCAGGGGGGCCGGTATGTTGAGGAATTAATCGGTCGTTAATTATTACTTCTTTACTTGTTATTATTTTGCATCTTATCATACCTAGTTTACTGAACATAATTGTCTTGTTTACAACATAAGCTTTAAGCTCACACTCATAGCCAAAATGCAGTATATGTGCATGAGTATTGGGACATCACGCGATCTTATTTTTCTTCTGCACGTTTCTATTTTTCGCCAGTTAGATCTAGTTGGAATTTACCCGCAACCGCTCGCTTATCGCACCCGCTTATAAAACTTATTCTAAGACGCTTCATGAATTAATAAACATAAAACACCTAAGACAAAAATAATACAGTCCACTGCATTTATAAACACGTATTATAAAAATTCGATTTTAACATTTTAGTATGCATATTATATTTCTAGTTTTGGATTTATAGTTTCTATGAAAGTTATAATATATATTTGTATTAAAACTAAATTCTGGAATAATAAAAATGTATATACTCCGAGTAAATAGAAATATTTAAAGAAAACATGAAAGTTATAAATTTGTATACCACTGCATGGCATTATAATTTTATTTAGAAGCTTAAAATAAAGTGAAGGAGTCATTTCCGACCCTATAATCATATATATTCTTGATCAGCACTAACAGCTGAGTCGATCTAGCTTGTTTCTTTAATAACCTAATAAAAACTAACATAATAAAGTTTGCCGAATTGAAATTAATGCTGTTTTGGCTGAGTTATGATATTTTTAAATTTTAATTTGCTTAACAAATTGTCATTAAAAATACATATAAATAATATCGACCCAAAAAATGGTATTATAATTTCAGTCAGAATCTTGTAACACATTGAAGGAGTCATTTCCGACCCTATAAATCATATATATTCTTGATCAGAATTTAAAGCTGAGTTGATCCAGTTATGTATGTTTGGTTAAAATTATTTTTTTTTCAAAAATTTCCAAAAATTTATAAGGGGTTACATCGTTAAATTTGCCAAAACATTGGCAAAAATTTTTATTTTTTTAAAACTTTAAATTAAGTAAGCGTATTTATTATCCTAATGTAAACTAACATAGAAAAGCTTTCCGAAAAAAAATTAATGCATTTTTGGCTTAGTTATGATGATATAATCAAACTACAAAAGTATAAATATTTGGGTTCCCGAAATTAGCTTCTTTATTTTATTCTGTTTATCATTAATGTCCGAACGTTGCCATTTCAACTTTATGAAGTAGTAAAACTATAAATTGCAAATAATACAAAATGGACATGCTACAACATACATATGTATATGTAAATGTGTGGAAAACTGGCAAAGTTACAATTGTATTTGTAAACATTTTCCGATCATTCCTATGGCAGCTTTATGATAAAATTGTCCGACCCGTCACGATCCAACTAAAATACTAAAATTATTATATATAAAGCGATCTGTAAAAACTGCATGTTATAAAAAACGATGTGTATGGGGAAAGTACAACATAGGAAAATAAATAAAAATTATCATTTATATCACAAATAAATTACGAACTTTATTTTAATATCATTATAGCTGTAATCTTTACTGCTTGCCAGCCTTAGCTTTCCAATCGTCAAGGAACTTTTGGAATTGCTTAATTCCCTCCACATTTTCATCCCAGCCTGGAGCAACCTTCTGAGCATTCTTGTACCACCTATCCACATTGGGGAATTTCTGCAGGTCAAACTGGATCGTTTCAAGGGTGGAGATAGTGGCCAATATGGCAATGTCAGCCACTGTCAACTGGCTTCCAGCCACGTAGTCCTGTCCCTCCAGGAAGGTATTAAGAAATTCCAGGGCAGAGTTGAACTTGTCCAGGGACTCCTGATCTCCCAGACTGCCGGTGCGGAACAGAGCAAAGACGTACTTGGACATGCTGTCGTACAGAGTGCCCATATCGAAGTACAGCCTCTGGTTGATCAGAGCCCTCTTCTGGGGATCCTTGGGGTAGAGAGAAGAGTCCGGTTTGCCATACTTCTCCACCAGGTAGATCAAGATGGCACGCGACTCCCAGACGGAGAATCCGTTGTCCACCAGAGTGGGAATGGTGTGCTGGGGGTTGATCTTCAAGAACTCCGGCTTCAGCTGGTCACCTTCCAAGGTGTTAATGTACTTGGAGTTCAGTTCCACTCCCACTGCCTTGGCCACCATCTTTACGGCCCGAGTGGTCGGCGTGCCGGGCATGTTGTACAGATCTATAGCGGACATGGCGATTTTGCTATCGTGTTGTTAGAGCGGAAAAAGTAAACTGATTTGGCAATAGCTGGGTTTCCCTTTATATAGCAATGTTACTTAGGCCTTATCAGCCACACTATAATAATGAGCTAATAGTGTTTGTCATTGTTAGCATTCACATTTTTTGCTTATATCATTTTCATGGGTAAATAAACAAAATTCTGTGACTGAACTAGGTGGGTATTGATAGTGCGTAAAAAGGTACCAAATAAAAGAGAGCAGACTTTAAATTTTAATTACTACATGTTGTTGTGATATATGCATTACATAAAATAACAAAATTTATACGTTAAAGATATTATTTAAAATGCTATTATTAAGATTAATTGTTGCTTACACTAGTACAGCATTGTGTGTGTTTATTAGGTTCCTATTCATTGTCACATTTATGGATTATTATTAATTAGTTTTTGAATTCTTGATTATAAAATTAAATATAAAATTATGTATTTGATATAAAATAGTACTTTTGAGCAGTTACTTTATTAGATTAGCGGTCAGAAAATTCTTCACATCAACTAGAACTCTCAGGTCTTGGGCCCAAGCCAGTGGAACATTTCGTACATTTTGGAACCATCTATCCACATTGGGAAATTCATTCAAATCAAAATCAACTACTCTGATAACGAGGATGGTAGCGAAGATAACAAAGTCAGCCACAGAAGTCTCACTGCCAGCCACGTAATCTTGACCCTCCAGGAAAGTATTGAGCACTTCAAAGGCTGCGTTAAGTTTCTCTAAGTTCTCCTCCGTTTCCTCATTTTTATTACGCAGAATTGGAAAATAGTACTTGGCAAAGGCATCGTAAAGGGTACCCATGTCAAAGTACATTCTCTGATTGATCACTGCTCGTATCTGGGGATCCTTGGGGTAGAGAGGAGAATCCGACTTGCCGTATTTCTCCACCAGATAGATCACAATTGCGTGAGATTCCCAGATGGCGAATCCATTGTCCACCAGAGTGGGAACTGTGTGCTGCGGGTTGATCTTCACGAACTCCGGCTTCAGATGCTCCCCCTTAGTGGTCTCCACATTGATGAAGTTCAGCTCGATTCCGACTGCCTTGGCTGTCATTACAATGGCCAAAGTACCCGGAGAACCGGGCATGTTGTAGAAGTCCAGAGTGGGCATGATTCCGTCTAGTTCGTGAAAGTGGATTGAACAAACTAATCTGGATCGTGCCGAAAAAAAACCTCTTATCAAGGAAGTTATTTATCTGATAGATTATATTGTATTGATTACTATCAGCTCATTAAACAGTAAAAAGTTAATATCTTTAGGCACATTAGAGTGAACCCGTTTAGATAGTATGCTCTAGCTTGGTATTGGTCATTTTCAATGACAAATTAACCACAAAAACTGACATATCGGTTCTATATCTATATTAAATATTAAGCCTTATGTTATCATAGAATTTATTCTTATACATTTTATTTATAAATTTATATATTTTTTTAATTTAAGGTAATTTCTCTATTATATTGGCGGCCAGAAACTTTTTCGCTTCTTGCATTCTCCGGAGATTTTCATCCCAACCTGGAGTCACCTTCTGAGCATTTTTGTACCATCTTTCCACATTGGGAAATTTCTTTAAATCGAAATCAACCATTTCGATAGTGGAAACTGTGGCCAAAATGACGATATCAGCCACGGAAAGCTCACTTCCGGCTACGTAATCCTGATCCTCTAGGAAAGTGTTGAGCAGTCCAAAGGCTGTGTTGAGTTTGTCCAAGTTCTCCTGAGTTCCTGGCTTCCCAGTGCGTAAAAGTGGAAAGAAGTACTTGCCAAAGGCATCGTAAAGGGTGCCCATATCAAAGTACAGTCTTTGGTTGATCAGAGCCCGCTTCTGGGGATCCTTGGGGTAGAGAGCCGAATCCGGTTTTCCATACTTCTCCACCAGATAGACCACGATGGCACGCGACTCCCAGATGACGAATCCATTGTCCACCAGAGTGGGAATGGTGTGCTGTGGGTTGATCTTCACAAACTCTGGTTTCAGCTGCTCCCCCACAAAGGTATTCACATTGATGGAGTTCAGTTCCAGTCCCAATGCCTTAGCCGTCATAATGATGGCCCGAGTGCTCGGCGAACCAGACATGTTGTAGAGATCCAGTTTGGACATGGCGATGATTCTGTCTAGTCCGTGGGAGTGAAGAGAAACAACTAACAAGACATCAGCCGAAATTCCCACTTTTAAAGCAAACTTGCTGCTTAATTATCTACCTGTTTGATTATATTTCTGGGTACATTAGAGTGGATCTACAAAGCAAAGTTTTTGATTCTAGTTCTACAGGCTGTTTTCCTAGGGAATTTAATTTTTATATTGGTTGAGATCTTTTAAAAAGATTTATCTTTGACTAAAAATTTTACCGTTTTGAAGAAAACATGACATTGCTAAATTCTTTATAGTTCATTCTTTTAAGTTTATATAAAGTTATTACCTTTTCCCACTTTCAGTGGTCCACTCCAATTTACTTATATAGACTCATATATCTCTGAGAGAATTATTTGTTTGTATTTCGTTTGTTTGGGAAATTAACAAATGTATGAGTTAGAATATATATGTATGTATGTAAACACATTTAAGGGTCATTAACTTTTTGCACATATGTAGCCCTTATTTGTATTAACTTGGGCATCAACTATAAGTATAGCTACAAATCAAAATACCTTAGCTTTTCTATGACAAGGTCATGGTTTTAGTTAATTGAGACTACAAAATCTTAATTACTGATGAGCTGAATTACCTGACGAATAGGTGAAGTGAGAGTAAAAACCAGAGAAATCTCTTGTTATTATTTAATAGTATTGAAATCACGGGGAGTCTTAAATGTTTGCTTTTCTCATTTGTTAATGATAGTAAACAAAAAATAATAAAGAGTGTGACTGAAATAGAAAACCATTCGTTAATAAGCTTGTACTTGAAGCTTGTACAAATATATAATGTATTCGCACACTAAAATGATAGATCTACAAAGAAATATTTACGTCACAGTTTAATAATTTGGCAAATGTTTATTTTACAATTTATATTAGTCATAGATATATATACATAATTAATTAAAATATTTTACATTAATTATTTCGCTGCACCCCATTTGGTCTCGACAATTGATTTCAATTGTAGAAGTCCATCCCAGTTCTCGTCCCATCCAGGAGTCACCTTCTTGGCATTGGCGTACCACCTGCTCACATTCGCGTACTTGCTGAAGTCAAAATCCATGATTTCAAAGGTGGAGACACTGGAGACGATGGCAATGTCAGCTAAAGTGAGATGATCACCGGCCACGTAGTCCTGGCCTTCAAGGAACGTGTTCAAAAACTCGAAAGCACTCTCGATCTTTTTGAAGTCCTCCTCCGTTCCGGCCTGGCCAGTTCGGATGAGTGGATAGTAGTACTTGATAAAGGACTCGTACAAGGTGCCCATGTCGAAGTAGAGACGCTGGTTGACCAGAGCCTGCTTCTTGGGATCCTTGGGGAAGAGGGAATCGTCCTTAGCGTACTTCTCCACCAGATAGACAGCGATGGCCCGGGACTCCCAAATGGAGAAGCCATTATCCACCAGTGTGGGAATGGTGTGCTGAGGATTCAGTTTCAAGAACTCCGGCTTCAGGTGCTCCTTTTCCGAAGTGTTCACCAGCTTCTTGTTCAGCTCAAGCCCAAGGGCTTTGGCCACCATGATAACCGTGCGGCATCCACTGCCACGAGGAGAATAATAGAAATCCATGCTGGGAATTGGGTGTTGTTCAGTGGAGAGGAGAACCAGAACTAATGACTGTCTGTAAATTGCTTCCACTTATATAGGAAAATAATGGTGAAATTACTTGTGTACCCGGTGATTTACTCGATGTTTCTTTACAGAGCTTCAGAATGATTTGACAAACAAGCGGGAGCCATCAAAATATATTTGTTGTTTTTTGTTGTGAAATAACCTGTGTGTATATGTGACTCTTATCTTTAGTTTGCTCAATTGTTGTTGTTATTATGTTTGCGATAACAAATGCTACTTAGGTATATATACCCCATCTACTTTCTCAAGGCAGTTGATAAGATTTAAGGGGTTAATAACAGTTTTGATATCTGTTATAAAATCTGGTTACTAGGTCATTTGAATTCTATAATATGACTTAAATTAATTGTTTGAATATTTAAAGTAAATCCAAATAAATATATGTTTATTAATACCTTTATTTTAAATAACATTACATTATTTTAAATAAATTTAAATTACATTCACTTTGTCTTGTCCTTTACGGCTGCGATCTTCTCGACCATTTGCCGAAGGCCATCCCAATTCTCGTCCCAGCCAGGAGTTATCTTCTTGGCATTATCATACCATCTGGCCACATTTGGATACTTGCTGATATCGAAGTCTACAATGTCAAAGGTGGAGACACTGGACAGGATGGCAATGTCAGCCACAGTGAGATGATCTCCTGCGACGTAGTCCTGACCCTCCAGGAAGGTGTTTAGGAACCCAAAGGCCGTCTCGATCTTCTTGAAGTTATCGGCGTTGGCTGGCTGTCCATCGCGGAATATGGGATAGTAATACTTGGCGAAGGTATCGTATAGGGTTCCTAAATCGAAATACAGTCGCTGATTGATCACAGCCTGCTGTTTGGGATCCTTGGGGTAGAGGGAATCGTCCTTGCCGTATTTCTCCACCAGGTAAATGGCAATGGCACGCGACTCCCAGAGGACGAATCCATTGTCCACCAAAGTGGGAATGGTGTGCTGGGGATTGATCTTAAGGAACTCCGGCTTTAGGTGTTCTTGCTGTGAGAGGCTTATTGGTTTCTTATTCAGTTCTACTCCAAGGGCCTTGGCCACCATAATAACCGTGCGACACCCACTGCCAACCGGTGAGTAATAGAAATCCATTTCGGAACGCGAATAAAACAAGCTTTTCGTTGAAGAGAAAAAGCAGAACTAAATACACCCGACCGGGGCAGTCTCTTATATGTTTAACAAAATGCCATATCTCTCTTTGAAAGTCTCACAAAATTGTTTATCATCGTTATTTGTATACTATTTGGATTTCTCTCTTTCATTCAGGTGTACGAATTTTGAGTATAAATGTTTTAGTTTGATTATTTTTATTTATTTGCAATTTCTCTCCAAGTTAAATATATTTTAACACCTAATAAATACAGTTTAATAAATATGGTTTACTTTGCTTCAGCCCTTCGGGCTTCTATCATGGCCTTCATCTGCAGGAGACCCTCCCAATTTTCATCCCATCCAGGAGTTGTCTTCTTGGCATTGGCGTACCATCTGGCCACATTCGGGTATTTGCTGATGTCGAACTCGACAACTTCGAAGGTGGAGACACTGGACAGAATGGCGATGTCGGCCACTGTGAATTGGTTGCCCGCCACGTAGTCCTGGCCCTCCAGGAAGGTATTCAGAAACTCGAAGGCGGTTTCAATTTTCTTGAAGTTGTCGGCGTGACCGAGCTTGCCAGTTCGGATGAAGGGATAATAGTAATTCATAAATGAATCGTGAAGGGTTCCCATATCGAAATATAGGCGTTGATTGATCACGGCCCGCTTTTGGGGATCTTTGGGATAGATGGAATCGTCCTTGCCATACTTCTCCACCAGATAAACGGCGATGGCTCGTGACTCCCAAATGGAAAAGCCATTGTCAACCAGAGTGGGAATGGTGTGCTGGGGATTTAGTTTCAAGAACTCTGGCTTCAGGTTATCCCCTTCGGTAATCTTCACGAGCTTCTTGTTGAGCTGAAGCCCAAGAGCCTTGGCCACCATGATAACCGTACGGCATCCACTGCCACGAGGAGAATAATAGAAATCCATACTGGAAATTGGGATTACTAGGAGTTTTTCTCTGGAGAGCAGAACCAGAACTGAATGCGGGAAAGCATAGATTCCATTTATATAGCGAATTGGTTGTGAAATTTCATATCTCGCACGAAATTATTATAATTGATTTGCTCGATGTTTCTTCACTATATTCGTTTTTAAGGTTACTTTTTCGATAACGTAATCAACAGAATATAAACACACATCTGAATATGCCTGCTTATCTTTGGTTTAATTATGCTTTCTATATAAAAGCTTTTAATAATTTTCTCTACACTTATTTAAGTATATTTTTATTATAAACATTCAATAATATCACTTAAATTAAATATCTTCCGCTTAATTACTGCACAGACTTCATTTTCTCATCGAATGACCTTTTCAAGTCCAAAGCGCCTTCCCAGTTCTCCTCCCAGCCGGGAGTCACCTTCTTGGCATTCGCATACCACTTGGCCACATTTGGATATTTGCTAATGTCGAAGCCCAGAACATCGAAGTTGGTTACATTCGAGAGGATGGCAATGTCGGCTAAGGTTAAGTGGTCCCCGGCAAAATACTCCTGACCTTCCAGGAAGGCATTGAGAAAACCAAAGGTGTCCTGCACCTTCTTGAAATCCTCCTCGGAGCCCAACTGACCGGTGACATAGATTTTGAAGTAGTAAGCGGCCAAGGAGCCGTACATGTTGTTGTGATCAAAGTAGAGTCGCTGATTAATCACAGCCTGTGTCTGGGGATCCTTGGGGTAGAGGGAGTCGTCCTTTCCGTACTTTTCCACCAGGTAAATGGCAATTGGACGTGACTCCCAGAGGGTGAAGCCATTGTCCACCAGGGTGGGAATTGTATGCTGGGGATTTATCTTGATGAACTCCGGCTTCATCTGCTCTCCCTTCCGGGTGCTGATCACAGTCTTGTTTAGCTCTAGGCCCAGAGCTTTGGCCACCATGAGGACATTGCGACAGGCACTGACATAGGGAGCGTAATATAAATCCATATTTGGAACCAAAGTGGGGCCGTGTTTACCGTTTGACAGCGAAAATAAAACTGATTGAGAGCCCCATCATGAGCTTCCTCCTAACGTACCGAATAATAAGGGAAAGCATTCTCTTAATTTGCCTTCGGTTGCCATGCTATGGATGTGCTAGTTAAGAGTATTGTGACTCCCAGCACTTGTAGAGAGTATCAGGGAATACATATGGCCACAGCCTAATCTTAATCACCTGTACACATTAGATTACAAGACGGAATATAACATATTATATGGATTCAAGTAATAAGTAATCAATAATTAAAGTCTTATAAAAGTTTATTTTTATTTATGTAAAAAAAGATATAAAAATAAGGCAATTCATTTACTGAGATGCATTCAGTTTTTTGTCTAACATCTTCTTCAATTCAAGAGCTCCTGCCCAGTTCTCGTCCCATCCGGGAGTCACCTTCTTGGCGTTGGCGTACCACCTTGCCACATTCGGATACTTGCTGATGTCAAATCCTAGGGCATCAAAGTTGGCCACATTGGAGAGGATGGCGATGTCGGCCAAGGTAAGGTGATCGGCGGCCAGATACTCCTGTCCCTCGAGGAAGCTGTTGAGGAACTCGAAAGTGTCGGTGGACTTCTTATAGTCCTCTTCAGATCCCAGCTTTCCGGTGAGGAATGCCTTGAAGAAGTATGCGGCCAGGGAGCCGTACATATTGGAGTGATCGAAGTAAAGACGCTGATTGATCACGGCCTGTATCTTGGGATCCTTGGGGTAGAGAGAGTCGTCCTTTCCGTACTTCTCCACCAGATAAATGGCGATGGCACGCGACTCCCAGAGGGTGAAGCCATTATCCACCAGGGTGGGAATGGTATGCTGGGGATTGATCTTGATGAACTCCGGGTTCATCTGCTCCCCCTCAAGGGTGTTGACCAGTTTCTTGTTTAGCTCTAGGCCCAGAGCCTTGGCCACCATGAGAACGTTGCGGCAAGCGCTGACCACTGGGTAATAGTACAAATCCATTTCGGGAACTGAGATCGTGTGGTGTCTGTCGCTCGAGAGGAGAAAGAGAACTGATTGGCATCCCCACCGGGTTCTCAGCTATATAAAGTATTATGTCGCACTGAGCTCTCTCTGTTTGTGTATGTTTCCTATTGTGATATGTTGTTGATTGACTGTATTTGTGGAAAACACAACTACAAATGCCAGTCCCCCACATTCGCATGAAATTATATTAATTTCCATGGGCTTGTATTCTATGTAATAGCTTGTTTGAAAACAATTGTGTACTTGTGTCTGCGTCGTCAAGTAAGCGTATTAAATTCATTTTCGCTTAAGTTTGCTATTTGAGGGGAGAAACAAGCATTCCCTTAAAATGAAAACATCTGTTTGTGGTTAATTGAAAAATGTATATAGAATTATTAGCTTTCAATACCCTAGAAGTACATAAACAAGTGCAGCAACAGATTATTAAAAAATATTGCTTAAATACGTGCTAAAACCAGGTAATATCTGTGGGTTTAGGATCACCAACAGCGTCTTTTAAGTCCAACAAGTTTTTCAGAACAATATCTAACAAATAATAATGACAGTGTTTTATTACTTAAGTCTTGTGGGGTTTCTTAAATTTGTATATAAAGGTACTGAGTACTTTATAACATTCATTTTTAAATGATTTAATTTAATATTTTTAATGATTTCAATGTTCCTTTCCATTCACTTGTTTTCCCAAAAATAATAATCTCATTTAGGTAGATTTATAAACAAATGTTTAGTGTTCTTTTATTATATGAAACAATAAATAAATATAAATACATAACTGAGACGTATTATTTCTGAGTATCGTCTACTTGGCTGCCGCCTTGCGAGAATCGAAGAAGGCCTTCATCTGCTGGAGACCCTCCCAGTTCTCGTCCCATCCGGGGGTCACCTTCTTGGCATTGGCATACCACCTGACCACGTTCGAGTACTTGCTGAAGTCGAACTCAATGATGTCGAAGGTGGAGACCAGGGCCAGGATGGCAATATCGGCCACAGTGAGGTTGTCACCGGCCACGTAGTCATGTCCCTCCAGGAAGGTGTTCAGGAATCCGAATGCGGTCTCAATCTTCTTGAAGTCCTCATCGCTGCCGGGCTGGCCAGTGCGGAACAGGGGATAGTAGTACTTGGCGAAGGCATCGTTGAGGGTGCCCATGTCAAAGTACAGACGCTGGTTGACCACGGCCTGCTTCTTGGGGTCCTTGGGGAAGAGGGAATCGTCCTTGGCGTACTTCTCCACCAAGTAGACAGCTATGGCTCGTGACTCCCAGATGGCGAATCCATTGTCCACCAGAGTGGGAATGGTGTGCTGGGGATTGAGCTTCACAAACTCGGGCTTCAGCTGCTCTCCCTCCATGGTGTTCAGGAGCTTCTTGTTCAGCTCCACGCCAACGGCCTTGGCCACCATCTGGACAGTGCGGCATCCGCTGCTACCGGGCATATAGTAGAAATCCATGTCTGAATGTGTTGTTCGCTGAAAACGAGAACGAAGACTGTCTAATGCCGGGAATGGAGGTTACTTTTATAGCCAGTTTGCCTGTGAAATTATCTCTCCCCATTTGTTTATTTGTGCTTTGCCCAGGTTTGTTTCATGCCTGTCATGGTTAGAATAAACTTTTTCATATTTTCGGTACTCATTATATTGGGCTTGTGGCCACGTACCATGACTCACGTAGTACTAATTATTATTTTCTGGAGTGGTGGGGTCATAGATAATCTTTGAAGCACTTGTACTAAGTGTTAGATTATTTTATGATAGTAACTAAGCTAGGCATGTACTGATCTTTGATGATGAGCTATTATGAGTCATAAAATATGAGAATAATATGGGGCAGAAAGAAAGTATTGTAAAGGTGGATTTATAAAAGTAACCCTAGACCTATTCTTAAAGTGACCTCTTAACACTGAGTGCACAGGAGGCTAAGGAGATCTATTTCCCCAAGACCAGATAATTTTTAATAATTTATATGCATATGTACATATGTATGTATATTATTTAAATATTTAGGTGCTATGAATGAATCGAAAAGCCACGTCGCTTTGCCTTATCGGCAATTTTAATTGAAATGATAATGATATTGCTGGAGGTGCGCCAACATTCAAGTTCATGCCAATAGGTAACAGTTTTATTTCAAAACATTTAAATTACTGATTTTATTTACTGAAAATAATACCGTTTTCTGTATAGAGAGGAGCTCTAAATAAAGCGTAAAGAAGAGGTATAAAAACGATTTTACTTTTCTATTCGTTTATACAAACAGTTATCGCTGCCTTTTCTCAAGTCGAGATCAGTGAAAGACTCAAACAGATTCAAGCGCGGCTGTACACAAAATATAAATTTGCCGGCAAGCGGAATCAAGCAAATATATATGTACATACATATATGCAAGTGTATATATATCGAGTATAAATATATGTATATATGTTTATATGACAAACCGGCAGACTCTCTCGCTCATACAAATACCCAGAGATCTCTTGACTTCTCTTCGCTCGATCGCTACTCTTAGTTGGGGACTCTTTGAATAGTTTGGGTTTTTTACTTCTTCGTTTGTTTGATTGTGAATCATACTTGGCCAATGCCGTCTAACTGGTTCTCTTGATCCAAACAATAAACACTGTGTGGTGACCTTTCTCTACATTTTACGCCAGATTTTGGGCCGGCTTTTTCGGTGAATCAAGCCAACCAGTTATTGGCGAACTTCTTCCTTCACTCACGATCATCGTGTTTCCCATGAATCAGTGGCATTATGTTCAAATGAGTAATTTCCAAGGGGTCTCTGGGGATTTCATATTCGAAGCAGATTGTTCTGGATGTTAAGAGAGCAGTATGTTTGACGTGTCCCTCTTTTCGCCTTGTTATTGAAATTTTTGCACGCTCATGCTGATAGTTGGTATTGTCAATTGTGAAACTGATAAATAGAGCTGTTTTTTTGGGCGATATAGCCACCCCCAGCGAATAATCGTCAGAATGTTCCAGAGGTGTCTTGCCACCAGTTGCCACGAGTTCTATGGAAGGAATGGCTAACTCGGCTTTATTTACCTTCTCATTTAATGTGGCTTACAGCTGACCAAGGTCGTTGAATTACAAACATTATTCTGTGGGTAGAAAATCCAATCGATTGACTGATTGTTGTGGCCATCAAGATAATTACATCAAAAATGTACACCTGTAGTTTGGTATTTGCATGTCCCTTGGAGATAGAAACTACATAGAAACTACTAAGGAACGGGAGTAGTTGGGTTTTGCCCATATTTTATCACAGCCTGAGTCATAATTTAATCGACTTTTTGGCAAGCCTGTGGTATTATTTATGTGGCCATATTAGTTGGTTGGCGAGTTCAGTATGAGTCTTGTATATTTCTCTTCGAAATCGCACCCAACTGTTGCCGTTTTGCTGTTTGTCTGATATGAATGTTTGCCGGCCGGCTTCGCCTTCTCCTATCTTGTTTGCTTTATTTTTTCTTGTTTTTTATGTTTTCTGTGTTTTTTTTGTTATTATTATTATTTTTAGGCTTCGATAAAAGAGTTTATTTTTAAGCGCAATTGCTGTGAGCACAGATGTTCATTAGGTATGCAGGAATGTGTATACACAGCAAAAGATTAAGATGCTTCTAAAGCTTTTATATTAGAAATCTATTAAAAAAATATTTACGAACAAATGGGAAAGACTTTAAGACTTTATGTATGAAATGTAATAAATTTACAAAGCTAATCATAAATATTTTTTTGAAACTTATCACAATTCTAGCGGTACTTAGCAAGTAATCTAGATAAGAAATAAACCACTTGAGAGCCATAAATTATAAGGAACTATAAGAAAATTATTATTATATCTTTTAAATAGTGTTAACATTTAAATTCCTTAATTTTTTAGGTACATATATGTATGTACATACATATATGCAAATGAAGTATTATAGAGGGAATAAAATAAATATAAAAAGAGCACAGGAGCACTCTAAAGAGAGCAACCAGCAACCGTTCCACTGGAGGATCATTAGAAAGTTGTAGCTTTCTTTTGGGGTAATACTAGGGGGAGTTGGGGGGATGAGGAATGTACCTGTGCAAGTGCCACTAAATCACTTATACTTGCACACGGCTCTATGTATTAATCACACTGCTAGCGTCACATTTTTGTTTGCTATTAGATTGGGTGTGTGTGTGTGGGGAATAAAGCAAAAACAAAAAGCAAAAACAAAAAGCAACTATGTAGACACGAAAAAAACAACTGGCAGTGGGGCTGTCTCTCTTTATGGTGATTCCCCTCCCTTAAGAGCCCCCCTCCCATGCCATTGGGGCAGCAAACAACTCTTGTTTGCCGGCTGCGGCATTATGGCGACGCCAGTCTATTCGCTATAAAAGCCCAACCGCTCTCCGGATTTCGTTCAGAGCTACTTCTCCTTAGGTACAGTGTGCATCGTGATATTTCCAACTAAAAAACAAAAAAATGTAAGTTTCCAATCTTGTACCATAACTGTGTGTGTGTCTTGGCATAGCCAAAAAATAAAAGCTAGAAACAATGTGTAAAAGAAATAAGCATGGAAAAGTACCAAAATTAGCAACAAATACTTGAAAGAATAACAGATATTGTGCGCTGCTGTCTTTTTGTGTTTTTATGACATCACTCCCTGGGAGTCTTTGTGTCTGGCCAAGTGAATTTCTATAATGACCTGGCAATTAAGGTCGGGCCTTTTGTCTAAGCTTGAAATTATAGAGCGCGTCTAATTACGGTACATACCATATATCTCTTCTGATCTAACCTGTGTGATTTTTACATGTACCTAAAACAACATGGTGAAAAAAGAAACTTGAATTCACATACTAAAGACATTTGATGAGGCATTTAAAAATAATTACAGGATTTGTTAAAAGTATTTAAGCAACTATTATGATTAATTTTAAAGAGATATAATATTTGTGGAATATTTAAATACATTTTTATTTCATTATAGTTCAAGTTTAAACAGTTTTCTTTCTAGAAAATATTGAATTTTTAATTAATAAAATTTTCCTTTAATTTTTCTAGTAAAATGGCTGACTTCTATTACCTGCCCGGCTCCGCCCCCTGCCGCTCCGTCATCATGACCGCCAAGGCTGTCGGCGTTGAGCTGAACAAGAAGCTGCTCAACCTGCAGGCAGGCGAGCACCTGAAGCCCGAGTTCCTGAAGATCAACCCGCAGCACACCATCCCCACTCTGGTGGACAATGGCTTTGCGCTGTGGGAGTCGCGCGCCATCCAGGTGTACCTGGTGGAGAAGTACGGCAAGACCGACTCTCTGTACCCCAAGTGCCCCAAGAAGCGTGCCGTGATCAACCAGCGTCTGTACTTCGATATGGGTACTCTGTACCAGAGCTTTGCCAACTACTACTATCCCCAGGTCTTTGCCAAGGCACCCGCCGATCCTGAGGCATTCAAGAAGATGGAGGCTGCCTTCGACTTCCTCAACACCTTCCTGGAGGGACAGGAGTACGCTGCCGGCGACTCTCTGACCGTGGCAGACATTGCCCTGGTGGCCTCCGTGTCCACCTTCGAGGTGGCCGGTTTCGATATCACCAAGTACGCCAACGTCAACAAGTGGTACGAGAACGCCAAGAAGGTGACTCCTGGATGGGAGGAGAACTGGGCCGGTTGCCTGGAGTTCAAGAAGTACTTTGAATAAGCCTGATATTCAAGTTTATACATCCCCTAGCCCCCAAAAAACATTTGATGTAATATTTATTCACGTTCACAAAACACAAACTATACAAAAGAATTCCAAATTCACGTGTCTCGGTGCACAATAAATGAGTGTTCGCTTTTTTGAATGCAAAAAATGCAACAAATGCAAATTGTTTTAATTTAGATGTGTATACTATATATGTATGATAATATATAGAGTATGCAAATGTGTGTGGGTAGGTGTGGTGTGGCAAACAATTGGATAAATTTTTGCTCTGCCAGCTCGTTTTTCTCTCTTCATGTGTATAAGGGTGCTTTGGCAAGAGTATTATAATGAATCTCTTGAATTTATTCTCTTTTTCGCGAAAAGCCATATAAACTCGGCGGCTTGGCGGCTTTTCGTCAGTGTGAATTTAGGGAGATAGCCGGAAACTATCAATAAAGCTGTGTAAGAAAACAGAACCAGAAAAAAAGGTGAAAAGTACCCAAAGTTATAAAACAAAATAGAGGGACTAGCGAAAATTTGCTTTGGTTTATCACAGAGAAATACTATTCAAATAATGAACAAAAAAAGAATGAGGGAACACAAAAATGATTATAATTTTATTCTCATGTTTTCTTGATTAATTCTCTTGAAGAACTGGTATACATATGTGTTAAGGAGTGCTTAAGAAGAAATATTTAGAAGTATGAACGCAGCATTTATTTATATGTCTATTTTATTATAGATTTCATTAAAATAGAGTATTTTTACTTCTACTTAAAATCAAAACAAGTAAAAGAAAAAAAGAACTGCCCTCTAACTTGTTTAAAAGTAAATAAAGAAAATACAATGTTTGTAATCTTAAAACACATGATAGTAACGAAGTAAACGTGTAAACAATGCCAAATAATTGTTGTTATCAAAGACCTGGGACTGATAACAAGCTAGAAGTTTAATTAAAAGAGCCTTGGTTAGCAACAAACAACATTAGTTAAAATATATTTATTGCTATTTCTTCATATATTTTACAACTTGATATCTATGTATATCAATAGCTAGGCTTGCCAATCTCTCTACATTACGAAATCCAAATATTGTTTATCAAAGTCTCCATATCCCATAAATATTTACTATGCCAGACAAGCAGGCTTTGTTTAAGGTTTCAAATATAAATAAATATCAACTCACTTCCCTTTTACAGTTCCTGAAAGAACCTGGGAATATTTTAAAGCCTTTTGAAACCAAATTAAACTCAAGAAACACAATATACTGAGAGGTAATTTAAACAAAGCTCTAAAATTAGTAAAATATTACTTCCTTTTCGATTTAGAGAATCATGTTGGACTTTTACTACATGCTCTACTCGGCTCCTTGCCGTTCAATCCTGATGACTGCCCGGGCCTTGGGCTTGGAGTTGAACAAGAAGAAGGTGGATCTAGATGCCGGTGATCACCTGAAGCCAGAGTTCCTGAAACTCAATCCTCAGCACACTATTCCCACTCTGGTGGATGGTGACTTTGCCCTTTGGGAGTCGAGGGCCATTCTGCTCTATCTGGCGGAGAAGTACGACAAGGATGGATTGGTCTATCCCAAGGATCCCCAGGAGAGGGCCGTGGTTAATCAACGCCTGTTCTTCGATCTGGGAACGCTGTACCAAAGCTATGTCTACTACTATTATCCCCAATTGTTCGAGGACGTTAAGAAGCCGGCCGATCCTGATAACCTGAAGAAGATTGACGCAGCCTTTGCCATGTTCGACACCTTTCTGGAGGGTCAGCAGTATGCCGCCCTGGGCAAATTGACCCTGGCCGACTTTGCCCTGCTGGCCACCGTATCCACCTTTGAGATATCCGAGTATGACTTTAAAAAATATCCGAATGTGGTCAGGTGGTACGATAATGCCAAGAAGGTTGTGCCCGGATGGGAGGAGAACTGGGAGGGCTGTGTGTACTACAAGAACCAATATCTGCTTGAACTTTTGAACAAACAATGACTTGCCTTTAATAATTACTCAGCAAAAAATATGTTACACTAATACGAATTTCATCAACTTACTGAATAAAGAGTACCGCAAACTGGAATTGTTTTAAGAGTAATTTAATCGAAGAGTCGTTGACTTCTGGAAAGAGATAAGACTTTGGTGGCTATGCTCGACACCGGCAACGGCACTCCAAACATTTTTCAAAGCGATAAGATAAGGCTACGTGCTAATAGAAATAATGTAAGCTGCTGAGATTTTAATACTGATAAAAAACAATCAACAACAGAGGTAATTTCTAGCAACACCTAAACTATGTTTGGCCTTACGTAAATTGTGCCTACGTATAATAATTAGTTTTCGTAAAACCAGCCACATTTTTCACTCCATTTTGATTAGGTTTTTACTCTTATACTCGAGCTCCTTCTCTCTTTCGGTCAGCCATTTGAATCGGACAACCAAAATATTTGTCAATTATCACCTGTGCTTAATTGATCCATCAGCCCACGAAATAATATTTGTTGTTATCTTTCTGTTGCTTTGCTTGTGTATATAAATGTCGGTTAAATCGCTGAGCATTATTCAGTTGTTTGTCGAGCTTCGGTGATAGAGGAACCCCCTTGTCTTTGTCTCGTAAGTTCAGCCACCGACAGATTTTATTTTTATTATTATTTTTATTTTTTTGCTTGCTCATTATGGCGATTATGTCACGTCAAAGTCACTGGGAAAGTGATTAGCTATTCGCGTTTTTATTCACCTATTGTGACAGCTTTTGATGAATTGGATGACTATTACTGCTGGGTCCTAAGGGAACCATCTCGAAAATAATTTAAATAAACAAATTTGCAATAAATTATTTGATGGAAATATTTCGGGAATATTTTTCGAGTATATTTAAGTCCAAAAAAATCTAAAGAAGTTAATTGCTTTCGAGACAGAGGGTCTCTTGAGATTATTTTACTAAAAATAAACTGAGTGCCAACAAAGAAAGTGATTAGTTATTTGCTGGTTTATTCATCTGCCTTTTGAACTTAATAAGTGGCTTTTATTTTCAGAGATTCTAAATTCCCAGAAGCAAAATGGACTTGTACTACAGACCCGGATCTGCGCCCTGTCGCTCTGTTCTGATGACAGCCCAGGCCTTGGGTGTGGAGTTCGACAAGAAGGTCGTGATCAACACCCGTGCCGGAGAGCAACTGAAGCCGGAGTACCTGAAGATTAATCCCCAGCATACGATCCCTACTCTTCATGACAATGGCTTCGCCTTGTGGGAGTCGCGAGCCATTATGGTTTACTTGGTTCAGAAGTATGGCAAGGACGATAAGCTTTACCCGAAGGATGTCCAGAGACAGGCGCTGATTAACCAGCGTCTGTACTTCGATATGGGCACTCTTTACAAGAGCTTTGCGGAGTACTATTATCCGCAGATCTTCTTCAAGAAGCCAGCCGATCCGGAGAACTACAAGAAGATCGAGGTGGCCTTTGAGTTCCTAAACACCTTCCTGGAGGGTCAGACGTACTCGGCTGGCGAGGACTACAGCCTGGCGGACATCGCCTTCCTGGCCACCGTTTCCACCTTTGATGTGGCTGGCTTCGATTTCAGGCGCTACTCCAATGTGGCCAAGTGGTACGAGAATGCCAAGAAGCTAACGCCCGGATGGGAGACCAATTGGGCTGGATGCCTTGAATTCCGCAAATACTTCGACAACTAAATCTTGTAGAATTCTTCGATTTATTGCACTGCGTTCTTGGTTTCTTAATAATAAACATCTAAGCTAGGCTGACTAAACTAAAGATTGCACTGCGTTTGTAGTTGTAAAAACTAAATACTAAAACAACGAGTTTGATTTGCTAAATTCAAGCGGCCGGCGAAATGACTGCTCCAGGTTGTGCAGCCTCTGCTCCAGGTCGTTCATGGAGTTGCGGAGGGCATGGCCTCGGGGACGCAGCGATATCTGCGGTGAGTGCTGCATGAGGTCGTCCTTGACCCCGGAGAAGGAGTGCCGCACGCAGGAACGCTTCTCGAAGCGCGTGTTCTGGTAATGCGGATGGTGACTCTGTGGATGCTGTCGATGCTCGCGACAATTGTGAGCCACCAAGGGCTCATCGGTCTTCAGTGAGTCCTCGTAGGTGTCACTAACAGGAAGAAGAGAGTGATTAGGTGGGGTTTTATTGTACATATTTACATATAAATACATAAATATGAATGTTAAGACTCACCTGCTGTCTGTGTTGGGCGGATGTTGGCGTAACTCCAGGTGAGCCTTGGCATGTCTGGGACACAGTACCTCTGGATTTTTACTACGCTTAGAGCCACTGTGCTGAAAGGAGTCCGGCGAGGTCTCGTATAGCTCCCGACTGCTCAGGAACTCCACACCAGAGTCCTGACCCGTCGAGTGCAGCGAAAACAACGAGGTCTCGTAATTATTCCTGTGCCATAAGAATCATATTGTTATGAGTTACTGTTGCCTAACATAATTTCTAAAATATTTAAAATATACAAGCTATTATTAAGCAACTAAAAACTTGTTACCCTAGTCTATACAGTTAGCAAACCAGTTTAAACACATTTTATAAACTAATTTTTTTAGATGTACTCACAAATTGGTCACCGGCTGACAGGCGTTGTACTTGAGCACAAATGGAGTGCCTCCAACGCCCACGGAGCCATCACCGGAGACTCCTCCTGCTCCACCGGCTGCAGCCTTGGCAATGGACTTGGGCAGTGGCACATCGATGTATTCCCGCTGCTGCTGCTGCTGTTGCTGCTGCATCTGGCGCTGTTGCCTGCGGATGATGATCGGTGTTAGGCGAGGATGGTCGTCATTAGGAACACGTTTGACTTGAATGCCACTCACTCGTTCAGGTACTGATGGTGTTGCTGTTGCGTGGCCAATGCCTGTTGCTGATGATGATGATGCAACTGCTGCTCCAGCTTCTCGGTGGCCGTAGCCGTGGACTGAGTCTGCGCCGAAGAGCACACAGACTCCGGCATGAAGGCGCTGGTGGGTCGCTGGCTCCCGGTACTGCTGCCCTTGCTGCAACGTTGTGTATGACGCTGTTGCCGCTGGCGGCGTTGCTTCTGACCACGACTGGATCCAATGTCAGCGATGGTATAGGTGAGACCGGCATCCGAGGCAGAGAAATCACGCTGAGACCAAAGGCGGCTGCAGAGGAAGAAACAAGAGTTGGAAATGAGATTAAAATAAGTTTGAAGGTCTTATTAATTCATAATAAAAATGATATTGTTTGTATCTATAGATATCTGAGATACTTTAGCTAATCTTCACTGTAGTTATTTAGTTAAATGATAGAAATACATCTTATTTTATCGCAGTGTCGGGATCAAACTGAACCTGATGAGCCGAGTGTCGTCTTGAGTGGCATTCCCATTTGGGATGATGTTGCATTTGATGTCACATGATCTTCGTCTAATTGCCTTCATGTTTGTCGCTTCGATTGTTGCTGTTGCTGATGTCTGTGTTTGTTGCTTTTTACCGTTATAATTTAATCGGACAGGAGAGGCCTAAAGCCAGCCGGTTTCCTCGCACAACAGCAACATCAACTTGGCCATTAGCGGCAGCAACAATACCAAGAGCGTCAGCAACATTAGCAGCAACAACAACGATTGACGATTGACTTCAGATTTATTATGTGGCCTTCAGCTTAGGCTAACACTACATCTATGGCTAACATTAAAAAAAAGGCATCTAGAGCTACAGTCTTTCGGTTGCAGTTGTCCCACTCGAATTCAATCATACCGTTTCTGGCGCAGACACAGGTAACAGCAGGCGGCTATCAATGCCCCCAAAGTGACCAGAGCCAGTAGGACCACCGTCACAAATTCTAGTCCACCCATGAAACTAGCTGCGGAGGCGTGCGTGGGTCTCGGCGATTGTCCAAACTCAGCCAGCTCAATGATTCGGGGCATCGGCTTGGAACCGTCCAGTTTCTGCTGTTGCAGCTGCAGTGCATCCAGTTGGAGGCCAGCCAGGGAGCTGCAAGATCAACAGAGCAACCAATTCAAAGAACATTAATTTCCGTGACAGTTCTGGGTCATCGATTTTTGCTTGAAGGGGGGAACAGGGAAGGCGAAGACTTACTCCTGGAGTTGCTCCATTTCCATAATGGAATTCGTGTGCGGATCGACGGCATAGATATAGGCATTGGTGCTGCAAAAAGTGTAGAGCAAAAAATGGAACCCGTTTAGAGGAATCTCAACTGAACTGTTTTGGAACTGGAACTAATGGTCAATTAGTGTAGGAATTGTGGTTGAACTTTAATGTTGATTCAGTTTCTTTTGACACCTTGAATCCCATTAAAAGAAGTCTACCCTAGATCTATCTTTAAAATCATAATATTTATGACTTACGCAGCCTCTAGTCCTCCGGAATATGGTTCCAGTAGTCTCACTCGCACATCCTTTCCAATGGCATCACTTAGCGCCTCCATCAGGCCATCAATGCGGCGTTCCACATCCACTGGCACTCCGGCCACCACCAGGCGCACCTGCTTGGCCTCATCGATGATGTACACGAAAACGTTGACAATGCCACTGCGTCCATCATCGGAGCCGCTGCGATCCGTGGCCTTCACATCGAAGCCGTAGATGGGTTCATCGCGGGGTAGATCGCCCAAGAGGCGAATATTACCCGACACTTCATCGATGCCAAAGAGGCGAGTGGGTTCATTGAGCAAACGATATCGGATCTCGGCATTGAGACCCTCATCCAAGTCGGTGGCCACAACCCGGGTCACGGGGTAGCCAAAGCTGGCACTCTGTGGCAGAACAGCCACAATTGGCTGTCCATTTCCCCGAAACTTGGGTGCATTATCGTTTTCATCTGAAATGTGGACCAAGATGCGGCACTCATTGGGCGAAAGACCCTCGATCCGCTCATCCACCACTGGATAGGAGACCCGGGCAAAGTTCCTCGCCTCTCGGCTTAAACGATCTGCTCGAATCCGTAGTTGATAGCGGGCTATGTGCTCCCTGTCGAAGGGTTTCAAGGCATACAAAAGCATATTCTTGGCATCGTACTCGAAGGGCGGATGGGCATCCGTTTCATCCAGACCCTCCTCCAGCCACAGGGACCAGCGATAGTTCTCGGGATTAAGGCCAGCACTCAGATTGAGTCGCATCACCTCAATGGGGGCTTCGTTGTTCTCCACGAGCTTGACCTCATAGTAGGCATGCTGGAAGATGGTCACATTTACCGGAGGTTCGGGTTTCGGAGTTGGCTTGGGTGGATCTGTGACTGCCTGACCCTGCAGGTTAACGATCACCACAGCTGTGGCCGATAAAGCGGGACTACCTACATCCGAGGCTATAACCGAGACATTCAAGTGCTCATAATCATTGTAGCCATTGATTCGAGACACCGTGGAGATGGTACCATCTCTCGAGTCGATCTGGAACAGGGGAGCCTGCATTTCCTGATGCCGAATGGAGTACAGGACCAAGCCATTGCCATTGCCCACATTATCCTTGTCTATGGCCGTGAGTTGCCTCACAAAGGTGCCCGGTTGGGTGCCCCTGTCCAAATATGCCTTGTACACCGGCAACATCATTGTTCGATCCGCCACATTGGGTATATATTTCACGGCCTTGGTCTGATCGTCGTAGCCAATGAACTCTGGACGATTGTCGTTGATGTCCAGCACATTTACCTCCACGTCCACACTGCTGGACATCCGCTGCATCACCGGAGCATTATCAGTGGCTATCACCTGGAAGTTAAACTTATCCTTCAACTCTCTGTCCAGCTGCCCGGTGATTTTCAGCACACCGGAAGCGGGCTTTATGCTAAATGGCAGCTGCAGGTCACTGAGCGTATACGTGATATTGGCATTCTCACCAAAGTCCATATCAATGGCCATCAGTTGACCCAGGACACTGTCCTTGTACTCCCCTTCTGGGGTATCGAAGCTGTACCAGGATTTCTTAAAGGTCGGCGCGTGATTATTCACATCCATTACGGTGAATCGAAGGCAGGTTGAGTCCTTTAGACCATCAATATCGGTGACTGTCAGGTTCAGCCATATTTCTATATTCGCTGCAAGCGGATAGTTAACAGAGACTTCGCCGGTGAGTTTATCGATGCCAAAGTATCGCACTCCCTGAACACGCAACAGTGGCATTCCCGGTGTTTTCTCCACCTGCTCTCCTCGCACCTCGTAGTGGAGCTGAGCATTCTTGCCAAAGTCTTCGTCGCTGGCACTCAGCTGGAGGAGCTTAGTTCCCACGGGAGTGTCCTCGTAGATGGCAAACAAAGGACACTTTATGGTCGCCGCACGAACCATTCGGCGACGTGACTTGGCTCTGGCCACCACACCCAATGCCACACTTCGCTCTCGATGCTCCGGATGCAGTCTTGGGGATCCGGGAATGTGATATGGTGGCGGTGCCAGCATCATGGCAGCTGTGGCCTGCGGAGCTGCCAATCCACTTGAGCTCTCCACAAAATAGATCTCCATATCGGTGGTATACTCGCGAATCTCCAAACGCGAGTCCTTGAACACTGAGATGCGTTCAAACATCGGTGGATTGTCGTTGACGTCTGCCACTAGGATAGTGAGATGAGCATATCCTGAGAGGCCACCACTGTCAGCGGCTATGATCTTCAGGTTGTACAACTGCTGCTTCTCCCGATCCAGGCCCCGCTTGCCGGTGTAGGAAATCCGGAAATATGGTCCCGAACTCAACTTAAAGTTCGTCTGCATGAAGGTGGTGTGTAGCTCCTGGTACTTGAACTCATCATTCCACTGATCCGTGAGATTGAAGATATTAAAAGCTCCCGTGGTGGATGCCATTTTGTGATGGCTCACATTGCCTGCCAGAGCTGAGCTGCTATTCACAAACTCGATGGTGAATTCCTCACTGTAGTCACCTTGCAGTTGCACTCTAAACTCCGCATTGACACCCTCGTCGGCATCCTGTATAAGGATCGCATGGTTCATGGATAGTTCAGTGCCCACAGCGCAATTCTCGTTAATCAGACCCACATAGGTGAGAGCATTAAACTTGGGAGCATTATCGTTGACATCATCCACTTTGATGTTCACCTGGTAGATTCCAGCTCCACTCACCAGACCCGTGCTGTATTCCACAATCACTGTCAGCTCATAGTTTGCCTGCTGCTCTCGGTCGAGACCAATCAGAGTGAGCAGAGTTCCATCCTCGGTGATGGAGATCTTGTTGACCACCTCCTGCTGATTGGCAATGATGTAGCGGAGCTTCAGGTTTGTGTCCCCAGCCAGGCGTCTGGGAAGCCTCCTCTTCGACTTGGAGCTGCGACTCCGGTTCCGACTGCGGAATCTGCTGCCCATGGTGAGATTTCTTGAGGTTGTTCCCTCAGAGGCAGGCATTTCCCGGAAGCTGCCCAGTTCATTGTTCACCAAATTTAGACCGTTTTTGTACAGCAATTGGCCAATGATGCCACCGACTACATTCTCTTCCACATGGAAATTGATCACATTCATGTTGATCTCCCTGGAAAAGAGATGATTAATGATTGGGATTATTTAATTGATTGATTAAAGTTGAAAATTTGTCATTCAACAAACTATTTATAGCTTTTTTGATTCCCCTTCAACTTTCTTCTGGAATTAATTGCTTTGAAATGCAGTTTCCATGTAAATAGGAGAATTAATGTCATTCTCTTAATCTTTGAAAATTGTCATATGCTTGCGTAGTGCCATTTAAATATGTTATAAATAAATACCCAAGCAGTAACTATTTTCGTCTTTCTTAATTATACTTTGCCACTTTTACCCCAAACACCCATTAAGCTTTCTAAAGCAATTAATCCAGTTTGGCCAATAGGTTTCGGGCAGGTGAAAATGATACTTACTCTATGACAGGTCTTAGTGGCACCTTCTGCTCCGGTTTGTTAACAATCCGGATGGTCAGATTGGTGATGAGCACACCTTCGTCACTGAGTTCAGCCGGGGAGGCAATGGTGGTCAACGGAGATGAGCTTCGCGACATGATCAGCGACTGCGATGAGTTGGCAAAGAGCTGCAGAGAGATTCATAATTTACATAAAGCCCTGATTATGGTTAAGATAACTCACGTAATTGGCCACAGCCTCGAACTGGTAGACCTTCCGCTTGAACTCTGACAGCTCTCGGATCACAGTGATAATGCCGGATCTCTCTTCGATGGCGAAGGGCACTCCTTCGGAGTAAGTGTGCAGAAGATCGTACATGATCTCGTCCTCACCATCATAGATCAAAGTGGTGCGAACTTGACCCACTGAAGTGCCCAGAGGTGTATTGGCTCCCACCCAGAATTCATAGGGAGCTCCCACAAAGTCAATGGCCTGGTCATCAATGGTGGCAAACACTTCAATGGTAATCACCGCCAGCGAGAATCTTCTCTCCGAGGGATTAGTGGGCTGATCGCTGGCCTCCACAAACACGGCAATGCGTCCTCTTCTCAGAGGTCCGCCCACATAAATAGTTCCATTCTTGTTGTCCAGTCGGAAGGGGATATAACCACTGCCCTTGGGGCGCTGCAACTCATAAAGGAGCTTGCCATTGGGACCCTCATCCGGATCGTTGGCTGCCACCTGACCAATCACATAACCCGTGGGAGCTGTGATGGGCACCTTGAACTCATACAGATTGCCATGCTCGAACTTTGGAGTATTATCGTTGGTGTCCAGCAAAGTGATCTCCACTTGCACCTTACTGGGACCCGGCACCTTTAAATGCTTGTCATCCAAATAGGAGGGATTCCTTTCCAGTGCCTCCACGTTTAATTGGATGGATCTACGCTGCTCGCGATCTAGCAAGCGATCATCTCGCACAGTAATCCAACCCGTACGGGAATCGATGCGGAAAGCACCCGCTGCATCTTTAGTTTCCACCAAATTGTACAGGAACTCGGAGTTCTCGCCCTGATCACGATCCACGGCATTCACCTGGAGCACACTGAAGCCCGTGGGCAGATTCTCCACAATGGAAATGTTATAGAAATCAGCCTCAAACTCGGGAACATTGTCATTCAGATCCAGAACTTCCACTTCGATGCTGAGGGGAGTTATGTTATAATTAATATATAATTAAGTATTTTAGGACTCACCGAGCTAAGGCCTTCTTGAGGGGATTATCTTTTGGCGCGCCTCCAACTGCAGAACGAATGTGTTGCCCGGCAGACTCTCCTCCTCCAAATCGATTTCCTTCTGCAGATACATCACTCCATTGTGGGGATTGACCCGGAATAGCTGTCTCTCATTGCCGGAGATAATGTCATACACAAGCGAGGCATTCAGCGAGTCCTGATCAAAGGCCATAATGGGAGGGGCAAAGTATAGGGGTATTCTGATGGGAACTCCTGTCATCGGATAGAACTCATTGAGGCGAGTTCGATACACTCCCTCGGTGAACTTGGGCGGCAAGTCATCCACATCCCGTACATTGATAGTTATGGTGGTATTAGCTTGGTTAGCGGGAGTGCCTCGATCCCAGGCAAAGATGGGCAGCTTAAACTGCCGAATGCCATTGTCAAAGTCCAATTCTCGCTTGAGGATTAACAGCGGTCGATGGGGACTCTTCAAGGCGAAGTAAGGACTGCCATCCGCCGATAGTTGCTCCGGCACCGTGGACATGCTAAAGTGCACCTCGGAATTGGGAGTATTTGGCTTGTCGCGATCAAAGGCCTGGACACCCTCAAAGATAATGCTCTCAATGGAGGTATTCTCATCCACATCGACCACGTAAGGCACATTGAGAAATTCGGGAGCATTGTCGTTTACATCCTCGATGTACACAGTGATGGACAGGTAGCTACCCTGTGAGTCAGGGAAATGGGAGGTGAGTTACTAAACTAAGTATAAGGATAGCCTTACCTCCTCGATCTTCTCCTGCTTGCCAGCGCAGAGTATCCGAAATTTGAGCAGGTTCCTGGGCACATCTCGATCAACTAGCCTCTCCAGGGATCTGGCCAGCGTGACCACCAACATGGTGGAGTTGTATTCCGTCAGATTAAAGTACTTGTGATCCCCACTGGCATCCGCCCCCTTCAGGGAGGCTGTGGAGCGTGGAAAGGCCTGCAGACGGAGTATCTCCTTGCCCACCTGGGCGTCTTCGCGCAGCCGGATGAAGCGCACACCTTCGCTTTCAGCGGCGACGCCATCCATCGTGTGAAACGCACAGCTGCTAGAGTGGCCTGCAAAAGTGGGTCGCCAAAGATTACAGATTACTATATATAGCATATAGCATGTACCCCGTGCAGGAAAGTAAAACTTTGACAAATTGTCGCGTCTGGTTGTTTATTTGGGCATGCAAATTTTCCCGCAAGCTGAGAACCGCTGAAAACGGAAAAGCGTTGCCGTTGCGCCAAACAACAATTGGAAAATTTTGCAGAAAACCGCCAAGTAAATCCCAAAAGGGGCAAGTACGTGGTCTTGTAATGACGGGGGCGTGGCAGAACTGGCGCCATTCCGTAGCAAACCGAAAAAAAAAATACAAAAAACTTTCTACGTTTGTCGCGTGGCCCATTCGACTGCGATTTTCATGTGCAGTTGCAACACTTTTCCACATGCATTCAACTGTCTGCCTGTCGTGGATTCTCTCCATCTCCATCTCAATCCCCAGCTCCAGCTCCAGCTCTAGCTCTAGCTCTAGCTCTAGCTTCAACTCTAGCCTGGGCTGGCTGCAATCAGCTTTTGCAAATTATTTTCTATTGCTGCCGCTTGGGTTCCCACCCTCATGACATAATTAAGCATTTTTTGTTTGCCCACGGCTCGAGTTGGTTGTGCCCCAAAAGAGAGACAACCCCGACGAGTGCGTTCCAAGTGACAAGAGGATGCCACACGAAGAGAAAAATCATAGATAGAAAGGGATAAATATTTGTATTTAAATACATAAATTCCATAAAGTACTGCAGTCTCAGTATTCCAATGGTAAGGATTCCTAAGCTATGACTTTATATATAAGTTCTTAAATTAAACTATGTAATATTAGTTACGAAAGAAAGATACTTTTTAGATGTATCTTAAGGATTTCAAAGAATCTTAATCTTTAAATAAATTATTCAGCTATAATTTCAAACTCCTTTTAAGCAATACAACTTTCTAAGTATTTCTTCAAAATACCATGATAGATAACATAACTTTACCAGTCAAAACAATCAACAAATTTAAGTAACTCTTTTACTTAAAGAATTACCAAGTTTCTATAAATTATACAGTTCAAACATCACCAAAAATCATAGCAAAACCATACATATTAGTAAAAAAAACCTCACAAATATTATTTTCTGTGCACTTTGATTGCCATCTGTGACTTGCTGACATTTCTCCGAGCTTCATTTTTCTTTCTTTCTTTTTTTTCGGAAGATCTCCTGCAGCGAGATATTATCATTGTTGACTGCAGATTCAGATGCAGATGCAGTGAAATCTTGGCCATCGCCAAGCATCTTCTGTGGCAGATGGAGACTTTTGTCTGCGGTGCCCCCTTGTAGGCACTGGCTTGGTTTATTGTTTTATTTGTGGCTTAGTTTTATTCCAATTTCGTTTGCAGTTGTCTTCTTGCTTCTTGTTATTGCTTGCAGTTGTAATTTGAGCTCGCAATTTCTATTATTTACTTGCAGTTTCTGGCTCACTTTGGTGTGAACTGTTTGCGTTGAAGGGTTTCCCCAAAGTGAAGTTGAGAAAAAAAAAACTGGAATTGGTTTATATACAAAAGAAGTTTAACAAGATCAAAAAAATGATGTAGTTTTGGTTTGTAAGAAATTATTGATACATTTTTGCCAAGGCTTTTAAAATTTGAAAGAGTTGATATCAAAATTTTAATGTTATAATCACAACTTTAGCAAATTAATCATAATTTAAAGCCAATATAAAATATTGAATAAGATTTTAAAGAACTTTGTTTAGGAAAAGTTCTTTTAAAGAAATTATTAATATTATCGAATATTAATGTTATTTAGAACTATATATCTATTCTTGTTTAAATAAATTCTATGTCCAAAAGTACATACTCACAGAGGTTTTAAAAACATCATTTATATAGTATCCATAACCATAAGTGAACCATAAAAATTTCACCTCTTTCTTATCCCTTTGATTGTTTTTTTTCTTTCTTTTTCTTGGATGATTTCAAATGCAAATGTTTCTCAATCACTTTGCTGTGGCCACATTCTAATAATTATGCAGCTCCATTCCGGTTGCACTTAACACTTTCGAGATCGGGTGGCTTTCGTAACGGTTCTTCAACTCATTTCCCACAACATAAATGTCATTCTCCTCATTGTTCTCATAAAACAGATATGTAATTCATATGCACCACTCCACATGCCGCCCGAAGAACACTTTAGCACCCGATGTCTAGCGGCAATTAACTTTTAACTCATTCATAATTCGCTTTAGTCCGAGCTTAGCCGCCATCATCAACAACATCTAGAACATTAAGCTCAGGTCATTCCAAGTAACACAAACAAATTAAATTTTAATTAGAACATTGCGACACTTTGTTTGGGTGTGGGTCTGGTTCTGGTTTCGAGTCACGAAAAGGGGAGCAGGAGGAGCAGGTTACCGAAATGGGTCAGCCTGGGAAGAGGTGGCAGCGGATGTGGGTCAACTGTCCGTCATTGCATAAACAAATTAACAGGTTGCCTCATTGCAATACTCAATACAAATCGATTTCCTTGCACGCTTTTTTTTGCTTTTGGTCAACCCCTGAGGAAAAGCTGTCGCAGCAGCATTTAAATCTGAAATTTGGGTTATTTAACGGACCAGCGAGCGAACGAGCCAAACAAGTTGCCTGGACAAAACGAAAGACTTAGGCGACAAACGTGATGCAGACTGCGTCCAGCAGGCACTTGATTTACGCGAACCAAACACACATTACCACTGAGACGGGGAGAGATTTAGTATCTCAACGACACTCAAACACAAACACACACGCATTAACTGCCTGATTTATGATCAAATCCCGCCCGGTTACCGCCAGCCGAAAAGGCTATAACGGCTCTCGATCGATCGGTTGTAACTTGCCTTGCACTTGTCCCGTTTTTGCTGCTTGGCCTACTGCCGCAATGGCCAGAACCCAGAAAAGGCTTGCAAGTGCCATTTCTATTGCCAAAAACAATTTCACTAGGGCCAGCCGAAAAGGGGATTAAGATTTTCCGTATCCGTGGTGTTGATATCCCGTGGCGGTTTCTTTCTGTATATCACACGCTCGCATCGCGCTCGCCACCGGAACAACCGACAACGCAAACACCTCGCAAGCAACTGAAGCTATCTTCACCACTGCAGGCCAAGCTTAGCCGAGTTGAGCTGCGATGAGACTAGTTTTTCACACAACAAGAAAACAAGAAAAGCCACGACAAGTGGCTTAGAAAGAAAAGCGGCAGGTGGAGTTGGCTACATGGACGTATCCTTGGCTTTAAAGACCCGCTGCTCTGCTCAGATTGGCAGAAAAGCGCAACAGTTACACAGAGCGAAAACTAAGAGTGGTTGCAGAAGGAGACTTGGGAAAAGCAACAGAAATATGTACAAATGTTTTATAATTAAAGCTTGTACAGTATTTTTTTACGTACTATATTTGCTTAATGTTATAAACTGAAGCTAAAGGCAGCCATTGTAACTTAGAATTTAGTCTAGACTAGTAACATCGATTGTTACCTTACCATTTTATCTGACATGTAACATATTAAATACTCTATTGATTACTCCATTTTATCCCCTTTTAGACTACCATTTTTGCTTCAAGTGTACCCATTTCTCTAGTGCGTTGCGTGCTGGCAAAAAAGACAAAAGCCAAACCCAATGGATGAATGAAAGGCAGCCAGAAAGCGAGAAACAAGGAAGGAAGGTCCAATAGCTCTACCTGGGCAAAAGCAACTCGTAAAAGTATAAACAACAAAACTTATTAACATAAGCATAAACATGCAGTTCGCTTGGAGGCCCCCAAAGCCCTAGGCTCTTTCCACAGCGTTGATGCCCCGCTGATGGCGTTGTTGTTGATGCCGCAATGGAAAGCCGAGTGTCAGACAGCAAGTCAGAAATCAAAATCACAAAACAAAAACATATATAACTCGGACAGGGCCGGATGATGACAATGAAGCGATAATCCAGTGAAGCCAATGAATCGAATGGCAACCATTCCGCGTTGCAGTTGCAATAAAGGCGTCTTAACGGTTCGCAGAGATGCGGCCACAGAACCCGGCTAACAAAACAAAAAAAAAAAAGGTATAAAGTCTCAAAAAGGCAGTGGAAAAAAAATGCTAACAAGATTGCCGAAGAAAGAGCGAAGAAAGGCAAAAGCCAGAGCAACGTTTGCATTATGCGGCTTAATAGCTTTACATAACACCAGAGTGTAGACCAAGACGAAGCTGAGACGGCCGACTACCACTGACCGACAGATGCCCAGCACAACCTACGCAAATTTTACACTGAAAAAAAAAAAAATTATTAAAAATTAAAAAACCTTGAGTTATGATATAGTGGAGGAAGGGTTTGTTTTTTTTATGAATGCTTATTTGTTAATGATTCTTAAAAAGAGTGCAAATAGTAATGTCAGGAAATAAAAGTACTTAAGCTCCCAATTCTTAAGTCTAGACGCAAGACCATTTCCCTGTATAAACATTACCACATTTTGTATTATTTTTATTTGCTAATAAAATGGATTCCCATTTGTTTTCCGTGCTTGCTAACGTCAAAAGACGAACCGAACCGAACTGGAGACCGATCGAGTCAGCGGCTTGGAAAATTGGCGCGTGCGAATGGTGGTGCTTCTGGTGGTGCTTCTGGTGGTGCTTCTGGTGGTGCTTCTGGTGGTCACTTGTGGTTAGCCACTGCTCCTCATCGCTGGAAGAATCAATGCTAATCAGCGAGGGCTGATCGAGAAGAAGTCGGCCAGTGAAAGCAGGAAGACAATGAAGGCAACTCAATATGCTAATCCATCGCCTCACCTGCCGGCGCTCACCTATCAAATTACACATCAGTCATTGGTTTTTGGAGTGAGGCAATCGGTGTATGCATCGCTGGGCTGTCGGAGGGATTTCGAAAAGTATTCAATTAATTGTTAAATTTGCCTATGCCACTTTCCTCATATTGCAAATATCATCTTGAGGTAACTCTGCAATTAATTCTCAATTATGCCTGGCAATCGGTTTTGTGTGCAGTTTTGTGACGGTTTTTATTATTTTCGAATTTTTTCGACTCCAAATCCCATACTAACTAGTTTTTGGGATTTGCTGACTCCGCTTTCCTTTCCAGTTTACGCAATGGCCAGTCAAGTGACAAAGTCATTTCACCAAAACTCAAATCAAAATTCACGAATGCGAATGCGAACTCACAAAACTGAATTTATTGAGTGGAGTTTTTGTTTATCTGCAAAATGATAAAATGAAGATTGCACAGATGCTATATTTAAGTTTAAATGCTCCTCTTAAATGAATAACAATGATAAAAAAGCAGGTCGTATTGCAGAAATTGTTTGCAAAGGTTGGGCAAATATTTATGGGCTCACAATCACAAAGCTCAAACTCGAGACATTCAAATGACAGACGGCTAAAAATTACCCATAACATTCAGTTGCATTATGATTTGGCAATCCAACTTTTTTAAGCTGTATCTGGCATAAGTATTAAGAATTAATTTCCACAAAACAGGGGAATAGAAAAACGAAGTACGACGATTTTTTCTTCTACTTTTATAACATTGCAGGGCATTTTTATTTTAGTTAGAAGCTTAAAACGTTATGAAGGAGTCATTTCCGACCTTAGAAATCTTATATATTCTTGATCAGCATCGATAGGCAAATCGATCTAGCTATGTCCCACAACAATATTATTTTTTTTAATTTTTCTTCAATTCAATTTCTTCAACTTCAATTTCCTGAACAAATTGTCATAAAAATATCAATAAATTTCAATTTAAAGAATGCGAATATTTAAAGCTTTATTATGATAATATTAATGAATCGATTGAAGAAATCATTAGCAAAACTGCAAGAGTATATAAACTTTGGCTTCCCATTTTTAGATTCGGTTCTTGTCTTTTGTATCTTCTCCTTTACATTGTCTTCTAAAAACGCCTAACAGAATGCTCCTTTTAAGGTATAAATAGCAGACTCAATTCAACCTCAACTCAAGCTCAGGGAAACCCCAAAAATTCTGTAGAGAGTGAGCGTTTTGAGGCACCGGCAACCTAATCATCGCCACTGGAATTTTGGGGAGAGCGAACCAGGTTGCCAGGTGATAGATAAGCGGGGCCTGCATTGATAAGATAAGACGCACCAAAAGAGCGAGCTTTTTCTATTTTCCCCACCAGTCTTTGTGTGGGGGGAAACCTAATCGCTGTTAGTCACTGGCTTTTACCCCGCGAAGATGGACGACACGGACTTCTCCCTCTTCGGAGACAAGAAGAAGCACAAGAAGGACAAGGCCGATGCCACGCTAAATGCCAAGACGCCCACCTCAGAGGCGGATCTCAAGAGGATCATCACCTCGATACCCACCAGCGATGACACCTATGAGAATTGCCAGCGGGCGGGCATAGCTTTGATCCTCAATCACAAAGATGTCAAAGGTCAAAAGCAGCGGGTGGGAACGGAAAGGGACAGGGATGATATGAGGACCTCGCTCAAGGGATACGGCTTTGATGTGCGAGTCTATGATGACCTCACGTTTGCCGAAATCAATGACAAGCTCAAGGAGGGTGAGTCTCATAAAAATATCATATTCCTAAAGTTTCTTTTGTTATAAAATACATCAGAATATTAGTGCTAAAGTTAATATTTCTAAGCACCAAAAAAAACCTGAGACGTTAAGTGCTATCTTTAGAAGTGATACTGATACACAAAACACTAGTTTTCCACTAATAAATCATAGGAACCGCTTTATCTCTCTGTTGAATCAAGTTTATTTTTATGAATCATAAATGATCTTTAATAAATTTATACATAACTCAAGTAAATGTAACCCATTTGAAACACATATATGGTAACTTAGACATAATTTTTCTTATTCAAGTTCATTGGAAAATGTTTCTAGTTTTCAGAATGAGATATCTTATCTGCTCAAAAACAAAGTCACTACAATTATGACTGCAAAAATTACAAGATAAAGAAAGTAATGGTATATTGTTTACCTATTCTGATCGATACCTAAAATGGTAACTAATTTATTATTAATAATATTTTCCTTTAGTTGCACGTGAGGATCACAGTTTGAACGATTGCTTTGTCCTGGCCGTGATGTCCCACGGAACGGAGGGCAAGGTCTATGCCAAGGACATGTCATATCCTGTGGAACGTCTGTGGAATCCCTTCCTTGGTGATAACTGCAAAACGCTGAAAAACAAGCCCAAGATTTTCTTCATTCAGGCCTGTCGCGGAGAGAATCTGGAGAAGGCGGTGGAGTACTCCAGTTTTGCTGTGATGACCAGGGAACTGGCTCCCGCTGCCCCAGCTGCCGTTCAACCCATTACCTATGCCATTCCCAGCACAGCGGATATGCTAGTCTTTTACTCCACTTTTGACAGTGAGTTTTTATTATAAAAAATCCAAAATATCCAAGATAAACTCTCTACTTTGTCCTCCAGAATTCTTCTCCTTCCGCAATGTGGACGATGGCTCCTGGTTTATCCAGAGTCTGTGCCGAGAGCTGGACATTGCCGCCGTGAACGATGCCTCTCGGACGGAAGGCGCCGAGCTGCTCCGCCTGCTCACCGCCGTGAACCGGAAGGTGGCCTACGAGTATCAGTCGAATACCAAGAACGAGGCTCTCAACCAAATGAAGGAAATGCCCAATTTTATGTCCACACTGACCAAGACCTTCCATCTTCGCGTGAAGCCCTTGTCCTGAGCACCTGGTGGGGAAAAGGAAATCAATGCCAAAGCTCCCGGGGACTGTGAGTCAGTCCCAGTCCGCCCGGTAGAACTCTTTCACATTAATCGTTAAATCGTAATGTTTGCCATTTGTTTATAGAAATAAATACGTGCGTGTGTGTGCGTCTATCGACGGCACTTATCTGGAATTGGCTTAGTGCCGCTGGGCCGAGATAACAATTTTGTGACAACTACACTTTGGGTACACCTCGCGATAAAAGTGCATTTTTTTCCAACACACCTTCGAATTTCGCCATCAAACTTTATTCGTAAAAGCTTATTTATAAAAGGTGTTCTTAATGAAATCGATTTAAAGAAATTCTATTGAAATTATTTTAATAAAATGGTAAGGAGAAAAGAATATACTTGTTGTGAATTTTTAAACAATTTTACAGGAACCAAAAAGGACTTATCGTCATTTAGAGTTAATTACTTAAAAAAATTTATTTGAAAGGAATCAGTGACGAATAGGAGAAAATATATTCATTTTGATTTAATAAAGTTTTATAGTAGATTTTAAAAATATGTAAGAATATATTTCTTTATAGTTTCTTCCATTTCCTTATACTATGATCCATTCATATATTTAAAATGTTAAATGTAATTAGAACGGCTTTCTCCAAGTGCAAATATAACTAGAATAAAATATAATTCAAATTTCCGGAAGTTCAGTTGTCCGTAAAATGTCACGATTGCCGCATGTCTGCGGTCTCTGTTTGCTGATTCGACTTTGGCAGCTCTTGGCCTTGGCTCCTTTCCGGATTCAGGGTCAAAGGGGAGCCAGGTGTCATCGTTTGGTTACCCTGAGTGGGATCTTGAGATGGCTCCTGCTCACATCCTTGGCACCTGTGCTCCTGTGGCAAAGCGCCGCCATGTACGAGGCCACCAATGTCCGGCATTCGGCGATCTTCAGGGGAATTGCATTGGCCACAATGACGGGAGATGTGTGCATATCCTTGGGTATCCTGGGCGCCCATCTCTATCGTCGGCAGGATTTGGCTCATTTGGTGGGGTCTCTGGCCAAGTTGCATCGTCGACGGAGGCTGAGCTGGTGGAGTACACTGTTCCTGTGGCTAAAGCTGCTCCTCTCCCTCTACGAGTTACTGTGCAATGTGCCCTTTCTTCAGGGTGCCGGAGGACGCCTGCCCTGGTCACAGCGCCTGGCCTATGGCCTCCAGCTCTACGTGCAACATGTGAGCAGTGTCTATGCGAATGGAGTTTTTGGGGGAATGCTCCTGATCCTGGAGTGCTTTGGGCAGCAGGAACGTGAGCAGGAACCCAGTTTGGGGCAACTATTGCGTAGGGAACGCAGGTGGACGAACTTGTTGCTGAGATTCGTGAAGGTATTTCAGCTGGGCATCTTTCTGCTGGTCATCGGATACTTTGTCAACATTCTGGCCAATATGTATGCCTTTATGTCGTACTTTGTGTCGCAACATGGTGTTCCCCTTACGATATCCAACAACTGTCTGATTGTGACCCTGCAGCTGTATGCCTTGATTTTGGCTGCTCACCTTTGCCAGGTGAAGGCGAGTGGCTTGCGTAGGCAGTGTCTGGAACTGGCTTATACTCCTCAAGGACTCACACAGGATCAGGTGGGTAAAATCTATTTCAATCTGGAATTAAATTGGTGCTTATTTTGATATCTCTTAGGCGGAAGCTGGAACGTCTTACCCTTTGGTCTCACCCACAGGCAGTCACAAGTTCCGAGTGCTGGGTCTCTTCTCGTTGGACAACTCTTTTTGGCTTTTCCTGGTCTCTTACGCCATGAATTTCATTGTGATTATTCTGCAGTTCACCCTAGAGCATATGAAGAACTCAAGGTCGAACTCAGATCATTGAAATTGATTTAATTTGTACTCTAACTATACTCGAATATTTAATACTATATAATATATTTAATCTTATGAAAGTTATAACATCTAATTAAACTGAAAATTATTATTAAAATATTCTTGATAAATATGTGATACTGATAGAAGACTATATTTATTCATGTTTTATATTTTAATGATTATGTTTTTAGTAAAGACATTTTTCAATGGTTCACTGGCGCCAAAAATGTTCATGCGGAAATTTTCAGAAGCTCTGTCGTTTCAGCAACACGAGGTGGTGCCACCATTTCTACGCTCTGGCCATTTTAGCGCCACTGTTAACAAACATATTCAAGCGATTTTTAATTATTGTAATTTTAGTCAGAAGTTTGCAACGCAGTCAAGGAGTGCAATATTGTAATGACAGTGATTAACTTTCTCTATCCATTGTGTCTCCTCCCTCTCTCTCTCCCACCCTCTCCTCCTCTCTTTTCATCGGTAACATTTTCGGTATGTCCGCAGCGTATCTCTTGCTCTCTCTTTCTCTGCCTGCCTCTAGAGATACCTCTTACTCTCTCGCTCTCACTTTCTCTGTTTTCCCAACTCGGAGACTATAAATAGAGTCACTACCGAGAAACCGCCCTCATTCTGTCCGCGGCCTCCGCAGTGTTTACATCTATGGTGATCTCTGGAAGTGATAGTGATTACCCGTCGACCCCTGGCCAACCCATCTGAATAACTAGGAGGAAGACACCACTTCGATGATAATATGATAAACCTAAATAAAGTCCCCAAGGAAGGAATTAATTAAAAATCGATCCTAGGTCTAGAATACGCAGTGCTTACTATGAAATAATTTCTAATTAATTCTCTTGTTGTTTTAAAATTTTAAAGAACTCCTAAGTACTCTGCAGTCTTTAGCAAATTTTATACCAATACAACTGCCTCCCCAATAAAGAGATATACAGGCGTTTCACCGGATATTCTCAAATGCAATTCACTTTCTTTGGCAATGCTTATTAGTCTGCAGTTACTTCTAAACGCGTACTTTCTCCCCCAATGTTTGGGTTTCCTTGATTAGCCAGCTGCCGGGAAAGTTCTTTCCGCTGTGCAAATAAAACTCGGCTCTGCCATTGCACCAGACAATTTGATTTGCCTGAAGAGCGACACGCCCACAAAAATAAGGGCTCCAGTCGTCGTTGAGGGGAAATTGCCAACTTCCGGGGAAAGTGTCGCTTGTGCCTGGCACTTAATGTGTTTTCAATAAATTTTAGATGCGCCAAAACGCACATAAGCGGAAAAAAGAAGTCAAACGTCAAACTTTTGCCACGCAATTCAAATTTTTCACGCACACAAAGTAACGGAAACCGGAAATGAGTTTGGCGCCCCGAAACGCCGAAGGAAGTACCGTGTACCACAGCAGCGATGCCTGAAAGGAAGTGGAAAATATACTTAAAGATAAATATGTTCCTCTACACAAATACAAGGTAGTGTAGAATTTTTAAATTTTCCGCCAAAACAATTTGAAATGTACCTAACAATAGAGAGCTGTTTGCGTGGAAGCTTAAGAGAGAAAGAGAGCATATAAAGAGCAAGCGGCCCGAAAGCTTCGCAACAATTGCGGCTAATTAATAAAGTTGCTCCTACTCAACCTCCAATTGATAGCCAATTACAATTGATATGTAATTATAATTACCAACATCAATCACACTCCAGGCGAGGCTGTAAAGTGGCATGCGGCAGGCGGCAAAGGGAGAGCCTTAAAGTGGTTTAGCCGGCTTTTCAGAACCATTCAATGAAGTTCTTAAGCTGTTGCCGCTTTCAGTTGACCCGAAACTGGTATCTGAAATGGCCAGCGAAAGGAGAGATTTATTAAGCTGAGCTGTAATTCCCAAAAAAAAAAAAAACATTCACTTGCAGAATGCGTAAAACAAAATAATTTATGGGAGGCTTTTTGTGGAATAACAATGCATAATTTCACCTGCAGGTGGGGCATCTGAGAAATCTGTAAAATGGGTAAAAGAGATATTTATACATTTATATATCTCTGGCTTAAATACGTTATAAAAAGCTTAACAATCAAGAATTCGTTCGCAAAAACAACTTCCCTTCGGATTTAATTGGACCTAGCTAGAACTTCTCTATATAGTTCTCCATTACATTAGTCAAAAGTGTCATATAATTCAATAGGTATTACTTAGTGCATTTAAGGTACTCCCACCGGTTGATCATGTTTTTGTTGCTGCTTTCTCCTTTATCAGCACTTATTTACCTTGCGACAATTTGTTGTTCTCTTCGAACGCAAACAGGTCGAACACAGTTGCAGCTGCAGGTATGAGTCTGACAAGTGCAAGTGTTTGATTCCATTTGGCGGGAGATTTAAAAAAAAAGCAGTGAACAAAGCACACAAGCTCTCTTGACAGTGATCGATAGTCATCGATAGTCAACAAAACATCAATTCTGTTAGTTTACAGCCACCCTACAGCACCCAAAAGAGCAGAGAGGGGGGCATGTTACGAATTTAACATTTGACATGGGAATTCTACCCCATTTACAAGAATTCTACCCAAAATCTGAGAATTCGACCCCATGTATCTGTAAACGTGTAGAATCGTTTTCTAGACATGTCAGATGTAAAATGTTTATAACATTTCCGATATGTATCAACAGACGATTTTTTCAAGTTTCAAACATCGATTACTTTGAAAATTCGAAAAGCATCAATGAATCGATGTTTTCATCGGTGTTGTTCCGTCGCTAAATCAAAACAGTAGAATTTCAAACAATCATCGGGTAGGTCGGACGAGGAACCATTGCGGCAAAACCGGGAAGGAAATCTCGAACTTTTACGAGAGGTCGTTCGAAGTAACGGTTCGAACCAAAAAACCAAAACAAACTACAGTGACGCCAAAAGCTTTGTTTGTGTTGTGTCAGAGTGCGTGTCGGAGATAAAGATTCAGATATTGCGGCATCCTATCCGCCGGGCCTGCACCTGTTGTTGTTTCGCCGCGAATTGAAAAGGAGAAGCGAAAGCAAGAAAGCGGAGAATTTTTTAACAAACTGTCGCGGTAGTGAGTGTGTGTGCGTGTGTGCTTGCCAAGTGCAAGAAGCTGTAATATATATTTTACCATGTTTTGTGGAAATTAAATTATGTTAAGTGCTCAAATCAGTAAGAAGAAGGTGCAGTGAAAAGCGAACGCGGAAAGCGCCTGGAGCAGCCAAACACAAACAAAAATCAAAAGCAGGAAGAAAGTGAACCAAAAGGAGGAGCCCATCGAAGAAGTACGGCACAAAGAGAAGTACGTAAGAGGTGAACCAAACAAACTGTTTGATTATAATAAGCGGGGTGCATACACATACATGCATGCATACACACATATATGTATGCTCATTTAAGCTGGACCGCGTGTGCGAGTGGCTTTGCTTGGGCTTTGTATGCAAAAGGTTGACAAAACCAACAATAACAACGAAAACTAAACAAAATCAACAACAAATTAGGGTGGCTGGACCACATGACAAAAGAAAACAACAAGAAAAACAGAGAGCAAACGGTATTTTTTTGGACTGTTCCCAAAAACAACCCATATAGAAAGTAGGAAAACAGAACCCACAATGCGAAACGAAAACGAAATCAAATCAAAAGCAGCAACCAGCAGAAAGGAACAAAACCAGCAGGCAAAAAAACCTCTGCTAGCTTTTAGGCGAATGCCCTCGCAAAGCGCATAAAAAAATAGATTAACGGGAGGCAAAGCAAAAAGTAGTATAAAAAAAAGAAAACATTCAAATTCTAACGTCGTCGCCGCCTAAGCCTCTGCACCGAAACAGAAAAAAGGAATAACGGCCGCATAAAAACCCAAACATGTAGGGATGCTAAGGTCACAGAGTCTCACGATTCTGCGATACCCGGTATCCTTGGTGCTTTGATTTCATTTCGTTTTATGCGAATCACATTAAGTACCCCAAGGAGTGTTCTTATTCAATTAAAAACGATGTTGAACATGTTATGCTATTTGGCTAAATGAAGGAAATATAACTGCTACCGTTCGTTTTTTTTTAATTATATTTTAATGAGTAGCTTATATTTATTTGAAAATTATTTTTTTCTTTTCTAACAATGGTTTTATAGATTTAAAATATAATTAAAATTCTTATTGCTTATGGGTTTCTCCAAGAAGGTATAGAAATTCTTGATAATTATTCCTGGCTGTTGTAAAATCAAAGTAATTAAGTGTTTCTTGATACATTTTGTACTAGCCAAGACCTCTAAGCTATCCATTTAATATTTAACATTTAATAATACCTAAAAACCTTGCATTTAATTTACTATTAGAGGTTAGTTTACCCCCATAAAGCCAGGTAAATAGAGGAATTATAGGAATTACTATCTTATCACTACGTTTTATTTTAAATGTATACATTTTTGTGTTTTTAAAATGCCTATTGTTTATGAGTTTTTCCAAAACCGGACAGAAATTCTTCTCATTTTACTTCACTTTCAATCATGGCTATTATTGAAGTAGATTCTTTTAAAATTAATTAATTTCCCAAATAATAAAATGTTTGTTGCTACATTTCATTCCAACAAATAACTGTAAGCTTTCAAGCCATTTAGTTAATTTAATATTTAACATTTAATGATGACTAAAAACCTTGCATTTAAGATATTATCAGTGGTTAATATACCCCCAGAAAGCCAGGTAAATTGACAACAAGTTGGCATCCAACCAGCTGGCAGCGTTAACCAGCCGCCAAGATTTGTGCTCCACTTTACGAGCCTGCTCCTGCAAATGAAGTTGCAGTGGACATCTAATGAACCCGCGTCTCGGATGAATCTGAATGAAAGCTGGGAGAGCGAAAGAGACCCCTTGAGTTACCGACACACCTGAAATATTCAAGATACTTTATGACCATGCCGCAGCTGGGCCAGAAGCATGCCAGACATGCCGCAGGCCATCCTCCTTGCTGCCTTCGTCCTTCGTCTCTTCCAACCATCTAGGTGTAAATTCTGTAGCAGAAAACATTCATTTATGGGACGGGGATATAAGGTTGCGCTTTTTGCCATCAACTTCATCGCTATCCCTCGACCCTTTTCATTTAAGGGGATTCCCCCTGGGGCCTTTCACATTCCTTTGGGGGCCTTCTTGCTTCAGTTTTATGAACTTCAGCTGAGCAATTATTAAATATGCAAGCTTTTGCCAGCTTTAAGATAAACCTCAGCGCCAGTTGGTTGGGTGGCCTAAAGAAGTGCGTTTGCCTTCCACTTCGGGGAGCCTCTTTGATGTTTCATGTTTTTTTTTTTGTTAATTTTTTTGGGGGTGGTGGTGAGGTAAAGTGCAAAAAATGCGGGAAACTGGCAAACAAACATTAATTGTAACTGTAAATGGTGTGAAATGAGCGAGTGAATGACTGACTGAATGAATGGCGGAATGAATGGATGCTTAGCAGCGGCTTGAGCGCCTGAATGACTGAATGGATGACACTCGAGTGGAGCTGCCAGTGGCAGCAGCAGCACTGAAAATTGCGTTAAGTGGATGTCATCCCTGGCCGGCGACAATTTTGATGAACTTAACAAAAACACTTGACAGCGGTGGAGATTGCGAGGGTTTTTGTGGAGATTGGGGCTAGAGATTGGGAGGCTGGTTGGATGGAGGGATGGATGGATGGGTGCTGGTGGTGGTGGTGGAGCAGAGCGACGGCCATGCAATAAACGAAATTATGACGCTAAATTGAACACAAAACGTCCAGAGAGTCAAAGAATAGTCCAGGAAAATATAGTTGAGGGCGCAACGGGTTGGGATTGAAACTGGGAACTGGAAACTGGGCATTGGGCACTGGGCACTGGGAATGGGGTTTCACTTTCAAAAGCATCACCAGCAACACCAGCATCCTCTTCTACCCCCCCGCAACCCATCACATTTAACGCGCGAATGAACAGCAATCAGCCGACTGTTTGGGGGGGAAGATTCTGGAAAAAAAAGGGACTGGTGGGCATGGCTCTGGACTCGGGGACTGGGAACTGGGAACTAGCTGCTCTGCATCCGAGGCTGGAGAGGGTCCAATAAAAGTCACGATAGACATGGCCATACGGAAGCGCTATTTTTGGGGGCTGCCTTCACACGGGAATGGTCCACGTCCGCCCTGCGAGCGGAAGGTGAGTATTAAGAAATTAGCGTACACCCAGTAACCATTACCCGGTACCAGTACCATTACCAGTACCATTGCCAGTACCATTACCAGTGCCCATACCCGTGCCCATCAAGCTGCGAGTTTGGAGCTGCCAGATGGGAGCCGCTGGAGCTGCTCTTAAATTGCCAGCCGCCGCCGCTCACTTTAACTTAATTATATAATTTGTGAGACAGTAGTGCTGGAAAGGGAGACAAACCGACTAACTAAAAGTAAGGGAATATCACGAAAAATATTTAATTTAAAAGACTAGTGGAAAAATACTCTAAAATTTAATCTAAATTCAATTAAATAGTTAAATTTTAAAAGTAAGAGTAGTTAAAAATCTATACAAGTTCCTAAAACAATATCCTTTTACCTTATTATAAAGGAACCTATATGATATATAGATGAGATAATTAATTCAAAAAACTTTTACGTTACTTAACTCATTCTTTGGGTCATTAATTTACATGCACATTTCTATGCATCGTAAAACTTTAAAAATCATAAATATAGTTTTCTTGACAGATCATTTACCAAACTAGAAAGATTACTTTATATTCTTTTAATTTATTAAACATAATTAATTTTTTAATTGCGAATATTTCATGGATTAGGCTTATATTATATACAAACCGGTTTACAAAGTAGTTCAGGGTTACATCTCAATATGAATTCAAGCAGAAAAATTCAATTTATGGATCAGGTTTTCAACATTTCATACCACAACTAAGCAAATCCTGTTTTAAATAAGAAAATGAGAATTATTATACAAATGTACCACAATGTCTAATTTCTGAGAAGGCACACTTGAAAATTCAATGGACTCCTTCCTTATAGAGTATATTGAAAGAAGCAGGCTTGGTTGCTTTCTGCGGTGCACTGCAAATTAAATGAGCTGAATGCATTTAAGCCCAAATCAGCGCAAGCCGTCGGCTTAGTGACGAGGACAAACCGTGTCTTAAGTGACTCAGCAGGCATCCGGGTATCCTGCAGGACGAGCATGTCAGCCACCAGCAGCAAGCGGGCGTGGCTGGAAAAAAAAGTAAATAATCCTTTAACCACAAAGCAATTATGCAGCACAGCGGCAAAGGAGACACAGACGAGCGACGCGGTCCACAAAACGAGAACGACAACGGCAACGGCAACGGCGCGACATCTTGTCAGGGAGTGAAAAATTACCAACCGATGACGGGGAACGCAGATGCAGGGCACCGGGAGATGAGGTTGGACAGGGGTAAAGTGCCAGTGGAAGCCCACAGGTTGCTGGCAGCAAATTACTTAAATGCCAAGCCAAAAAGTCTGGCAAAAAGCAGAAGCTTATGTGAAAATTTAAATTGGCAAGGGGGCTGACGGAGGGCTGACGGGGTCGCAGAACTCACACTGCGGTCGAGCTGCAACACAGTGACACACCATATATGTATATACGAGGGTGGGCAGAGAAATAAGAAAACATTGTATGGACTGTCATAGCTTTTAATTTCAAGCCAGACACTGTTGCAGATTTCTTAATTAATTTATGTTGCACCTACACTTGACAAATGTGCATTGAATGGGTCTTTTAATAATTGATTTAACTTTGATGGTTTGGGGATCCATTTAAAAATGTTTTGGGGTTCATTTATGGATGATTTAAATCTTTGCCATTTAATATTTTCTATAGTAATTCAGGGTTGCTTTACTCACCCCAAAATAATCCTTTCCACCTACTTATCCTTTTGCTTTTATAGCGGTCAGCTAATTCTGGGATTAATAATCATTTCTGAGTTCAAGAGGGTGTGGTATTTGTGGGGAGATTATCTACGCATTGATGAGTAATGACTGGATTAGGATTTAAAGGATTTGCTTGATACATCTGGTATGAAATAGCAACCTAATTTATACCCAAAAAAGTAATGTTTTCAGTGTTACTTTTACACAGTGCATATGTGAAGCCAAGTAGATTCATTGACTCCTACATCTAGCTTATCACTACTACTCACTTACCCCCCAGTTAGCCAGTGTCTTTTGTCATTTCCCACGATGCTGGGCCATTTTCCAAGCTCAGGTTGCACTGCCATTGGCCAACTTGTGCGCTTTCTATGCAGAGGCTAAGCGCTTTCCTATGCCTTCAGAGCCAGAGTCAGAGCCAGTG